AAGTTCCAAAATAGATGGAGTGCCTCTTTAACACTGTAGGTTGTTACAAGGCCAACCACTGAGAGAAACCTAAGTATGTCTCTCTCTCTTGATCATTGATTTTTCTTCATCAATTATTTTCTTTTAGTTTCATGATAGTATTTCAGTCTCTTCAGTCAATGTAAATTAAAATGTCTTGCAGTTTCTGGTAGGAACTCTGAGGAACACATTTTCTGCAAGGGTAATTGAAATCTCAGACCTTATTGGACAACCTGGTCTCAGAGCATTTTGTATTATTATGTACGTAAATCCGGAACACTCCATTTAGTATGATATGTTACGTTTCGTATGGTATGTGTTAATTTGTGGTTGTCCATCACCCATTTCGTATGACATGTTACGAATTACAATTTGTATTAAATCAAATCAAATCAAATGTTTTATTTGTCACATGCGCCAAATACAACAGGTGTAGACCTTACCGTGAAATACTTGCTTGCAAGCCCTTAACAAACAGTGCAGAATGAGAAAATATTTGCTAAATAAACTAAAGTAAAAACAAGTAACACAATAAAATAGCAATAACGAGGCTATATACAGGGGGTAACAGTACCAAGTCAATGTGCAGGGGTACAGGTTAGTCGAGCTAATTGAGGTCATATGTATATGTAGGTAGGGGTAAAGTGACTATGCATAGATAATAAACAGTGAGTAGCAGCAGCGTAAAAAAAAGGGGGGTCAATGCAAATAGTCCGGGTAGCCATTTCATTAAATGTTCAGCAGTCTTATGGCTTGGGGATAGAAGTTGTTAAGGAGCCTTTTGGATCTAGACTTAGCGCTCTGGTACCGCTTGCCGTGCGGTAGCAGAGAGAACAGTCTATGACTACCCTTAAGTGTGTGTACATTACTGTATTACTGTCTTTTACAATTTTTAGGGCCTTCCTCTGACACCGCCTGGTAAAGAGTTCCTGGATGGCAGGAAGCTTGGCCCCAGTGATGAACTGAGGCCGTACGCAGTACACTCTGTATCGCCTTGCGGTCGGATGCCGAGCAGTTGCCATACCAGGTGGTGATGCAACCAGTCAGGATGCTCTCGATGGTGCAGCTGAATAACTTTTTGAGGATCTGAGGACCCATGCCAAATCTTTTCAGTCTCCTGAGGGGGAATAGGCGTTGTTGTGCCCTCTTCATGGCTGTCTTGGTGTGTTTGGACCATGATAGTTTGTTGGTGATGTGGACACCAAGGAACTTGAAGCTCTCAACCCACTCCACTAAGCCCTCCCCTCCTTTTCCTTTTCCACGATCAGCTTCTTTGTCTGTCTCATCGTTGTCGTGATCAGGCCTACCACCGTTGTGTCATCGCAAACTTAATGATGGTGTTGGAGTTGTGCATTCTCATCGACGGGGCTGTAGTGGAACAGGTTGAGAGCTTCAAGTTCCTTGGTGTCCACATCACCAACGAACTATCATGGTCCAAACACACCAAGACAGTCGTGAAGAGGGCACGACAAAGCCTATTCCCCCTCAGGAGACTAAAAAGATTTGGCATGGGTCCTCAGATCCTCAAAAAATTCTACAGCTGCACCATCGAGAGCATCCTAACTGGTTGCATCACCGCCTGGTATGGCAACTGCTTGGCCTCTGACCGCAAGGCACTACAGAGGGTAGTGCGTACGGCCCAGTACATCACTGGGGCAAAGCTCCCTGCCATCCAGGACCCTCTATACCAGGCGGTGTCAGAGGAAGGCCCTCAAAATTGTCAAAGACTCCAGCCACCCTAGTCATAGACTGTTCTCTCTGCTACCGCACGGCAAGCGGTACCGGAGTGCCAAGTCTAGGTCCAAAAGACTTCTCAACAGCTTCTACCCCCAAGCCATAAGACTCCTGAACAGTAATGATGGTGTTGGAGTTGTGCTTGGCCACGCAGTCGTGGGTGAACAGGGAGTACAGGAGGGGACTAAGCATGCACCCCTGAGGATCATCATGGCAGATGTAATGTTGCCTACCCTTACCACCTGGGGACGGCCCGTCAGGAAGTCCAGGATCCAGTTGCAGAGGGAGGTGTTTAGTCCCAGGGTCCTTAGCTTAGTGATGAGCTTGGAGGGCACTATAGTGTTGAACGCTAAGCTGTAGTCAATCAACAGCATTCTCACGCAGGTGTTCCTTTTGTCCAGGTGGGAAAGGGTAATGTGGGGAGTGTAATAGAGATTGCGTCATCTATGGATCTGTTGGGGCGGTATGCGAATTGGAGTGGGTCTAGGTTTTCTGGGATGATGGTGTTGATGTGAGCCATGACCAGCCTTTCAAAGTGCTTCATGGACACAGATGTGAGTGATAGGGGTCGGTAGTCATTTAGGCAGGTTACCTTGGCGTTCTTGGGCACAGGGACTATGGTGGTCAGCTTGAAACATGTTATGTTACGAATTAGCAAAATGTACAATATGTTATGAATTTGCGGAACGTATAATATGTTATGAATTCTAGCTAGGTGGCTAACGTTAGCTAACTGGCAAACATTAGCTAGACTAAGGGTTAGGGTTAGGGGTTAGGGGTTAGGGTTAAGTTTAGGAGTTAGGTTAAAGGGTTAAGGTTAGGGCAGCGTTTCCCAATTAGCTTGATGATTAGTTGATTATTTGAATCAGCTGTGTAGAGCTTGGGCAAAAACCAAAATGTGCACCCCTTGGGGTCCCGAGGACCGAGTTTGGGAAACCCTGGGTTAGGGTTAGCTAAAAGGGTTAAGGTTAGGGAAGGGTTAGCTGAAAGGGTTAAGGTTAGGGGAAGGGTTAGCTAACATGTTAAGAAGTAGCTAAAACAGTCAGTGATGAGATTCCAACTCGCAACCTTTGGGTTGCTAGACGTTTGCGTTATACACCCACCCATCCACCATACTTTCGTTTTTGCCTTAAGTAACCATCTGTCTTATATAACCATACTAAACATAACATATCATATTAATTTGTGTGTCAGAGTTACATTTACTATGATACGTCTAGTATATGAGACCAGAATGTCCTGGAACATTGTTACCATTGTGGGAGGCAACCAGTAATGTACCAAAGATTATTATAACTAACCCCCTTTCATCTGTGTATATACAGTACCAGTCAACATTTTGGACACACCTACTCATTCCAGGGTTTTTCTTTATTTTTACTATTTTCTACATTGTAGAATAATAGTGAAGACATCAAAACAATGAAGTAACACATATGGAATCATGTAGTAACCACAAAACTGTTAAACAAATACAAATATATTTTATATTTGAGATTCTTCAAAGTAGCCACCCTTTGCCTTGATGACAGCTTTGCACACTCTTGGCATTCTCTCAACCAGCTTCACCTGGAATGCTTTTCCAACATTCTTGAAGGAGTTCCCACATATGCTGAGCACTTGTTGGCTGCTTTTCCTTCACTCTGCGGTCCAACTCATCACAAATCATCTCAATTGGGTTGAGGTCGGATGATTGTGGAGGCCAGGTCATCTGATGCAGCACTCCATCACTCTCCTTCTTGGTCAAATAGCCCTTACACAGCCTGGTTGTGTGTTGGGTAATAGTCCCACTAAGCGCAAACCAGATGGGATGGCATATTGCTGCAGAATGCTGTGGTAGCCATGCTGGTTAAGTGTGCCTTGAATTCTAAATAAATCACTGACAGTGTCACTAGCAAAGCACTCCCACACCATCACACCTCCTCCTCCATGCTTCATGGTGGGAACCACATATGCAGAGATCATCCGTTCACCTACTCTGCGTCTCACAAAGACACGGCGGTTGGAACCAAAAATCTCAGATTTGGACTCATCAGACCAAAGGACAGATTTCCACAGGTCTAATGTCCATTGCTCGTGTTTCTTGGCCCAAGCAAGTCTCTTCTTCTTATTGGTGTCCTTTAGTATTGGTTTCTTTGCAGCAATTCGACCATGAAGGCCTGATTCACGTAGTATCCTTTGAACAGTTGATGTTGAGATGTGTCTGTTACTTGAACTCTGTGAAGCATTTATTTGGGCTGCGATTTCTGAGGCTGGTAACTCCAATGAACTTATCCTCTGCCGCAGATGTAACTCTGGGTCTTCCTTTCCTGTGGCGGTTCTCATGAGAGCCAGTTTCATCATAGCGCTTGATGGTTTTTGCAACTGCACTTGAAGAAACTTTCAACGTTTTCCGGATTGACTGACCTTCATGTCTTAAAGTAATGATGGACTGTCATTTCTCTTTGCTTATTTGAGCTGTTCTTGCCATAATATGGACTTGGTCTTTTACCAAATAGGGCTACCTTGTCACAACACAACTGTTTGGCTCAAATGCATTAAGAAGGAAATAAATTCCACAAATTAACTATTAACAAGGCACACCTGTTAATTGAAATGCATTCCAGGTGACTACCTCATGAAGCTGGTTGAGAGAATGCCAAGAGTGTGCAAAGCTGTCATCAAGGCAAAGGGTGGCTATTTTGAAGAATCTCAAATATAAAATATATTTTGATTTGTTTAACACTTTCTTGGTTACTACATGATTCCATATGTGTTATTTCATAGTGTTGATGTCGTCACTATTATTCTACAATATAGAAAATAGTTAATATAAAGAAAAACCTTGGAATGAGTAGGTGTGTCCAAACTTTTGACTGGTACTGTACATCATTGTAGGCAATCTGTCTGCCTAGGGAGACTATAATAATAACATCCTTTTTGGTCAGTAGGTGCCCAACCTAACAACAGGTGGTGGTGTGAAAAAAAATTATGTATGCACTCACTAACTGTAAGTCGCTCTGGATAAGAGCGTCTGCTAAATTACTAAAATGTAAATGTGTGTTGGACACAGTCACTCATATAGATATAGAGGTCTATAGAGCCTGTCTGTGTGTATGATTTCTGTAACCGTTAGCTAATCTGTGTAATATTGGCATAAACTAAGAACCAATTGTTTTGCAAACATCCAACTGGGCACACACTGCTTAAATCAACGATGTATCCAAGTCTTTTAAATGAAATTATGTTGAACCAATGTGGAATAGACATTGAATTTATGTTTTTGACCAGTGAGATGGTCCTGTTTTATCATAGAGACATATTAACTTTACTAAAACTTTTATTAAAAACAACCATACACAGAAAGTTATTTGTCGTGAACAAAAGAACATGCCCCACATTTTCCAAAGTAACGTTACACAGACATTAGAATGACACTGCTGTGTTGCCTTGAAGTAACATTCAGAAGATATTGGATGGGTTAAAGAAAACATTAAGGATTACATAACATTGACGTTGCTAAAATTGCTTTGTAAACTTAGATAATTAAAAAGAACTAATCTTTTGATCTTTGGTCACTTTATCTCCTCAAATTCCTGCTCCTCTACTTCCTGTTAATTCTGCTTGATCTCAGTGGTGTACTCAGGCTGAACCACCACACGGTAGGAGAAATGGTCTGAGTGGCACGGATAGGCCTGGCCCGCAGTGATGTTTACTGGGATCTGGGCCTGATTGCCACCATTGCCAATTGTGGATGGAAAATCCTGGACATGGAACACAAACTCCCCTTCACACATCAGGACAACCTTGTTAAGGTAGCGGATGCCGTCCTGATACTCTTTGGGCAACTCCCTCTTATTCTGGGCAGTTAGCGAGACCATCGGCAGCGACGGACAGTGGATACCGCTGTTTAAGCATTCATGGTTGTGGATAAAGACCCTGGTGTGCCAGTTTATCTTTTTGAACAGGGAAAAAAAGGCACTGTTGTGCACAGGGCTGTCAAAGTTGGCACTGAGGCTGTTGAGGTTCTGGCCTGAGTGGGAATAGTGTCCGATGTATCGGAACGTGTTGACGTCCTTTGAGCTGAAGGTGAAGCTCCATGGCTTGCCAGTGTAGATCCTGGGTGTGTATTCCACCTTGTTAAGGAGGAGGCCCCCAGCTAGCAGCCGGAAGGGTAGTGCATTGAACTGAAAGCCCTGCAACATGCCGGCATTATAACGCTCTAGTTGGTCCATGTACAGCTCAGACTTGGCTTTGAGGTTGAACAAATCTTCAGCAGCGATCATGGGAAAACGGATGTGGTCCAAAATGGCGACATGGTCTTCGTGGGTGGACGAGTTACCCTGTTCCAACACCCAGTCCTCCAAACCCTTTAGGAGGAAGGCCTCATCTGGCACTACCACGTCTGAACGGGCCAGAAGGGCCTTTACTGTGCCCAGGGCAAGACCAGTCCAGGCTGGGGAACGGATCAGCGACTCACAGTTCCAGGCAAGGTAGCGCAGACAGGTTTCCTGCAGAACTGGGTCGCCTGTGCGGACTGAGTACTCGTACAGAGAGGTCTGGGTCTGGAAGGAGGCATCCTCTGGGAGCAGCCAGGTGAAGAGCCTCCCTGCCGCCTCCTGAAGCTGCTTCAGACCCCAGTTGGACGCCATCTTGTGGATACACTGGGCAGAGGACACAGTGACGTTAATCTGCCATGTGTACAGATACCTGGGGAAGATAAAAAATACATGGATTCTCTGCCACGACAAAGCTTTGCTTTGCTGATTTTTTGGTTGTTGATGTAACAGTAACTTGATTAAAGTTTGTTAGCAGGTTGGTGCCGCCTTACCTCAGGAAGTCGGTGACATGTGGCCGGCAGTTGAGGCTGACGTCTAGCTTGAGATTACTGAGGTTCTCCTCTTGTGTGATGTTTAAGATGGAGGCATTTGGGTCCAGAGTGACAATCAGCTTGTGAACACAGATGGTTTCCACAGTGCTGTTTGCAACCCGCACCATGATGTCAAAGTCACAGTCGCGTCCACTGTCAAACAGTGCCCCCATGTGGTTAAAGAGGCCTGCGTTGTGGTCCAGGGTGTAGACGCGACTGTTATTCTGAGACGATTCTGATCAAACAGAAAAAATATTGATCGAGCACATCATATGTTGAATAGTACAAATAGTATATCAACCAAATATCAGAAATTGATCATACATTTTCTTGAAATTCAACAGACATTCATTGTAAACCTCTTTGAACATGTAACAGTTGTAACATCTCTATTAGCATCGCAAAGCGAGCCATGGGCCAATAACTTCTGCTACTAGATGCTTAAATTCTGTCTTAGTACCTTTCAATGATACTGTGTCTGGTTTTCTAGGGCTTTGTTTATCAGTCATTGTGGTCACTGCAGACCTGGGTTCAAATATTATTTAGGGTATTTCAATTACTTTCAAAGACAAGGAGTTGAATATTGGAATGCATTTGGAAATACACTTGGAAAGTTTTGGCATGAATTTGAAAATAGTCAAATACACTGACTCAAATACACCCATGCATTTGGTCGGTTTGGTATTTGAAATCATGTATTTGGAAATAAGTATTTAAAAATACCTTAAAATAATAGGCTATTTATAGGAAATTATTTGAAAATACTTTCCAATACTTATTATAGAACTTGATTCCAGGCACATTATTTGAAAATACTCAAATACACAGAAAATAAGTATTGAAATAACAAATAACCAAATACACATGAACCTCTCTCGCAGACCACACCAGCATCCTCAGCGTGTTGACAGTCAGTAACTCCCCAGCCTTTAAAGAGACAGTCGGACAAGTCTTTCTCTGTCCCCTCACAGCTTAGATCATCCATCCAGATAGGACCATATCCTGAGGCCGGAATACAAACGTGTCACGGTTAATTAAAATAAACAGTGCAGACCTGCATTGTAGGCTATACACTGAGTGTACAAAACATTAGGAACATTAGGCTCTTTCCATGACATAGACTGACCAGGTGAATCCAGGTGAAAGCTATAATCCCTTATTGATGTCACCTGTTAAATCCACTTCAATCAGTGTAGATGAAGGAGAGAAGACAGGTTGAAGAAGGATTTTTAAGCCTTCAGACAATTAAGACATGGATCGTGTATGTGTGCCATTCAGAGGGTGAATGGGCAAGACAAAATATATAGTAGGGGTATGGTAGTAGGTGCCTGGCGCACCGGTTTGAGTGTGTCAAGAACTGCAGCGCTGCTGGGTTTTTCACGCTTAACAGTTTTCATGTGTATCAAGAATGGTCCACCACTCAAAGGACATCCAGCCAACTTGACACAACTGTGGGAAGCATTGGAGTCAACATGGGCCAGCATCCCTGTGGAACGCTTCCGACACCTTGTAGAGTCCATGCCCCGACAAATTGAGGCTGTTCTGAGGGCAAAAGGAGGTGCAACTCAGTATTAGGAAGGTAGTCAAATGTTTTGTACACTCAGTGTATATGGTTATGAATGGCTATGAATGGTGAGGTCATACAGATCCAACCTACCTTGTCCGTATGTTCCACCCACCACAGCAGTGAGAGCACCAGGGTAGTTGAGATGGCGACACACTACCTGTGCCTCAGTAATGTCCCAGTTGTCATCACACACGGTCCCCCACTGTCCATTATAGTAGATCTCCACGCGGCCCTCAAAGGCCAGCTCACCCCCCACCAGCCTCATGTGCCCATTCTGTACCCCTGAATGGAAGCATTAGAATACAGTCAGTAAGTCAGTCAAATAGTCCCCCCAAAGCAGTGATAAATCTGGACACAGTGGAAAATCTCCATTGAAATAGTCCAGGCCTAGGCTTAATAGGTGTCTGGGAAATGATTTGCACTTGGAAAATCAGTTTGAGGGTTTCCAGCCGCAGAGGACAACCACTGCATGTACTCACCCACAGACAAGCTGACCATGAGTAGAAGGACACAGGAAATTAGGCAATACTGCCCTGACATGTTTCTAGCCAGGCTCCTGGTGATAAGTATCTGAAAAACATGGGCAACGAAGAATGTTGAGATATAAAAGTATTAGAATAGAATACAGAATATACAATAATAAAATACAACTTTATTGCCCATTAGTAAGACCAGAAATGTGTTTTCTGACTTTCCCAAAGCCCCCCCAGATACATACACACAAACTAGGGATGTTAACGGTTAACCTAGCCGGCGAAAATACATGCTTATCAGTCTATAGGTTAATATGCATAATTTAGTAGAATTAAATTGGTGCGTGTGTATTTTCGTTAGTCGTCCTGCATCTTATGTATCACAAGCACACAGCATACAGAGCCTAGTTTGAGGAGCAGAATATCCTATCACCTGTAAAACAGACCTAAAGTAGGTCGTCACTGGAGTGAAAGGTGCTTTTGCAAGCCCAGTCATTGCGCAACAAATAACAATTCTAAATGTATAATACATTTTTTAAATAAACAACTTATTTACATAAGTATTCAGACCCTTTGCTATGAGACTCGAAATTGAGCTCAGGTCCCTCCTGTTTCCATTGATCATCCTTGAGATGTTTCTACAACTTGATTGGACATGATTTGGAAAGGTACACACCTGTCTATATAAGGTCCCACAGTTGACAGTGCATGTCAGAGCAAAAACCAAGCCATGAGGTCGAAGGAATTGTGGATTGTGTCGAGGCACAGATGTGGGGAAGAGTATCAAAACATTTCTGCACCATTGAAGGTCCCCAAGAACACAGTGGCCTCCATCATTCTTAAATGGAAGAAGTTTGTAACCACCAAGACTCTTCCTAGAGCTGGCCGCCCGGCCAAACTGAGCAATCGGGGGAGAAGGGCCTTGGTCAGGGAGGTGACCAAGAACCCGATGGTCACTCTGACAGAGCTCCAGAGTTCCACTGTTGAGATAGGAGAACCTTTCAGAAGGACAACCATCTCTGCAGCACTCCACCAATCAGGCCTTTATGGTAGAGTGGCCAGACGGAAGCCACTCCTCAGCTTGGAGTTTGCCAAAAGGCACCTAAAGGACTCTCAGACCATGAGAAACAAGATTCTCTGGTCTGATGAAACCAAGATTTAACTCTTTGGCCTGGCGGAAACCTGGCACCATCCCGACGGTGAAGCATGGTGGTGGCAGCATCATGCTGTGGGGATATTTTTCAGCGGCAGGGACTGGGAGACTAGTCAGGATCGAGGGAAAGATGAACGGAGCAAAGTACCCTGAGATCATTGATGAATACAGTGAGGGAAAAAAGTATTTGATCCCCTGCTGATTTTGTACGTTTGCCCACTGACAAAGACATGATCAGTCTATAATTTTAATGGTAGGTTTATTTGAACAGTGACGGACAGAATAACAACAAAAAAATCCAGAAAAACGCATGTAAAAAATGTTATAAATTGATTTACATTTTAATGAGGGAAATAAGTATTTGACCCCTCTGCAAAACATGACTTAGTACTTGGTGGCAAAACCCTTGTTGGCAATCACAGTGGTCAGACATTTCTTGTAGTTGGCCACCAGGTTTGCACACATCTCAGGAGGGATTTTGTCCCACTCCTCTTTGCAGATCTTCTCCAAGTCATTAAGGTTTCGAGCCTGACGTTTGGCAACTCAAACCTTCAGCTCCCTCCACAGATTTTCTATGGGATTAAGGTCTGGAGACTGGCTAGGCCACTCCAGGACCTTAATGTGCTTCTTCTTGAGCCACTCCTTTGTTGCCTTGGCCGTGTGTTTTGGGTCATTGTCATGCTGGAATACCCATCCACGACCCATTTTCAATGCCCTGGCTGAGGGAAGGAGGTTCTCACCCAAGATTTGACGGTACATGGCGCCGTCCATCGTCCTTTTGATGCGGTGAAGTTGTCCTGTCCCCTTAGCAGAAAAACACCCCCAAAGCATAATGTTTCCACCTCCATGTTTGACGGTGGGGATGGTGTTCTTGGGGTCATAGGCAGCATTCCTCCTCCTCCAAACACGGCAAGTTGAGTTGATGCCAAAGAGCTCGATTTTGGTCTCATCTGACCACAACACTTTCACCCAGTTCTCCTCTGAATCATTCAGTTGTTCATTGGCAAACTTCAGACGGCCCTGTATATGTGCTTTCTTGAGCAGTGGGACCTTGCGGGCGCTGCAGGATTTCAGTCCTTCACTGCGTAGTGTGTTACCAATTGTTTTCTTGGTGACTATGGTCCCAGCTGCCTTGAGATCATTGACAAGATCCTCTCGTGTAGTTCTGGGCTGATTCCTCACCGTTCTCATGATCATTGCAACTCCACTAGGTGAGATCTTGCATGGAGCCCCAGGCCGAGGGAGATTGACAGTTATTTTGCGTTTCTTCCATTTGCGAATAATCGCACCAACTGTTGTCACCTTCTCACCAAGCTGCTTGGCGATGTTCTTGTAGCCCATTCCAGCCTTGTGTAGGTCTACAATCTTGTCCCTGACATCCTTGGAGAGCTCTTTGGTCTTGGCCATGGTGGAGAGTTTGGAATCTGATTGATTGATTGCTTCTGTGGACAGGTGTCTTTTATACAGGTAACAAGCTGAGATTAGGAACACTCCCTTAAAGAGTGTGCTCCTAATCTCAGCTCGTTACCTGTATAAAAGACACCTGAGAGCCAGAAATCTTTCTGATTGAGAGGGGGTCAAATACTTATTTCCCTCATTAAAATGCAAATCAATTTATAACATTTTTGACATGCGTTTTTCTGGATTTTTTGTTGTTATTCTGTCTCTCACTGTTCAAATAAACCTACCATTAAAATTATAGACTGATCATTTCTTTGTCAGTGGGCAAACGTACAAAATCAGCAGGGGATCAAATACTTTTTTCCCTCACTGTACCTGCTCCAGAGTGCTCAGGACCTCAGACTGGGGCAAAGGTTCAACCTTCCAACAGGACAACAACCCTAAGCACACAGCCAAGGCTACGCAGGAGTGGTTTCGGGACATTTTACGTCATTTAGCAGACACTCTTAACCAGAGCAACTTACAGTTAGTGAATGCATACATTTTTTTATTTATATATATATATTTTTTCATACTGACCCCCGTGGGAAACGAACCGACATCCCTGTCGGCCAAACCCTCCCCTACCTTGGACGACGCTGGACCAATCGTGCGCCACCCATGGGTCTCCCGGTCGCAGCCGGCTGCGACAGAGCCTGGACTCGAACCAGGATCTCTAGTGGCACAGCGATGCAGTGCCTTATACCACTGCGCCACTCGGGAGGACAAGTCACTGAATGTCCTTGACAAGTCCTGAATGTCTCTAAATGAACCCAATCGAACATCTCTGGAGAGAAGAATGGGAGAAACTCCCTAAATACAGGTGTGCCAAGCTTGCAGCCTCATACCCAAGAAGACTCTCGAGGCTGTAATCACTGTCAAAGGTGCTTCAACAAAGTACTGAGTAAAGGGTCTGAATAGTATGTAAATGTAATATTTCCGTTTTTTCTTTTTAATACATTTGCTAAAATGTATAAAAACCTGTTTTTGCTTTATCATTATGGGGTATTGTTTGTAGATTGATCGGGGGGGGGGGGGGGGGACTATTTAATCAATTTTAGAATAAGGCTGTAACTTAACAAAATGTGGAAAAAGTCAAGGGGTCTGAATACTTTCCGAATGCACTGTATCATCGCGTCACCCACCACTTCGCAACGTGAGCTTGAGGCAGTAATTGTCTGAAAGCTTTACTTCAAATAATGAGGCATGTTTTATCTTGCTTCAAAGTAGCCTTGCGAAAATCCATCCATAGAAACGTGGAGGCAATTCTTTTATAAAGACTTCCTGATGCCATTAATCAGCATTTCTCTCCTGTTCTATTGGTTTTCATATAAACTTTATTTCGTTGTTCAGAAGCCGAAGGCACAATCCTAGTTATATTAGCAACTCATCCTAGTTGTGGTTATAGATTCCCCCTCTTTCTAAATTTCAAACGGAGATTTCCATCTCTGTCAATTTGGAACCGCTCGCATTAGGTGCACTGCTTAGAACGGTGTTTTCCAGCGAATTGCATTTTTGAAAATGACTTTTTATTAACTGCTTCATTACAAGAGTTGCATGTTCAATAATAGGCTATAGCATTTTGACTGTAAGGCGATAGGCTTGCTATTGTTGCATGTTTCCATTAAGCTCTTAATGAAAGATGTGCGGTCCTTACATGCATGCATAGTATCAGAGAGGAAGAGGCGAAGCGAGAGGTTTCACTCTTGCCTAAATCTGTCCAGAACAAGCGTTTCTTTATGTCGCCTGGCTTCCAGCCTTGGGACGACTACCATTGTTAGGGCGGAGAAATAAGCATCTCGTCATTATATACAGATCTCTGATAGCATTTTCTGTTGGGCATGTCATTTTACTGTTTGGAAAAAATGTAACCATTTGTTAACCAAATGTAACCATTTCTAAACCGATTAATGAGGGTCAGTTAGTCGGCAACAAAATTGACCGAAATTTGCATCCCTAACACAAACTAAAGGAACATACTGTGCAACATTTCCGAAAATATCCAGCAATCAAAGAAATGACAGACTGAAATGCACACTAAAAGCATAATAAAGAATTACTGACTGAAATGCACACTAAAAACATAATAAAGCCATTACAGAGGCATACACTACTTCAAATATAAAATCAGAACTGCTACTGCAATTTTTTAAAGACAGACAATTTACACTGTAGATTGTTACAATAGTTAACCACTGATCACATATTTTAATTGTTCCCTCCAGTATTATTTGCTTTTTGTATTTCAGTCTCTTTAATCATTGTACATTCAAATGTTTTTCAAGAAAATAATACTCTACCAATCGCTTCCTTAAATTGTCTCGCAGTGCCTTGCAGTCAGCATCTGGTACCTCTGAATAAATACCACACTTTGGGAGTTGATAATCACTTTTTCTACAGGGATAATCCCCTCCCTCCTCGTCCTAGAGGGCTGGCCAAATGCATGAGTTTCGTTTCTTCAGAAATTGCACCACCTCGTGCAATGCTCAAATTACATTGAATAGGCTATGCATGCATTGTTAGGCCCCGTGTAGCTCAATTGGTAGAGCATGGCGTTTGCAACGACAGGGGTGTGGGTTCGTTTCCCACGGGTGGCCAGTATAAAAATAAAATAAAATGTATGCACGTCCTATGTAGGGCTAGCTATGAATATGCCATGTATTTCACAAATGTGTTTATGACCAAGCATGCTGGATTCCCAAAATTGCATTACCACGAACGCTGGGTTATAAACATGTTAATACCCAAAAGAGACACTCTGGCGGAGTTACTTCATTTTTTATTTTTTATAAAAAAAATCATTTTTTATTTTTTATAAAAAAATTCTTAAGTTTGGTTTTTAAACTTTTGGTCCACTTAGGAGCCTACAACAAGTCACAGTAAAACATGAACATTTTTAACCATAACATTTGGGGGAAAAAATGGTATACAATCTACATTAACAATCTAAATGGACCAAAAAGAGACAATAGAAAAAACTGTCAATGGCAATGTGAGAAAATGATGGTAACTAGTCTGGCCCTAATTCAGGTCAAAATAAATAATAATCCAGACCCCCCCTCCACACACACACAGGCTGTGCTGGCTCACAGAAAGAGTGGGTCATCGTAATTTTGGTCAAGGCTCTCTATGGCTGGTTCAGCAACTGAGGGAGCTGACTTAAATGAGTAAGCAGCGGATGTGCCAAAAAGCTGCAAAACATTATCAGACAGCTGGTGCTCATAGCAAGCCTCACCAGACAGCTTCAGTCCATGTCGAATGTACAGGATGGAGTTAAGGGTCTGCAAGGACATCCGATTTCTAAGTTTGCTTTTTACCACACTCATCTGGCTGAATACTCTCTCAACTTCAGCATTCGAGTGTGGCAAGGACAACACAGACACAGCAGCCATGGCAAGTTCTTGAAACGGGTTGATATCAGCTGCATCCCTGAACTTCCAAATCTCACTCACTGTGTTTTTTGTCTCATTCCATTTACTAAGATGGATGGCATGCCATTGCTGGACAATCTTGTCTATCTCTGCAGGGGATTAGCCAAGGAGCTTGGCTATTTTTTCTATTTCTCCAGGGCTCTTATTGTGCTTTAGAGTTTCCTCCACAATGAAAACTGACATGTACTGCAATGCTTCGATATTGTCCGGCAGTCTCACCCTCAACTCATTAGTGAGGGAGATGGTGAAGGCTACACACCGCTTTCGGACATTGTTTTCATCCTCAGGCGCAAGGTGGAGCACAGCTGCCTTTGACTCAAAAAGGTAACCAAGGTACGGTTTGGGACTGATGTATCCATCTATTGGCCCTTTGAGTACATCAACATTTGCATGTGGATTCAGCACCCTGCTGCTCACAGACTTGATCAGGCTAACCAAGCTGTCAAGTAGCTTAAGAGGATCTACTTGCTCTCCCTCAAAAGCCTTGATGGCCAACTGTACCTCACCCAGCACTGACTTCAAAAAAGTCAGATACAATATGTTTTGAGGATCACTATACATGGAGTATAAAACCTCAGCCATGTAGCAGTGTTCACTGGACTTGGTGACTGCGAAATGCAGCCTAAGCTCCTCCCACTGGTCCAAAATGCATGAAACCACGGGTTCAATGGAGTGCCAACGTGTGGCACACATCTTGGTTATCTGTAAAGGTTTCTCCCCACAGTTGATGGTCTCATATATGGCCTTTTAGGCCTCCCTGCACTTTGGAGACACTGAAAACCAGCTATAAGTCTCTCGTACCAAGTACTCCACACTGCGGGGGATGGTGTCATTGGAAGCATGACTTACAGCAAGCTGCAGAGAGTGGCACACACAGCGAATAAGAACCAGATCTTTGACGCCATACTCCTCCTTTAGCACTTTATGGACCCCGTTGTTAATCCCCGTCATAACAGAGGCATTGTCAGTCCATATCCCCAGGAGTTTCTCTTTTTTAAGACAACAGTTCTCGAGGAAAGCCACAACAGCACAGGCTATAGATTTGGCATCTCCTCCCTCTAACTCAGCAGTGGAGTCTGAGAAAGCAGCTCTACATGCTTCTCCAATGTGATCACATGCCATCATGGAACAGTATTCAGCGATAGCTAATGCCATGGTGGCAGCTTGTTTTGGGTGGAACTGTTATAAGGCTTTGCCTTTTGAGTATGTTTTTGAGTTGTCATATGTTTTTTTACATCACTAAGTTTGGCGTAGAAATCAGCCTTACAATACAGGCAGTATGCCCGTGTATCATCTCCAATAAACGGCTTCAAACAGCCTTTGAATTCAGGGTTTGATTCCCACTCCTTTCTGTATTTTTGAGTGTACAGTTTAGACTGAGACATGATGAGCTAGCCAGCCAGATGTTTAGCTTATGTCACAGAGAGGCACACACACAGTGGACGAGGTTAGTAAGTGACTGAGGCTGTGGGAGTCAAATGCAGTGATTTATTTTTGTGCAGTGATTTCTTTTAGACAAAGAACATTTTACATTTACATTCAGGGCGGGATCAGCCAGCGGCGGCTTCCCGCATGCGCAATTCATTTGTAGTCTGGACGCGGAGGGGTGAACATCTCCTGCTCTGACTGCAGCTGGGAAGGACTGCTGCGCGAGGACTGGGCCGCCTGTGAGGCCCACGGCAGCACCCGCTGCTCGTTGAGAAGAGTAAGAACGATACATGCTTTCACGTCAGAGTCTCCAAAAGTCTCCAATAACACCAGAAAAAGTCGCTAGATTTGTCGCTAGTCGATTTTTTGAAAATGTGTCGCTAGAGGGGTCTGAATACTCGCTAAATATAGCGACAAAGTCGCTAAATTGGCAACACTGCCACAAGCAAGGAACAAGCAGCTTTCAGTAAAGTGATGAGTTTCCTTCAAGAGAGGGATAATGGCAACAAGACGGTGCGCAGCTGCATGCTGACAGGTTTTGACTCAAAACACTGGAAAGACTTGCTTTGAGTAGAACTGGAGTTTGCGCAAGTTGCCAGTCTCTTCCTGGCTCGGTTCACCGCCTGGATGATAGTGATGTGCAGTTCGCGAATGATTTGTTCTTTTTGAACGGCTTTTTTGCTTACTCGAGAGTCGTGATTCGTCTTTCTGAGTGACTCGTTCATTTTACCTGCTAGTCCTAGCCGCAATGAGTCATACAGCAGGATTAATTGTCTGGCACAGTGGACGCGTCATCATAATACCCATAAAACCTAGCGGTCAAACACGGAAATGGTTCCAATCGTTTTTTCACCATTCATTTTTCACATCATGAATTTTACAAACAATTCAAACTAAGTATTTGTTTGGTGTAGGCTTACTTTGGCATGACATTTTGATAACCGCTCTCTCACAAATTTAGTTTTATCAATACATTTGCCCAGGGGTGAAAGTAGATTTAATTGCTTCCCCATACAGGACCTCCCACTCACATGCACCAAAATATGTATGTGCCCTGGAAGTTCTGCCGCCCTAGACAAGACAAAAAATAGCCACCCCCCTCCTATCCAAGCTAAACTAAAATAGGCTAGTGTATAGCAGGGGTCAGTTTTATGTTAAATTAATTAATTTGACTCCGTCTCAGCAGCCTGGAGAGGCGCGCTGGGCATGGACAAGCTAAATATTTTGCGCCCCTGCCTTTGGGAAAGTGGGCACTGCTTATCATGAAACAGCTTCTATCTCAAGGCCATCAGACTGTTAAACAGCCATCACTAGCACATTAGAGGCTGCTGCCGATAGACATAGACTAGAAATCACTGGCCACTTTAAGAAATGGAACACTAGCCACTTTAATAATGTTTACATATGCATTACTCATCTCATATGTATATACAGTATTCTATACTATTCTACTGTATCTTAGTCCATGCTGCTCTGACATTGCTCGTCCATATACAGTACCAGTCAAAAGTTTGGACACACCTACTCATTCAAGGGTTTTTCTTTATTTGTACTATTTTGTACATTGTAGAATAATGGTGAAGACATCAAAACTATGAAAAACACATCAGGAATCATGTAGTAACCAAAAAAGTGTTAAACAAATCCAAATATATTTTATATTTGAGATTCTTCAAATAGCCACCCTTTGCCTTGATGACAGCTTTGCACACTCTTGGCATTCTCTCAAACAGCTTCACCTTGATTGCTTTTCCAACAGTCTTAAAGGAGTTCCCACATATGCCTAGCACTTGTTGGCTGATTTTCCTTCACTCTGCTGTCCGACTCTTCCCAAACCATCTCAGTTGGGTTGATGTCGGGGGATTGTGGAGGCCAGGTCATCTGATGCAGCACTCCATCACTCTACTTCTTGGTAAAATAGCCCTTACACACTCCTGGAGGTGTGTTGGGTTATTGTCCTGTTGAAAAACAAATGATAGTCCCACTAAGAGCAAACCAGATGGGATGGCGTATTGCTGCAGAATGATGTGGTAGCCATACTGGTTAAGTGTGCCTTGAATTCTTAATAAATCATAGACAGTGTCACCAGCAAAGCACCCCCACACACTAAAACCTCCTCCTCCATGCTTTACGATGGGAAATACACATGTGGAGATCATCCGTTCACCCACACCGCGTCTCACAAAGACACGGTGGTTGGAACCAAAAATCTCCAATTTGGACTAATTTCCACCGGTCTAATGTCCATTGCTTGTGTTTCTTGGCCCAAGCAAGTCTCTTCTTCTTATTGGTTTCCTTTAGTAGTGGTTTCTTTGCAGCAATTCGACCACGAAGGCCTGATTCACACAGTCCCCTCTGAACAGTTGATGTTGAGATGTGTCTGTGACTTGAACACTGTGAAGCATTTATTTGGGCTGAAATTTCTGAGGCTGGTAACTCTACTGAACTTATCCTCTGCAGCAGAGGTAACTCTGGGTCTTCCATTCCTGTGGTGGTCCTCATGAGAGCCAGTTTCATCATAGCGCTTGATGGTTTTTGCGACTGCACTTGAAGAAACGTTCAAAGTTCTTAAGATTTTCCTTATTGACTGACCTTCATGTCTTAAAGTAATGATGGATTGTTGTTTCTCTTTGCTTATTTGAGCTGTTCTTGCCATAATATGGACTTGGTCTTTTACCATATAGGGCTGTCTTCTGTATACCCCCCTACCTTGTCACAACACAACTGATTGGCTCAAACGCATTAAGAAGGAAAGAAATTCCACAAATTAACTTTTAAGAAGGCACACCTGTTAATTGAAATGCATTCCAGGTGACTACCTCATGAAGCTGGTTGAGAAAATGCCAAGAGTGTGCAAAGCTGTCATCAAGGCAAAGGGTGGCTATTTGAAGAATCTCAAATATAAAATATATTTTGATTTGTTTAACACCTTTTGGTTACTACATGATTCCATATGTGTTATTTCATAGTTTTGATGTCTTCATTATTATTCTACAATGTAAAAATAGTAATAATAAAGAAAAACCCTTGAATGAGTATGTGTGTCCAAAACCTTCACTGGTAGTGTATGTACAGTTGATGTCGGAAGTTTACATACTGTGATGAGTGTGATAGAAGGAGTCAGGCGCAGGAGGATAATCACCGAATGCAGAGTTTATTCCGTCGTACACAAATAGCGCTGGATAGCGACAAACGAAACAGGCACAGGGGAAAATCTACCCTGGCAATACAAGGTAACGGTAACTCCAACAATAACAGGCACAGGGGAAATATCTACCCCGGCAATAGAAATGTACGAGTAGCTCCACCGAGCTACACTACTCTCAAGAATAAACAATCACCCACAAGGACAAGGAGGGCAGAGGGAACACTTATACATGGACTAATGAGGGGATAAGAACCAGGTGTGGCTAGTAAGCTGGTGACGACGAACACTGAAGCCTGCCCGAACAAGGAGGGGAGGCAGCCTCGGCGGAAGTCGTGACACATACACATAGGTAATCATTAAAACTCGTTTTTCAACCACTCCACAAATTTCTTGTTAACAAACTATAGTTTTGGCAAGTCGGTTAGGACATCTACGTTGTGCATGACACAAGTAATTTTTCCAACAATTGTTTACAGACACATTATTTCACTGTATCACAATTCCAGTCGGTCAGAGTTTTACATACACTAAGTTGACTGTGCCTTTAAACAGCTTGGAAAATTCCAGAAAATGATGTCATGGCTTTAGAAGCTTCTGATAGGCTAATTGACATCATTTGAGTCAATTGGAGGTGTACCTGTAGATGTATTTCAAGGCGTACCTTCAAACTCAGTGCCTCTTTGCTTGACATCATGGGAAAATCAAAAGTAATCAGCCAAGAACTCACAAAAAAAATTGTAGACCTCCACAAGTCTGATTCATCCTTGGGAGCAATTTCCAAACACCTGAAGGTACCACGTTCATCTGTACAAACAATAGTACACAAGTATAAACACCATGGGACCACGCAGCCGTCATACCGCTCAGGAAGGAGACGCGTTCTGTCTCCTAGAGATGAACGTACTTTGGTGCGGAAAGTGGAAATCAATCCCAGAACAACAGCAAAGGACCTTGTGAAGATGCTGGAGGAAACAGGTACAAAAGTATCTATATCCACAGTAAAACTAGTCCTATATCGACATAACCTGAAAGGCTGCCCAGCAAGAAAGAAGCCACTGCTCCAAAGCCGCCATAAAAAAGTCAGACTACGGTTTGCAACTGCACATGGGGACAAAGATCGTACTTTTTGGAGAAATGTTCTCTGGTCTGATTAAACAAATATAGAACTGTTTGGCCATAATGACCATCGTTATGTTTGGAGGAAAAATGAGGTGGCTTGCAAGCCGGAGAACACCATCCCAAACGTGAAGCACGGGGGTGGCAGCATCATGCTGTGGGGGTACTTTGCTGCTGGAGGGATTGGTGCACTTAACAAAATAGATGGCATCACGAGGAAGGAAAAGTATGTGGATATAGTGAAGCAACATCTCAAGACATCAGTCAGGAAGTTAAAGCTTGGTCGCAAATGGTTCTTCCAAATGGACAATGACCCCAAGCATACTTCCAAAGTTGTGGCAAAATGGCTTAAGGACAACAAAGTCAAGGTATTGGAGTGGCCACCACAAAGCCCTGACCTCAATCCTATAGAACATTTGTGGGCAGAACTGAAAAAGCATGTGCGAGCAAGGAGGCCTACAAACCTGACTCAGTTACACCAGCTGTCAGGAGGAATGGGCCAACATTCACCCAACTTATCATGGGAGGCTTGTGGAAGGCTACCTGAAACATTTGCCCCAAGTTAAACAATTTAAAAGCAATGCTACCAAATACTAATTGAGTGTAACTTCTGACCCACTGGGAATGTGATGAAAGAAATAAAAGCTGAAATAAATCATTCTCTCTACTAAAATTCTGACATTTCACATTCTTACAATAAAGTGGTGATCCTAACTGACCCAAGACAGGGCATTCTTACTAGGATTAAATGTCAGGAATTGTGAAAAACTGAGTTTAAATGTATTTGGCTAAGGTGTATGTAAACTTCCGACTTCAACTGTATATATTCTTAATTCATTCCCTACTTAGATTTGTGTGTATTGGGTATATGTTCTGAAATTGTTAGATATTACTTTTTAGATATTACTGCACTGTCGGAGCTAGAAGCACGAGCATTTCGCTACACCCGCAATAACATCTGCTAAACACGTGTATGTGACCAATAAAATTTGATTTGATTTAGTACAACACAATTCACATTGTATTTTATCATGGGCACAGTGGGAATTTATATCTGTGATGTTAAAATTATGTCTTACACCCAGAGTGAGAGAGAATGAGAGAGAGAGTACGTCACTTCCAGCAGATCTCCTTGCTGAGGGTGGCGTTGATCAGGCACTGCTTCTCGTGGGGTGAGCCTGATGTTCTTCATGTCACGCATCATGTCTAAAACATGGGGAAAGGGGACATAAAGTCAACATTTCGAATCATCTACAAATGCAATGTTTTACACAATATTGTATCACATTTGATGTGTTACTGACCTGTCTGTCCACAGGCTTGATCTGCTGTAGTCTCTGCAACTGGACGGTTGTGCTCGGATCACACTGGCACAAGATAACCATGCATTGGATGGCCTGAGGGATGCACTCCTGTTGGACTGGAAAACAAAGAGTAATTTGGTCAGTCGTAGGTCTTTTTCAATGCCGTATCAACATCTTTATCTGGACAGAAAATGCATTGTTTATCATAACACAAACCCACCTTGGACAATGTGACAAGAGGTCCCTCAACACCCAATCCTCATGTCTCATTGTTTGTTCTCATTTCCCAATCAACTGTCTGGATCTTCCTCTTCTGCCATGGTGGATGAGCTACCTTTTCTGGTAAATACAGGGCCATTTCTCTTTCCCACCGGAAAATGGCAGCTGCAGACCTGAGTGTTGTCACTGGGTTTCCGGTCTGCCCATCTGAAAGACAAAAAAAGTTCATTTTATTAGCTAGTTAAGTTGATTACTAAAATGGTAACATCTTTACTAAAATACCATAACCCACAGACTTGACTATAGTAATGGTAAAATAGACTAGGCTTTGGTCTGTCTGCACATCTAAAATCCTACTATGTGGATGGGACATTTCTGCTGGGATGGAGGAATTATCTGGAATGCTAAACTAGATGATCAGGACAGTCTAGGGTACTATTTGCCCAAAGAGGTCAAGTATTGCGATGAGCTAAACTCAGTCCTTAATTTGTACATCGGCAGGTGTCGGAACAAAAAGTGAGTGCGAGAGTGGGGTGACATGGGGAGTTCTGAGGTACCAGAACCCATGAGGGGAAAAAAATAAATTCATCTTTATAATAAAGCATTGCATGCATATCATCGCATTTGCGTGTGGCATACAGCAGTAGAGTAGAGGCACTTATAGAAGTTGAACACATTGGCAAAAAAAATTGTAACCTAGGGTCTGGGAAAATGTTGGTCTTTTATAAACGCATTTCATGCTATGCTACGTCTATTTACATGACTGGAGACTTTGCCATAATATTTTTTAATACCGCACAAATGATCGAAATGGCAGGCTACTTTAACACTGACAAACTGTGAACCTGAGATCAATAAAAACGACCTTGTCTTGAATCCATCAATAGCCTAGGTGTGTGGAGACACATATTGTAGACTACAATATGAGGAGGAAATTATTGTCCTAAAAATGCTTTCCATTTTCAGTGACTCACCCAATGATGCGCAGCTCACTCGCTGGTGATGGCCGATGCTCTCGAGCCAAAAAGCCTATCTCTCTTTTGTAAAAAATAATATTTGGAAGTTGATCAAATATTTTGGTAGCCTACAGCATAGAGTCTTCTCTTCACAGCAGGAGGCATTTGCTTTCCAACTTGTGTTTTCCCTTTATTGTATTTTGAAATATTGCGAAAGCCACGTTTTGTCTGCGTGCTGTTTTTTCACTAGATTTGCTAAGCGTTCCCGACTGTATGCTATTCCTTGTTATTAGGCAACAATCCACAGCTAACGATCCTCTTTCGCAAAATTATAGGCGTTCTCATGGTGTAGTAGGCTATTCTGAATGATTTCATTTATTTCTGAACAGACAGTAGTAATTCTATAACTTTGGCAAATGTATTTCAATGTATCAGGGGTGCTGCAATTTGTTTAGAACCCTTCGCGTGGCTATGATTCTATAAGGAAATAAATGAAGTGTTGAAGAGTTGCAGGCTCATGTCTATCAGATTCAGAGTAGAGAGAGGGAGAGAGATCATAGAAAGTGAATCTCATTCTAGTTATGTGAGACATACTGGCGCGCTTCTCACACAACCACCACCACGCATTGGTCTCAAACTTAGGTTAGAATGTTGCACAAACCATAAACCCGTGCCGGCCCAAACCAAATCAACTCTTTGAATATTAGGCCCGGGCTGAAAATCTACTTTTTCACATTATGTTTTCTTGTGGGGGCAGGAAAATTAACTAAGTGGCAACTCGGTCGCTTTTATTAGAATGTTTTATTTGCAAAAAGTTACAATTATTTTTCATGCCAGGAGAGGTACCGGATCCGGCCTAATAGGTTCCGGAACAAAACAGTCCAAAACGGAGCGGTGCCACAGGATCCGGTTCAAATTAAGCACTGGATACTACTGTACTTCTGATTCTTATTCTCAAGAGGAAAGTTAAAACCCTCAGCCTGAGGTCACTAAGGAGGACCAACAGTGATAAGGGGGATCTTCTGAAAGGGACTGACATGCAGGGATGGATCATAAGGATTTTGGGCACTGGCCAGCAGATTACAATTTCTACTAGCCCGGGTAACATTCAGGTCCTAAATCTGTGGCATGTGATGTTTGTTAAGGCAAAATTTCACTGCTGTGTCAGGCTAGTTTGGCACATTTTCTACTAGCCATTTTACTATTGTGTCAGGATAGTTTGGCACATTGTCTACTAGCCCAGTCTGAAAAGTACTAGCCTCGGGCTAGCTTAATTTCCATCTCTGCTGACATGTATAACTGACTTCACGGGTCATTTGATTAGTCATGTACAACAGATGCGCTCGTGGAACAACAGGAAAACATTGAGCCCACAAGTCCTGTGTGAGCTATCTAGCCAGCTAGTTAACGTTAGCTCAACATTCGTGTAGTCAGACTTTTTCCCAGCCCCCACGGGTGGTGACATGCTAGCTAGGGGATATTTAACGTTAGCTAGTTAGCGCTAATTGCTAACGTTAGGCACATTCGCTAGAATGTCACCGCCTGTCGGGAAAGTCTGACTACACCAGGGTGAGATACAGTGCAACGTTAGCTAGCTAACATTAGCTAATGTAGCCAACTAGCCAACCAATGTGCCTAATTAGCTAGCCCACCAGGCGATATTTAGCTAGCTATATCCCTGCCCTGGTGGGATAATGTTAGTTAGCATGTCACCAAGCGAAAAACTACTTGTCGATGAGAGTTTGCGTGGAGAAATGTGAGGTTTTTCCCACCCTACGTCAAAGCTTGCGACAGGATGTGTAGTTCTGTATGATAGCCACATTAGCAGCTAATTAGCATTTCATTTTGGGGGGGTAATTACAGGCGAATATATTGATAAAAGTTACCTTACCCGAGAGAGATTTGTGCGGTTATCAAAGCGTCATGCCAGGTTAAGCCTAAACGAAACACAGACCTTATATGAAGTAGTTCTAAAATCCCCTACGGAAAAATGAATGGTGGAAAAACGATTGGAACCATTTCCGGGTTGTACTGCTCGGTTTTATGGGTATTATGACTCATACTGTGGTACTCAATACACGCTCCTCCGGCTCAGCGCCTCCAGACGTTTCTTCTTCATCTTCTTCAATGGGGTTTAATGGCGGTTGGCATCCAATTTGTTGCATTACCGCCACCTACTAGACTGGAGTACAACTCCCTTATCTATTCCTTTGAAAAATAAAATAAAACAAAGCAAAGAAATACCCTACCATCTAACACTACACTTACAAATTCAAAACTATTACTAATAATTAACCCCACCCTTCTCCACTATTTAAATATACTCACTCCTACCTCATGTCCTCATCCTGAAATGATGAGACATCACCACTTAACACTCCCTGTAACTCTTCTGCTGTCAAGTCTCGCACACCCAAATATCTCTCTGCAGCTGCCACCACAATCTAAATTTTCTTCGACTTGCGTTCCATCCCTGCAGTACAATTAATAACCATTGCTATAAACGCTAAAAATCCAAACTTACTGAAACATATATCACTTGCTTGCCTATCCCCCTGTACTGGTACATACCTCCTACTCTCCCCCCCCCCCCCCCCCCCCCCATTGACCCCCCTTCCTCTACTCTCTTCACTGCCTCCGCAAATGACAACTTCTTCTCTACTAAAACCCTGGAAACCTCAACCTGCTACTCTCGAACAGGACATGTCTGATCCCCAGCCCCATGGCCACCCCTACAATTAGCACATACCACCACTTTCCCCACTACTTCACACTCCTTTGTCTCATGCCCTTCTGCACACTTCTCACACCTTGGAATCTCCCACCTACATACTGCTGCCACATGCCCATAAGTTTGACACCTGTAACATCGTAATGTACTCGGCACATAAGCTCGCACAGGATAACTTATATATCCTAACTTCACTTTGTCAGGTAAAGACTCATCTTCAAAACTCAAAAGAACAGACAATGACTCTTCTGTTTCCCTACTCTTGCCACTCCTGCTTGCGTTGCACCAAACGACGAGCATCATACACACCGGGAATCTTCTCCTTCAGTTGATCGCTGGTTCTAATCCCCGAGCCGACTAGGTGAAAAATCTGTCGATGTCCCCTTGAGCAAGGCACTTAACCCTAATTGCTCCTGTAAGTCGCTCTGGATAAGAGCGTCTGCTAAATGACTAAAATGTAAAATGTAAAATGTTGATCCACTTTTACATTTACTGCTACCCCAGTAATTGTTATGGGTGGAAGATGGCACAATGATGCCATCTGTTGGTAAATGTTAATTACTGCAACTCCAGAGTTTTACCGGTGTACTTGAGATACCCGGATGTATTGCAATATACTGAACAAGACTGGTTACTCGCATCAATGCCTCTGCCTCGTCATTTAACATTCAAACATGGTGTCAGAGTCAGATAACTAACCATGCTTTCCGCAAATTAGAGTCACCTGTTCTGGTTAAAATTACAAATTAAAAAATAGCTTAGTTGAGTAAAACTTATCCGGAATTGTCCTTAGCTAGATTGAGTTTGCTAGTTAGCTTCAGTGTTGTTAGCACCGTTTAGACATGGCAGCGAACATTTCCCCTCCCGCCGTTATGAAGCTCAGCGGAGATTGGAGCACAAACTGGGATACGTTTAGAGGTGAATGGGAGGACTATGCACTAGCAACGGGACTTCGGGAAAAGGACGATGAGGTAGTGGCTGCCACTTTGAGGACTATAATGGGAGCAGAATGCCGACACTTATACAAACACAACCTGAACCTAACAGCAGCTCAGCAAGGTAACGCTACAGCTATTCTTGATGCTCTCGAACTTTACTTTAAGCCAGCAAAGAACGTTATCTACGAGCGTTATGTTTTCGGTTGTTGCAAACAGGAGGACGGGGAGTCCATTGACAGCTTTGTCACTAAGCTAAGGGAAAAGGCAGCTACATGTGACTATGGTGCTTTAAGAGATGAACTGATCAGAGACAAGATAGTGCTTGGCATAACTGATGAGGGCACCCGCAGACGTTTGCTGAGAGAACGTGACCTGACACTGGTCTTGGCAGTGGAGACATGCCGTGCAGCAGAGCTTACGGATATACAGATAAGGTTCCATGGAGCTAGAAAGGCAACATATGGACAATGTCAATTCTACATTCAGGCAGCCAGTAAATACATTCCCTTTTGCCACAGCTAATGCTAATACTACAGCCAACTTTGCAGTAGACAACCCCAATGCATGCCGATATTGTGGCATTTCTCATGGACGAGGAAAAGAACACTGCCCAGCCTATGGAAAAATATGCAAATCCTGTGGTACAGCTAATCACTTCGCAAGGGCCTGCATGAAAAGCAAGAGAAAGGAGGGTAAAGTGCACTCCATTGAAATAAACACAGATGAAGGGAACAATAGCACAGAGGATGTATATGCTAGCGAGTGCATAGGGGCAGTAAGGGCAAAAGGAAAAAAATGGTTTGTCACTCTGCTACTTAATAATAAACCACAGCAATGCCAGCTAGATTCAGGGGCCACATGTAACGTTATGAGCCTTAAAGATAAAAGGAGGCTCGCGCCCAGAGACAAACTCACACAGAGTAGCACCAAGCTGAAACTGTATTCAGGCCAGTTCATGACCTCTTTAGGCCTGTTTGTGACAGAGTGTGTTTTACGTGGCCAGAAACACACTCTTGAGTTTGAAATAGTTGAGGCTAGTCCAGGCTGGGCCCCTGAGCAAGGAGACTCTCCTAAGCAAGTACCATGATGTCTTCAACGCACCGGTCGAGTCAGTTCCCGGCGAAGTCCACTTTGAGTTGGATGCAGCAATCGAGCCTGTCCAGTGTGCACCTCGCAATGTATCAGTGGCCATGAAAGCAGCTACGAAGGCTCAGCTTGACAAATACGAAGCAGATGGCCACATCATATCCGTCACCGAGCCTACAGACTGGATAAGTAATATGGTTATCGTCAAGAAACCAGACAAGCTACGGATATGCATGGATCCTAAACACCTCAACCGGGCTCTGAGACGTTCACATTACATTATGCCCACGTTGGAGGATGTTCTCTACAAGCTCCCAAAGGCCAGAGTCTTCACGCTCGTGGACGCCAGAGATGCCTTCCTGCAGTGCAAGCTTGACGAGACCAGAAGCTACATGACCACCTTTTGGACACCCTGGGGCAGGAAGAGGTGGTTGAAGCTTCCGTTTGGTGTTTCCGTGGCTCCAGAGGTGTATCAGCGGAAACAGCACGAGCTGTTGATGGGACTCAGCGGCGTGGAACCCATAGCAGATGACATCCTCGTAGTGGGCTGTGGGGACAGTGATGAGGAGGCAGAATGTGACCATGACGCCAAGCTGCTGGCCCTGATGGTCAGATGCAGACAGGTCAAGCTAAGGCTAAGCATAAAAAAGCTTCAGTTTAAAGTGCCAGAGGTTCGCTTTCATGGGCACATCTTGTCCTCCACCGGATTGAAGGCGGATCCAGAAAAAGTGAAGACTGTCTTGGATATGCCCCACCCATCTGACGTGAAGGCAGTGCAGCGCTTCGTCGGATTCGTCACCTACCTGGCCAAGTTCCTACCGCGGCTCTCTGAAGTGTGTGAACCACTAAGGAGGCTCATGGACAAGGACACCATCTGGCATTGGCTCCCAAAACATGACACAGCGGTGAGGGAAATAAAACAACTGGTCACCCAGACACCTGTACTGCGATACTACGATGTGTCAAAACCTGTCACGATTCAGAGTGACTCAAGCCAGTATGGACTGGGCTGTTGCCTCATGCAAGAGGGCCAGCCTGTGGCATTCGCCTCTAGGGCACTCACTCCAACAGAGCAGAACTATGCCCAGATAGAGAAGGAGTGCCTCAGCATTGTGTTTGCATGCCAACGCTTCCACCACTACCTGTACGGGCGTGACAATATTACCGCAGAGACAGATCACAAGCCCCTTATTGCTATATTCAGCAAGCGTCTCCTGAATGCCCCGAAACGACTGCAGAGCATGCTACTGGCCCTACAAAACTACAACCTCAAGGTGGTGTATAAGCCAGGGCCAGAGATGTATGTGAGTGACACGCTCAGCAGGGCTACTGCATCAGGCACTCACACACGCTCCATGCATGAACAACATGCAGTGTGCAGCTTACAAACAGAGCAAGTGGATGTTGAACACATCAACCAGGCTGACTACCTCAATGTTACGGACCAGCGCCTTATACAAATCAGACAGCACACAGACAGGGACGAGCAACTCCAGGCATTGAGGTCTGTGATTCTGATGGGCTGGCCCGTCTGCAAGGAAGAAACTGCTTTAGCCATCAGAGAATATTGGCCAGTCAAAGAAGAGCTCAGTGTTCAAAACTGAGTAATATTCAAGGGTCAGAGAGTCGTTATTCCCCGGTCTCTGGCCCTGAGATGTTGGCGCGCGTGCACTCAAGTCACATAGGAGGTGAGGCCTGTTACAGACAAGCACGTGACACACTGTATTGGCCAGGAATGCAGAGTGAAATCAAAGACTATGTCAGTAAATGCACAATCTGCAATGAATATGCCATTGAGCAACAGAGAGAGACGATGATGTCCCACGAGCTACCAATGCGCCCCTGGCAGATAGTAAGTCTAGATCTCTTCCAGCACAGTGGCAAAGACTTTCTGCTGGTAGTTGATCATTACTCAGACTTCTGGGAGATTGACCTCCCCGACCTCTCAGCAGAGACAACGATCAAACGCTGCAAGGCTCAGTTTTCCCGCTATGGCCAGCCAGATAGGGTAATTTCAGATAATGGACCCCAATTCTCTGGATGTGAGTTCTGAAAATTTGCTGCAGAATGGGAATTCGAGCACGTCACTTCATCACCACGACACCCAAAAGCTAATGGGAAGGCTGAGTCGGCAGTCAAAATCGCAAAGAACCTCTGCAAAAAAGCTATGCGAGAGGGCAAAGATGCCTGGAAAGCAATCCTGCAATGGCGCAATACCCCGACAGAAGGCATGGATAGCAGCCCGGCCCAGCACCTCATGGCACAGCGTTTAAAAGCAGCTCTGCCAGTAGCAAGCACTCTCCTGGAGCCATGTGTGGTGACAGACGTGCTGGTGAAGCTACGTCACAGAAGACAGGTCTCCAAGTTCATCTATGACAAATCAGCAAAAGACTTACCTGAGCTCAGGGTGGGTGAAACGGTGCGAATGAAGCCACTACCAGGGGACCGGACGGACCTCTGGAGACTCGGATCCTGTGTACAGAAAGTGGCACCACGCTCCTACTTGGTCGAAGTGAATGGATCACTGTACCGTCGTAACAGGGTTGACCTTCGGATTGCTGAGCCAGCATCTACTCAGAACTCTGATGGTCATAGGGGTCGCATGACAAAAGACGGAACCCCAGCAAGTCACATGGGGCCTGACGCACTGGGCGAAGAGCCAGGGGATCACAGGTCGGCCACTCCCTCGCCCATCAATACTCCCCTTAGACAGTCAGGTGACACGCCTGTGCGGGAGCCCGCAGTCCACGCAGACAAGCCCCCTGTCTTTTCACGCTGCGGGCGTCTGTCGCAGCCACCAAAAATACTTAATCTGTAGGTTTCCCATTAGGGATTGTTGACAGACAGAGATAAAAGTGAAGAGAGTATCAAAATGTGTTAAGTGGTTAACTAAAAAAAAAAAAAAAAAATACTTAACTGTTCATGTTGGAAATTACTACTAGGTTTGTTTTGTTAGTGAACTGACAGCTCCTGTCCTATTTTATAAAAGGGAAGATGTTATGGGTGGAAGATGGCACAATGATGCCATCTGTTGGTAAATGTTAATTACTGCAACTCCAGTGTTTTACCGGTGTACTTGAGATACCCGGATGTATTGCAATATACTGAACAAGACTGGTTACTCGCATCAATGCCTCTGCCTCGTCATTTAACATTCAAACAGTAACCACTCCTTTCAATGGCGCCCTTTTCTTGAGAGCGAAACAATTCACAATTCTTGCCCCCATTTGTTTAACTCTGAGCGCCTTCTCCCTCTGCCCAACAGAAACACATACAATTATCACTAGACCACTTCTGGTTACCCTCACCGATTCCACTATACCCAACGCTTTTTTCACCCATCTTGAAACCACAAATGGATCAGCCAAAAGGCAAGGATCCACTTTTTCCACAAACTTCACTCCTACTGTCACAGACTCATCTTTATCCTGACCCTCTGTGCAAGCCTCTGGCTCCGAGCACTTCACCACACCTACCACCTCCGATACTTCACCCTCATTCTCTTCCATTTCTCCTCCTGTCTTCAGCTCACTTTGCTTACATTTCCTACCTGTCTTCTTTAACAAATCTTCTCCCTTTTTCCCTCCATTTTTAACTGACTCAAACTCACAGTCTTCCTCCCTCTCTCTCTTAGACCTCCTCTGCCTCTCCTTTTCCCTCCACTCCTCCTCTGTCATCCAAGCGCACGTCTCCTTATTATAATACTGCTTTTCTCCTAACCAATATCTGCTTCTTGCCTTCTCAAAGGACTCCATTTTCCCCCTACTTTCCCCTCCGGCGTCTATTCTATCCTCTGGACTTGTGTCGACATCTTGGCCTGCGTCTTCCATTTGGTCCGCCACATAATCCATTGGCCACCACTTCATACAATTTTAATGCTGCCTCGCCTCCAGACGTGCCCCGACAACTGTCTATTATAGCCTACATGTAGGCAATGTTTTGGTTATTTGCATTCACCTTTTGTTTACTGTGTTTGTTTACTGTTAATATAACTAGCCTAAATATAGATTGTGTCATGCCTTTATCGATCTGATATTTTGTGTATAGGTCATTATCAATAAAACGTCACAGTAAGGTGCAGAGTGTTCGATTTGCCTGCTGGGGGGCAAGGAGAGGTTGCAACGAGACCCGCAGCTCCGGTAAAATCCTTGACAACTGTGTGCCATTTTCACGGTATTGTTAAATAAATGGTAACTATTTGGTTGTAATATTATCACCTCTTCAACAGCATAGTCAGAACTATACATTTCCAATTATTGTGCAAAACAATTGCGCACATTTAGCTCTGTCATGAGGGTTATAGGCCTACAGCAGCGGTAATTATATGAAAATGGGGTCGCAGGAGAATTTCCAAAATCGTAATAAAAAAATATATATATGCAAAGAAATTATATATATATATAATATTGTCTTTGTATCTCAAAATCATTGTAATGTGGTTAACCTTAAAAATCTAAATGAAAATTATTCAAATCTAAAAGATAAAATTCAACCAGAGGCCACACTAGATCGTTCCTACGCAATGAAACCACACACTATTGCAAAGACTTTGATATTACCGTCCGCAATTGATATGGTGAAAACAATGTGTGGGGAGGCAGAGGCACAGAAACTCACATCAATAACTTTGTCAGATAACACTGTTAAATGAAGAATGTATGTTATTTCTAGCAATCAAGAGGAAACTGACTGAACGACTCAAAAACTCCCCAGATTATGCTCTCCAAATGGACGTTAGCTGTGAGGGCTGAGATGCCCCTGCATTGACTTGTGTTCGCTATAAATGTTATTCACGAGAACATATTGTTCTGTCTCACAATTCCTGAGCACGAAACGCACAGGGGATGTTCAGTGTGCTGCGTGGCTATATACAGTTGAAGTCGGAAGTTTACATACACCTTAGCCAAATACATTTAAACTCTGTTTTTCACAATTCCTGACATTTAATCCTAGTAAAAGGATCACCACTTTATTTTAAGAATGTGAAATGTCAACATAATACTAGAGAGAGTTTTATTTATTTCATCACATTTCCAGTGGGTCAGAAGTTTACATACACTCAATTAGTATTTGGTAGCATTGCCTTTAAATTGTTTAACTTGGGTCAAACGTTTCGGTAGCCTTCCACAAGCTTCCCACAATAAATTGGATGAATTTTGGCCCATTCCTCCTGACAGAGCTGGTGTAACTGAGTCAGGTTTGTAGGCCTCCTTGCTCGCACATGCTTTTTCAGTTCTGCCCACAAATGTTCTATAGGATTGAGGTAGGGCTTTGTGATGGCCACTCCAATACCTTGACTTTGTTGTCCTTAAGCCATTTTGCCACAACGTTGGAAGTATGCTTGGGGTCATTGTCCATTTGGAAGACCCATTTGCGACCAAGCTTTAACTTCCTGACTGATGTCTTGAGATGTTGCTTCAATATATCCACATAATTTTCCTTCCTCATGATGCAATCTATTTTGTGAAGTGCACTAGTCCCTCCTGCAGAAAAGCACCCCCACAGCATGATAAAATAAAAAATAAAAATAATATGCCATTTAGCAGACGCTTTTATCCAAAGCGACTTACAGTCATGCGTGCATACATTTTTTGTGTATGGGTGGTCCTGGGGATCGAACCCACTACCTTTGCGTTACAAGCGCCGTGCTCTACCAGCTGAGCTACAGAGGACCACATGATGCTGCCACCCCCGTGCTTCACGGTTGGGATGGTGTTCTCCGGCTTGCAAAACACCCTCTATTTCCATCCAAACATAATAAACAGTTCTATTTTTGTTTCATCAGACCAGAGGACATTTCTCCAAAAAGTACGATCTTTGTCCCCATGTAAATTAGCAAACCGTAGTCTGGCTTTTTTATGGCGGTTTTGGAGCAGTGGCTTCTTCCTTGCTGAGCGGCCTTTCAGGTTATCTCGATATACAGTGAGGGAAAAAAAGTATTTGATCCCCTGCTGATTTTGTACGTTTGCCCACTGACAAAGAAATAATCAGTCTATAATTTTAATGGTAGGTTTATTTGAACAGTGAGAGACAGAATAACAACCAAAACATTTTAGAAATTGATTTGCATTTTAATGAGGGAAATAAGTATTTGACCCCCTCTCAATCAGAAAGATTTCTGGCTCCCAGGTGTCTTTTATACAGGTAACGAGCTGAGATTAGGAGTGCTCCTAATCTCAGTTTGTTACCTGTATAAAAGACACCTGTCCACAGAAGCAATCAATCAATCAGATTCCAAACTCTCCACCATGGCCAAGACCAAAGAGCTCTCCAAGGATGTCAGGGACAAGATTGTAGACCTACACAAGGCTGGAATGGGCTACAAGACCATCGCCAAGCAGCTTGGTGAGAATGTAACAACAGTTGGTGCGATTATTCGCAAATGGAAGAAACACAAAATAACTGTCAATCTCCCTCGGCCTGGGGCTCCATGCAAGATCTCACCTCGTGGAGTTGCAATGATCATGAGAACGGTGAGGAATCAGCCCAGAACTACACGGGAGGATCTTGTCAATGATCTCAAGGCAGCTGGGACCATAGTCACCAAGAAAACAATTGGTAACACACTACGCCGTGAAGGACTGAAATCCTGCAGCGCCCGCAAGGTCCCCCTGCTCAAGAAAGCACATATACAGGCCCGTCTGAAGTTTGCCAATGAACATCTGAATGATTCAGAGGAGAACTGGGTGAAAGTGTTGTGGTCAGATGAGACCAAAATCGAGCTCTTTGGCATCAACTCAACTCGCTGTGTTTGGAGAAGGAGGAATGCTGTCTATGACCCCAAGAACACCATCCCCACCGTCAAACATGGAGGTGGAAACATTATGCTTTGGGGGTGTTTTTCTGCTAAGGGGACTAAACAACTTCACTGCATCAAAGGGACGATGGACGGGGCCACGTACCGTCAAATCTTGGGTGAGAACCTCCTTCCCTCAGCCAGGGCATTGAAAATGGGTCGTGTATGGGTATTCCAGCATGACAATGACCCAAAACACATGGCCAAGGCAACAAAGGAGTGGCTCAAGAAGAAGCACATTAAGGTCCTGGAGTGGCCTAGCCAGTCTCCAGACCTTAATCCCATAGAAAATCTGTGGAGGGAGCTGAAGGTTCGAGTTGCCAAACGTCAGGCTCGAAACCTTAATGACTTGGAGAAGATCTGCAAAGAGGTGTGGGACAAAATCCCTCCTGAGATGTGTGCAAACCTGGTGGCTAACTACAAGAAACGTCTGACCTCTGTGATTGCAAACAAGGGTTTTGCCACCAAGTACTAAGTCATGTTTTGCAGAGGGGTCAAATACTTATTTCCCTCATTAAAATGCAAATCAATTTATAACATTTTTGACATGCGTTTTTCTGGATTTTGTTGTTGTTATTCTGTGTCTCACTGTTCAAATAAACCTACCATTAAAATTATAGACTTATCATGTCTTTGTCAGTGGGCAAACGTACAAAATAAGCAGGGGATCAAATACCTTTTTCCCTCACTCTAGGACTTGTTTTACTGTGGATATAGATAAGGGGCACTGAGTTTTAAGGTACGCCTTGAAATACATCCACAGGTACACCTCAAATTGACTCAAATGTTGTAAATTAGCCTATCAGAAGCTCCTTAAGCCATGACATCATTTTCTGGAATTTTCCAAGCTGTTTAAAGGCACAGTCAACTTAGTGTATGTAAACTTCTGACCCACTGGAATTGTGATACAGTGAATTATAAGTGAAATAATCTGTCTGTAAACAATTGTTGGAAAAATTACTTGTGTCATGCACAAAGTAGATGTCCTAACCGACTTGCCAAAACTATAGTTTGTTAACAAGAAATTTGTGGAGTGGTTGAAAAACGAGTTTTAATGACTCCAACCTAAGTGTATGTAAACTTCCGACTTCAGCTGTAGATGAAGAACTGATTCCATGGGATCGAATGGTGGGCTTTTGCACAGACTGAGTTTGAGAAACGCTGTGCTAAACTATGTACACTGAACAAAAATATAAATGCAACAATTTCAAAGATTTTACTGAGTTACAGTTAATATAAGGAAATCAGTCAATTTAAATAAATTCATTAGGACCTAATCTATGGAGTTCACATGACTGGGAATACAGAAATGCATCTGTTGGTCACAGATGCCTTTAAAAAAAGGTAGGGGCGTGGATCAGAAAACCAGTCAGTATCTGGTGTGACCACCATATGCGTGACACATCTCCTTCGCATAGAGTTGATCAGCCTGTTGATTTTGGCTGTGGAATGTTGTCGCACTCCTCTTCAATGGCTGTGCAAAGTTGCTGGATATTGTCGGGAACTGGAACACGCTGTCGTACACGTCGATCCAGAGCATCCCAAACATGCTCAATGCGTCTGGTGAGTATGCAGGCCATGGAAGAGCTGGGACATTTTCAGTTTCAGATCCTTGCGACATCAAGCTGTGCATTGTCATGCTGAAACATGAGGGGATGGCGGCGGATGAATGGCCTCACGATCTCATCACGGTATCTCTGTGCATTCAAATTGCCATTGATAAAATGCAATTGTGTTCCTTGTCCATAGCTTATGCCTACCCATACCACAACCCCACCACCACCACCATGGGGAACTCTGTTCACAACGTTGACATCAGCCAACCACTTGCCCACACGACACCATACATGCTGTCTGCCATCTGCCCGGTACAGTTGAACATGGGATTAATCCGTGAAAAGCACACTTCTCCTGTGTGCCAGTGGCCATCGAAGGTGAGCGTTTGTCCACTGAACTCGGTTACGACGCCAAACTGCAGTCTGGTCAAGACCCTGATTAGGACGACGAGCATGCAGATGAGCTTCCCTGAGACGGTTTCTGAGAGTTTGTGCAGAAATTCTTCAGTAGTGCAAACCCACAGTTTCATCAGCTGTCCGGGTGCCTGGTCTCAGACGATCCCGAAGGTGAGGAAGCCGGATATGGAGGTCCTGGGCTGGCGTGGTTACAAATGGTCTGCGGTTGTGAGGCCGGTTGGACGTACTGCCAAATTCTTTAAAATGACGTTGGAGGCGGCTTATGGTAGAGAAATGGACATTCAATTCTCTGGCAACAGCTCTGGTGGATATTCCTGCAGTCAGCATGCCAATTGCACGCTCCCTCAAAACTGCACATTTTAGTGGCCTTTTATTGTCCCCAGCACAAGGTGCACCTGTGTAATGATCATGCCAGTTTCTTGATATGCCACACCTGTCAGGTGGATGGATTATCTTGCCAAAGGAGAGATTCTCACTAACAAGGATGTAAACTATTTTTTTGCATAACATTTGAGAGAAATAAACTTTTTGTGCGTATGGAAAATATCTGGGATCTTTTATGTCAGCTCATGTAAAATGGGACCAACAATTTATATGTTTACTGCATTTATATTTTTGTTCAGTGTAGAATATTGGCCTGTTGGAAACTACAACTCCGTACTACATCACACAGTCCAGGTTGGATCTGATTTATCTGTAGAGAAACAGCATTGAGCACACAGAAAAAAAAAGAACAAAATGGAATTCAAATAATTGAACCGAAGTAGGTCAATTAGTTGTTTAAGAAACGAAAAAAATACAAAATGTTGGTTAATAGCTCAGCACTACCAGCTAGACTAGAGGGTCTGCAGCAGGGTCCTGCAGGTTTACATTCTTTCCCTCAGTGAACTCTGTGGCCAATCAATGACATCAATTGATCAAATAACAAGTAGAAAATAAATACATGTTTGCCATTGTAGCTTATCTAAGTGCAATGGCCCCTATCAAAACGTTCACTTTTATTTCTGCCAAATCAACAATAAATCCACCGTAAAGGCTATGCACCTTTAAATTTCGCGGAGACGTCTATGGAAGTGTTTTAGCTAGTAGCGGATTGGACTAACCGCTTCGGTCCCCTCCCTTAGTAGGTACACGCCCATCAGTCACTATAGTGGCGGGAGAGATCCATGTGCACTGTCTGCAGGTAAACAAACAGCTTGATCAGAGTTTTGCATGAACAACAATAGTGAACGTTGTTGTTGATTGTGGATAATATATCCACTGGTAGCTAGTTTAACTTGCCAACTATACATACGGACCAAAGTGGGGAGAGAATTTGTTTTTATGAGCATGCTTCGATCAGCGATGCAGAAAGGGAAGAGAGTCGCGCGGGACAAAACCGAGTCATCAGCAAAACCATTCCGGAAAAGATCAAAAGCAACTGTGAAACAAGGTAGGCCTACAAAGTTGGGACTTTTTTTAAATCATCAGTCAAAAAATGAGAGTAGAATATTAGCACCGTCTTTGAATACATTAGGAAAACTGTTGAGACTCCTGGCACAAGTTATGCAACATGCCTCCCTCTCCCCCTCCTAATCTTTCTCTGTCTTTCTCTCACTGTCTTTCTGTCTGTGTTGGACCCCAGGAAGATCCCTCTCGCTCACACTGTCTCCAGGCTTTCTTTCGAGATCTCTGTCTCAGTCTTTCTCTCTGTCTTTGTCTCATAGTCTCTCTTTCTCTCAGCCTTGAGCCTCTATTGACTGTTGATTGATTGCCACAACCAAACATGTGATTTCATAATGGCATGCTGTAATGTCTTCCCTCCCCTAAGAGCCTGATGAGACTGCAGCGTCTACATACCATTCATTCCATGATCCTACTGGCGTCACACTCTTTAGGACACATATCCTGTACTGGTATGACCAGGGGAAGAGAGAGTTACCCTGGAGAACTGTGGTAAAGAGAATGACATAATATATGTTCCCATTATAGTTTCAATTATGCCTACACGCACATCAAGGCATGATCTTGATTATTGAGTGTGTACGAACTTGCTCCCTTACACCATTGGAAAGGGTGTTAGAATTTTTATTTGACATTTTGCAGGATGAAACCTCTTGAGATGCACCATCTCATTTTCAAAGTGTCCAAGTATTATCATGAATCATGAATATAAACCATGATTTGACATATAGTATATGAAACTTACATCAGTGCGCTATCTTAGCAGTATTATCTTCCTCCCTCTCAACTCCGGGTAAATTGGTCGTACCTTGGCTCGAACCCGGGGCCCTCTGCCTCGCTAACACACATAACCGACAACGTAACAACCTGTTGAGCTATTGAAGAGGATCCAATTCAACAGAATCATTGGCGACATTTCAAGCTAGCTGTGGAGTGAGCATATGGCACGTTCTTATCTCCATTACATATAGAACAGCCTAGCTAGAATAAATGTTACTTTTCCCCAAGGAATATGATTTCACTTAATGTTTCCTTAATAGGCTCTGACAGAAACGGACATCAACATCAGGACATATGCTGGTAAGACACTGCATGCTCAAGTCTCATATTATAATCTAACTAGTGGGCCTTTTGTGATATCCTAAATTGACCTTGTTTCCTCTCTAGTTTGGGTCTCAGAAATAATGTTACAGCAGACCCAGGTTGCCACTGTGATCGACTACTACAATAAGTGGATGAAGGTAGGCCAGTCTGTCGGTCTTTTATGAAGTCTGAACTTGATTTCAGCAGACTTAGTAATCACAGAAATAATGCATTTGGATTGATCTCTTCTTCTTGTGTTTTTGCCTCGTTCTTTTCCAGAGGTGGCCAACAGTACAGGATCTTGCAGCAGCTACATTGGAGGTGATTACAATGAATGCAAATGAGGGTCTGTGAGGCGAAAATGCCTTTGTATTCTGACCATCTTGTCATCAATTATCATCCTTTTTATCTGCACAGGAAGTCAATCAGATGTGGGCTGGGCTTGGGTACTACTCCCGGGGAAAGAGACTTCACGAAGGAGCTCAGAAGGTCTGTCTATAGCATATATTATTTACAATATGTACTTGCAAAAGCAAGGCTTACCACCACACCAACGTGACACTTATATGACAAGAGGAGAGCTCTCTTTGGTTCATTTTGTCAACTGCCTCTGCCTCTCTCAAAAATAGGATATTATCTTAGATGTTAGGTCCTTACCTGTCTGTTTAGTTGGAGACATGGGTGGGAAATGTACTTTTTGGTGGCTGGTGGATGCCCAACTTTTACCAGCCACTTTACCTGCCACAATGTCTAATGAAGATAAATCACAGAAAATGCATGCATGTGTTTTGTAATGTTAAAACAACACACTTACACTCACACACACACATTGTTGTTTTCTTGCATGTGGGCTTTGGATTGAATTGTGTACCAGCCAATGCCAAAATCGACCAGCATTTGGCTGGAGGCTGGTGTTCATTTCCCACCCTGGTTGTGTGACATGTACTGTGTTGCTTGAACTATTGAGTGTGTGTTCTCTGTCTATAGTGACTTCTGAGTGTGTTGTATTTGTTGTCCTGTCTGGCTGTGAACTGTACTACAGGTGGTATCAGAGCTGGGAGGAGAGATGCCCAGGACGGTTGAGGCTCTGCTGAAGCAGCTGCCTGGAGTGGGCCGCTACACTGCTGGAGCTGTGGGCTCCATCGCATTGGGGCAGGTCAGAGCTCTCTCTATACACACGCATGCTCAAACACGCACGCTCCCACACACCTTTTTAAAGTAATTTATTTTATATTACCGTTTGGGGTCACTTCGAAATGTCCTTGTTTTCGAAAGAAAAGCAAATTTTTTGTCCATTTAAAATAACATCAAATTGATCAGAAATACAGTGTAGACATTGTTAATGTTGTAAATGGCTATTGTAGCTGGAAATGGCTGATTGTTAATGGAATATCTACATAGGCGTACAGAGGCCCATTATCATCAACCATCAGTCCTGTCTTCCAATGGCACGTTGTGTTTGCTAATCCAAGTTTATCATTTTAAAAGGCTAATTGATCATTAGAAAACCCTTTTGCAATTATGTTAGCACAGCTGAAAACTGTTGTGCTGATTTAAATAAGCAATAAAACTGGCCTTCTTGAGACTAGTTGAGTATCTGGAGCATCAGCAATTGTGAGTTCGATTACAGGCTCAAAATGGCCAGAAACAAATAACTTTCTTCTGAAACTTGTCTGTCTATTCTTGTTCTGAGAAATGAAGGCTATTCCATGTGAGAAATTGCCAAGAAACTGAAGATCTCGTACAACGTTGTGTACTACTCCCTTCACAGAACAGCGCAAACTGGCTCTAACCAGAATAGAAAGAGGAGTGGGAGGCCCCGGTGCACAACTGAGCAAGAGGACAAATACCTTAGTGTCTAGTCTAGGGCCTTCTGTAGCTCAGTTGGTAGAGCATGGTGCTTGCAACGCCAGGGTTGTGGGTTCGATTCCCACGGGGGGGGCAGTATGAAAAATGTATGCACTCACTAACTAAGTCGCTCTGGATAAGAGCGTCTGCTAAATTACTAAAATGTTTAATTTAGTTTGAGAAACAGACGCCTCACAGGTCCTCAACTGGCAGCTTCATTAAATAGTACCCGCAAAACACCAGTCTCAACGTCAACAGTGAAGAGGCGAATTTGTATTTGAGAGCACCAGTGCGCCTAGAAAAAAAACTTCGCAAGACTAGTGTTTTGCAGGTACTATTTAATGAAGCTGCCAGTTGAGGACCTGTGAGGCGTCTGTTTCTCAATTACTTGTGTCGTGCAGAAAGTAGATGTCCTAACCTACTTGCCATAACTATAGTTTGTTAACAAGAAATTGTGGTTGAAAAAACGAGTTTTAATGACTCCAACCTAAGTGTATGTAAACTTCTGACATTTCAACTGTACATGCATGCATACATACATACATACATACATGTATATACATATCCTTTAAAAATATATATATTTTCCTATATTACTTTCCCTACCACCCCTCCCCTAATTGGAGTAAACTAGTGAACAACAACGCTTAGGCCTATATACATTTTACAATAATTATATTTTGTTAGTTTTTACTCCTGTCCTTCCTTTACCCTCAACCTCTCCCATCTATTTCTGATGTCAATCCGTTTTGATTTTTGTTTGCCATATCTTTCAAACTGTGCTCTTTCAGAAAAGTTCTTAACCTATTACCTATATACGTTTTATGGACAAGGTATGTTTTACATTAGTTATCTTGTTGTTATTAGTCCCAACCAGCTCCATTCAACCCCTCCCATCTATCTCTTAACACCATCCATATTGGATTTCTATTCTATTTTTCAAGTCATTTTAACCCTCCCCCTTTGACATCATCGTTCACTGACATGACCTGTGACCTCTTTTGCCCAGTTGACGGGAGCTGTTGATGGGAATGTGACCCGGGTCCTGTGTCGGGTGCGGGCTATAGGGGCAGACAGTACAAGCCCAGCAGTGACTGAAGCTCTATGGTGAGGTTGAACTCCTCAGAGTTGAAGTGAGGAAAAATAATATATTTTCTAATGATGATTCTTCATTGGATATTTAACATCTGTCCAGTGGGGGTCATCTGTTTTTAATACAAGCTGTTACAATGATGACATAGTTGACCAATTCCAACACCTAAGTCATGATACTCAATCTCATGTTGACTTAATGCACATTCTTACTTGGCTAGATACTGTATGTTTCCCTTGGTAATTGTTTGAAGGATTCATTGTTCCTCTGTGTGTATTCTAGGAGCATCGCCAACACGTTGGTGTCCCCAGAGAGACCAGGGGACTTTAACCAGGCCATGATGGAGCTGGGGGCGAGGGTGTGCACCCCTAAAGGCCCCCTGTGCACCCAGTGTCCCATACAGACTCTCTGCCACTCCTACAGGAAGGTACAACACCAAAGTAATCAACCATAACAAGACCAGGTCATAGCATTGACCTATTCCAGACCATTGATGATGACTCTCCAGTGCATACAGTGGGGAAAAAAAGTATTTAGTCAGCCACCAATTGTGCAAGTTCTCCCACTTAAAAAGATGAGAGAGGCCTGTAATTTTCATCATAGGTACACGTCAACTATGACAGACAAATTGATTTTTTTTTTCTCCAGAAAATCACATTGTAGGATTTTTAATGAATTTATTTGCAAATTATGGTGGAAAATAAGTATTTGGTCACCTACAAACAAGCAAGATTTCTGGCTCTCACAGACCTGTAACTTCTTCTTTAAGAGGCTCATCTGTCCTCCACTCGTTAACTGTATTAATGGCACCTGTTTGAACTTGTTATCAGTATAAAAGACACTTGTCCACAACCTCAGCATGACAATGATCCCAAACACACCGCCCGGGCAACGAAGGAGTGGCTTCGTAAGAAGCATTTCAAGGTCCTGGAGTGGCCTAGCCAGTCTCCAGATCTCAACCCCATAGAAAATCTTTGGAGGGAGTTGAAAGTCCGTGTTGCCCAGCGACAGCCCCAAAACATCACTGCTCTAGAGGAGATCTGCATGGAGGAATGGGCCAAAATACCAGCAACAGTGTGTGAAAACCTTGTGAAGACTTACAGAAAACGTTTGACCTGTGTCATTGCCAACAAAGGCTATATAACAAAGTATTGAGAAACTTTTGTTATTGACCAAATACTTATTTTCCACCATAATTTGCAAATAAATTCATTAAAAATCCTACAATGTGATTTTCTGGATTTTTTTTCATCTCATTTTGTCTGTCATAGTTGACGTGTACCTATGATGAAAATTACAGGCCTCTCTCATCTTTTTAAGTGGGAGAACTTGCACAATTGGTGGCTGACTAAATAATTTTTTCCCCCACTGTATGTAGCAACTGTGTTTGTATCTCTCTCTGTGCAGGTTAGCATCAAACAAGAGGAACTCAACAAAGCTTCTTGGTAAATTGAACAGGGTGCCTGCATCTCTGCCAGATATAGAAGATTGTGGTGAGTGTTTTTTTTTCCTTTTCATTGTTTCAAAGGTTTGTGCATATAAGGATGGTAGTCATATACCTGGTATTTTGAATACGGTTATTAAAGCATATTTGATAGAATTATCTAATATTGTCTACAAGTCTTTGTAACAGATAGATAATCTTGCCCCCTGGTGAATGTGTGTTTGCCACCTTGACTTTGCCAAATAATTCTCACAAAACATGTAAACAGTTCCTGACTCCTCCCCTAACTCTGTCCTCCTGACCCCCCAGTGACCTCAGGAACATGTAACCTGTGCCCCACGGAACCCTGGGACAGCGAGCTGGGCGTTCTGAACTTCCCCAGGAAGCCAGTGAAGAAGGCTCCTCGTGTGGAGCGCACACTCACCTGTGTTGTGGCCCGGCCAGGAGCAGGAGGAGAGAGGGAGTACCTGCTCAACCAAAGGCCAAGCAAAGGTCAGCTGCCCTAATATATAGTCTGTGTTTTAAATGGCACCCTAGTCCCTATCAGGGCTCTAAAGAGCAAATATTTTGGTTGCATATGCTCCTAAATATTTAGCAGTGCGACCTGGAATTTTTATTTGAGAGCACCAGTGCGCCTAGAAAAAAAACTCCCAGATAATAATTAATTGTTATAATGATTAGGCTTTGCTGTACCGTTGTTTCCGAGTGCCCTAGAGAAAGAAGTGCAGATTTGTTAGTGTCATGGTTGCACCATTACTACAGTGAAAACATCTAGTTTCTAGTCCAAACAGTTCACAGCCTCATTTATAAACATTGCGTACGCACAAATGATGCCCCAAATCATGCGTGTGCCAGTTTTCACGCAAAAGTTGCCATTTATGCCATTTATAAAACTGAACTGCCAATCCTCCCGCAAACTTTAGACCATGCGTGCACACCGTTTCTAGAGGTTGAAGTCTAGCATTGCAAGAAGCAAAAAGTAGCCTAGTAGGAACCTTGTGAAAATGGGGAATATATTCATAATAAAAGAACAGGTAGGCCTAGCTAAATATAATAACAAGATGCAATCATTAGCCGTTAGTTAAATCTATTTATCTTTGCATTCTAAAATATTTGGAAATAGGCATATATTTTGCTAAATCAATTCCTCACCTTTTCTGACTGTGGTGGTTTCACGTTATTCAGGTGCTCCGTAACATCCACCATAAATGCAAGGTCCTGCATCCATTCTGCGGAATGAAATTCTAACACTGGTTTGCCCTTTTCTTCCATGAACTGTTCAATTTCTTCTCGTAAATCAAAGAAATGCCTCAGCACAGCACCTCGGCTTAACCATCTTACCTCAGTGTGGTATGGCAGGCCATAGATGTGGTCTTTCTCTCTGAGAAGGCTGTCAAACTGACGGTGATTCAGGCTTCTGGATCGGATGAAATTAACAGTTTGGATGACCACCTTCATGACGTTATCCATCTTTAATGACTTGCAACACAAAGCCTCCTGGTGCAAAATACAGTGAAAAGTCAAAAAATCACGTCCTCCATTTGCAGATTGCACTTTCTCTCTGAACTTTGTCACAACGCCTGCTTTTTTCCCGATCATTGAGGGCGCACCATCTGTAGCCAGGCTGACAGTGCGGGACCAGTCCACTCCGACCCTGTCCAGCGCGCCGACGAGTGCGGTAAAAATATCAGCTGCTGTCGTTGTATCTGTCATCGGCACCAACTCCACGAACTCCTCGGTGACGGTCAATGTGTCATCAACTCCGCGGATGAAAATGGCCAGTTGTGCAACATCTGTAATGTCCGTGCTTTCATCAATTGCAACCGAAAACGCAATAAATGACTTTACTTTTTGCTTCAACTGGCTGTCCAAATCCACTGAAAGATCGGAAATCCTGTCTGCAACTGTGTTTCTTGTCAGGCTGATATTTGCAAAAGCCTGCCGCTTTTCAGGGCACACAATCTCCGCTGCCTTCATCATGCATGTTTTTACAAATTCACCCTCACTAAATGGTTTTGAAGCCACTGCGATTTCATTAGCAATGAGGTAGCTAGCTTTCACTGCAGCGTCACTGATGTCTCGGCTGTGAGTAAACACAGACTGCTGTTTCTTCAGACCCGCCAACAGTTCATTCACCTTCTCTCATCTCCGCTGTCCTTGAAAGTTGTCATATTTGTCGGCATGAAGACTCACATAGTGGCGACGAAGGTTATATTCTTTCAGCACTGCAACATGCTCTGAACACACCAAACATACAGCTTTCCCATTAAATTCCGTGAATAAATAGGATGACCATTTTTCTTGGAACACTCTGCGTCCACTTTTCTCTTTTTTGACAGAGACATATTGGGGAAATGAGGGTGCCAAAGCACATAATGTTAAAAGTAGAAGCCGTAATAAATATCGCGGGCAAAACAAAGTAGCTCATTGGCTGCACGTGCTTGACCTACTTGCTCTGCCCCGGTATAAACAGTTTGCTTGCTTAACACAATTGCTATTGCGCCATCCATTGGATGCAATTGGAACAGCAGTTTATTTTATTGAAAAATTGCAGCGCATTTTTATACTTTACAAAATTATTAATACATATATATATATATTTTTTTTTTTAAATCATCTCGCGGGCCGGATTAAACCCGTTTGCGGGCCGGATCCGGCCCGCGGGCCGGACGTTTGACACCCCTGCATTAGGCTAAGCATTTCCCAATCAAAATGTACAACTATTACTTCCCATTGCAAAAACAATTTTCACGCTTAGCACACAAAGTAACCGGTGATCTAAAGTTTTAAAAGAAGGCAAGCAACAGCGAGCAAGCTGCAATAAAAAACACAGTTCCACTCACCAGATGATGATCATTTGAAACTTAACTTCTTGTTGAAAGTTATTCTTGATAAGGGAGAAGCTAACAGATTAGCAACAACATCTTCTTCGATAACACCTGCTGCAGCCGCTGCAAACTATCCTACAAAAAAAGCTAGCTAGCTAGACTGTCTGAAATCTACTGCTCACTGTAAACTACTGCCTCCTGTAGCTCAGTTGGTAGAGCATGGCGCTTGCAACGCCAGGGTTGTGGGTTTGTTTCCCAAGGGGGGCCAGTATGAAAAATGTATGCACTCTGGATAAGAGCGTCTGCTAAATGACTTAAATGTAAATGCAAATATTGCGCAGTATCTTGTATTTTTTTTTAAAGTTAGGAGCACCAGTGCTACCAATGGAAATGGTTAATTTAGAGCCCTGGTCCTTATATTCACTATATAGTGAATAGGGTACCACTTGGGACAGGCCCCTAGTATAGCACTAAAACACACCGTCCAAGCATTTCATTTTGCACCATTCATGTTGTTTTCTGCATGATGTTTGTGCCATTGTAAAGCTCCAAGGTGGGTGCGTTTACTATATCTTTACCGTTGTTTTCACTAACATACACTACTGGTCAAAAGTTTTAGAACACCTACTCATTCAAGGGTTTTTCTTTATTTTTTACTATTTTCTACATTGTAGGATAATAGTGAAGATATCAAAACTATGAAATAACACATATGGAATCATGTAGTAACCAAAAAAGTGTTAAACAAATATTTGAGATTCTTCAAAGAAGCCAACCTTTGCCTTGATGACAGCTGTGCACACTCTTGGCATTCTCTCAACCAGCTTCATGAGGTAGTCACCTGGAATGCATTTCAATTAACAGATGTGCCTTGTTAATTTGTGGAAGTTTTTTCCTTAATGCGTTTGAGCCAATCAGTTGTGTTGTGACAAGGTAGAGGTGGTATACAGAATATAGCCATATTATGGCAAGAACAGCTCAAATAAGCAAAGAGAAACGACAATCCATCATTACTTTAAGACATGAAGGTCAGTCAATCCGGAAAATGTAAAGAACTTTGAAAGTTTCTTCAAGTGCAGTTGCAAAAAGCCATCAAGCGCTATGACGAAACTGGCTCTCATGAGGACCACCACAGGAAAGGAAGACCCAGAGTTACCTCTGCTGCAGAGGAAAAGTTCATTAGTTAACTACACCTTAGATTGCAGCCCAAATAAATGCTTCACAGAGTTCCAGTCACAGACACATCTCAACATCAATTGTTCAGAGGAGACTGTGTGATCAGGCCTTCATGTTCGAATTGCTGCAAAGAAACCACTACTAAAGGACACCAATAAGAAGAAGAGACTTGCTTGGGCCAAGAAACACGAGGAATGGACATTAGACCGGTGGAAATCTGTCCTTTGGTCTGATGAGTCCATATTTTTGGTTCCAAATGCTGTGTCTTTGTGAGATGCAGAGTAGGTGAATGGATGATCTCTGCATGCGTGGTTCCCACCGTGAAGCATGGAGGAGGAGGTGTTATGGTGTGGGGGTGCTTTGCTGGTGACACTTAGTGATTTATTTAGAATTCAAGGCACACTTAACCAGTATGGCTACCACAGCATTCTGCAGTGATACGCCATCCCATCTGGTTTGGGCTTAGTGAGACTATCATTTGTTTTTCAACAGAACAATGACCCAAAACACACCTCCAGGCTGTGTAAGGGCTATTTGACCAAGAAGGAGAGTGATGGAGTGCTGCATCAGATGACCTGGCCTCCACAATCACCCGACCTCAACCCAATAGAGATGGTTTGGGATGAGTTGGACCGCAGAGTGAAGGAAAAGCAGCCAACAAGTGCTCAACATATGTGGGAACTCCTTCAAGACTGTTGGAAAAACATTCCTCATGATGCTGGTTGAGAGAATGCCAAGAGTGTGCAAAGCTATCATCAAGGCAAAGGGTGGCTACTTTGAAGAATCTCAAATATAACATATATTTTGATTTCTTTAACACTTTTTTGGGGTTACTACATGATTCCATATGTGTTATTTCATAGTTTTGATGTCTTCACTATTATTCTACAACGTAGAAAATAGTTTAAAAAAAGAAAAACCCTTGAATGAGTAGGTGTGTCCAAACCTTTGACTGGTACTGTATTTTTCAAAGGTAACCTTTTTGATATCAGTTGTGATTATTTGAGGACCCTCATTAACTGTCTGTATGCTTTTCTTCCTTTCTTTCTTTCCTTCCTTCCTTGTAGGACTGTTGGCTGGTATGTGGGAGTTCCCTAGCCTGCTCCTGGAGGGGGAGAATTCTGAGATGAAACAGAGGGGGGCGCTGTGTGCTGGGGTTGGGCGAATGTTGGGAGTCCGGCTGGACAAAGGGCTGCTCCAGTATGTGGGGGAGGTATGTACAGGAGACCTGGGCCTACTGTTATGTTTTGCCCATCAGGGACAATAAAGAATATGTCCCAAATGGCACCCTATTGGTCCCAGCCTATGACTATTATTATTATTATACATTTCTCTGGAAAAATTCTGAATTAATGATTTGTTATTTCGACTCGTGTCATTATACGTTTGTATTAGTATGCTAAGCTGGACTTCTCCCTAAATCATTGCAATTGACTGTTGCTGTTTTGCTACTGTACAGGTGGTTCATATCTTCTCCCACATCCACCAGACATATGTTGTGTACAGCCTGTGTTTGAATGGCTCTGGAGGTGGAGGGAAAGCCCAGAGTACTACACGCTGGCTCATTAGATCTTCCCTGCAGGAAGCTGCTGTATCCACTGGAGTGAAGAAGGTTTGTAATCATAACTTGCTATGATCTACTGTGTGTTTGTGCGTGTGTCACTAAGACAAGGGTAGGAAACTAGATTTTGCCGCGGGCCGATTTTTCTCAGAGCGGATGGTCGGTGGACCGAACATAATTGTAATAATTTGTACACTGCAAATTGACCACATGTAAGCCCAAAAAGAGATTGTATTTGAAAATATAATTTCATACCTTGATTACATTGAGACAAGATCACGTCTCTTTTTGTTCGTGGGAATACTTGGGATTTTTTTTTTTTTTTTTTTGCTGAACTCCTGGTGATTTACAGTCTTTTTTTACAAAGAACTTTGGGGGGCCAAATAAAATCACCCGCAGGCCTAAAGGTCAAGGCCACATTGGGGGTTGGCTAAGGGAATTCTAGAACCTTTACATTGTTATCGTTATTACTTTATACATTTTTTGTGGGGGATTTATGTTTTATTTCAAATGACATTCGCAAACAGTGCCTTCAGAAAGTGTTCACACTTTGACTATCCACATTTTGTTGTGTAATGTAAAATTACATTGAGATTTTTTTTCACTCATCTACACACAATACCCCATAATGTCAAAGTAGAAGTTTGTTATCAGATTATTTAAAAAAATTATAATAAAAATGAAAAGATGAAATGTCTTGAGTCAATAAGTATTCAACCCCTTTGTTATGGCAAAGCTAAATAAGTTCAGGAGTAGAAATGTGCATAGCCGATAACATAATAAGATGCATGGATTCACTCTGTGTACAATAAGTGGTTAACGTGATCTTTGAATTACTACTAAGATTGTACCCCACGCATACAATTATCTGAAAGGTACCTCAGTCGAATAGTGAATTTCAAGCACAGATTCAACCAAAAAGACCAGGGAGGTTTTCCAATGCCTTGCAAAGAAGCCCTTACAAAAAACGATTGCAGTTTTGAAACTGCAGTAAAAGTGCATTAACTGCAGTCGACTGTGGTATTTTGGATGCAGCATACTGCAGTTATACTGCACTCTGACTGCAATCTTTCTTCGTAAGGGAGGGCACCGATTGGTAGGTGGGTAAAAATAAACAAAAGCAGATACTGATCCCTTTTGAGCATGGGATACTCAGTTGCCAGAGAGGAAGGGAACCGCTTAGGGATTTCACCATGAGGCCAATGGTGATTTTAAAACAGTTAGTTTAATGGCTGTGATAGGAGAACTGAGGATGGATCAACAAAATTGTAGTTACTCCACAATACTAGCTTAAATTACAGAGTGAAAAGAAGGAAGCCTTTACAGAATACAAATATTCCGAAACATGCATCTTGTTTGCAACAAGACATTAAAGTAATACTGCAAAAATAATGTTGGCAAAGAAACAATATTTTTGTCCTGAATTCAAAGAGTAATGTTTGAGGCAAATCCAACACAACACATGACGGTGTACCACTATTTTCAAGCATGGTGGTGGCTGCATCATGTTATGGGTATGCTTGTCATCGGCAAGGACTGAATAGTTTTTCAGGATAAAAAGAAACATAATGGAGCTAAGCACAGGCAAAATCCTAGAGGAAAACCTGGTTCAGTCTACTTTCCAACAGACACTTGGAGACACATTCACCTTTTAGCAGGACAATAACCTAAAACACAAGGCCAAATCTACACTGAAGTTGATTACCAAGACGACATTGAATGTTCCTAAATGGCCTAGTTACAGTTTTGACTTAAATCTGCTTAAAAATCAACCTGGTCTCAGAGCATTTTGTATTATTCTGTATGTAAATCCAAGACACTCCTTTAGTATGATATGTCGTATGGCATGTATTAATTTATGGCTGTCAATCACCCATTTCGTATGATATGTTACGAATTACAATTTGTATTATATGTTAGGTATTTGCAAACGTAGAATATGTTACGAATTTGCTGAACATATGATATTTTACAAATTGTGGCTAGGTGGCTAACGTTAGCTAGCTGGCAAACGTTAGCAATGCTAGGGGTTAGGGTTAGCTAAAAGGGTTAAGGTTAGGGGAAGTGTTAGCTAAAAGGGTTAGGGGAAGGGTTAGCTAACATCCTAAGTAGTTGCAAAGTAGCTAAAAAGTAGTAAGTAGTTGCAAAGTTGCTAATTAACTAAAATGCTGAAGTTGTACGTGATGAGATTCGAACTCGCAACCTTTGGGTTGCTAGATATTCGTGTTATATGCCCTGTCATTATGTTTAATTCTTAAAAACTGATTTTTAATTATCTTCCACATCGACATTCAAGTATTTTGTGTAGATCGTTGACCAAAAATGACCAATCCATTTTAATTCCACTTTGTAATGCAACAAAATCAAGGGGTGTGAATACTTTTGGAAGCTATTGTAGGTTCACATTTCACAAATGGAGTGAAAGATGGTGTGCAATAAATATAGCCATATGTCTACTGCACATATGAGTTAGTTTTGTTATAAGGCCACTCCCTGCCAGACATTTCTATTGCATGTACTTTGATCCACAATGTTCCATAAACCACTCCTTATCTGAATGAGGGTTTCAAAGAAAATAGAATTTAACTAATTCAATCACCTTCACTCTATGACAAAACATTGGACTCGGTATCTGCCTCTACACTATATTTAATCAGTCTCACCTTCTTAAAGGCCAAATTCAGCTGTTTTTATATCAATATCAAATCATTTCTTGGTAACAATTAAGCACCTTACAGTAATAGATTTCAATTCAAGATTTCCATTTAGTGAAAAACTATATCTCAAGCAGGAATTTTGCTAGTACTGTCTGGAAGTGGGGAGCGGAAAACTGAACATTAGCGGTTTGGAACTCTATGTTATTGGTCTATTAACCAATTCACTGCATGGTGATGTCACCATGGAAAGTCGAAACTCCCGGCCATGCAAACCTGCTGATTAGAAGGTCCTGTGTAGATTGCATTTTCAACCAGCAACTATCAGCAAATAATACTGCTACATTTTTTTCTCACTTTTACAGTGTTCGTTTCATCAGCTGTTGTACAATATGATATAAAACACAGGAAAAATAGAATTCTGACTGCACTGAGGCTTTAACTTTTAAGAAATAAATTAGAACTCATTTCAAATCTGTAGCTGCTAATACTTCAGTTAATAGAGAGCTATTCTGTTGTTTGATCTGTCTGGACATACTGAAGGATCTACTTCCTGTAGACAGAGCTACTGTATGAGCTTTATTAATGACCACTGTAATCAGGATGATCGGAAACGTGTCTACAGCTGCTCCCATTGCAGACAGACATTCACCCCAAGGCCTACTCTGAAGAAAAATAACATGTTGGCTGAATTAGTGGAGAAACTGAAGAAGACAGGACTCCAAGCTGCTTCTCCTGCTCACTGTAAGCTGGACCTGGAGATGTGGAGTGTGACGTCTGCACTGGGAGGAAGCATTTCAACGCTTTGAGTTATCTTGTGTGCCTGGCCTCATACTGTGAGACTCACCTCCAGCCTCACTATGAATCTCCTGCCTTTAAGAAGCACAAGTTGGTCAAAGACACTACAGGAGAAGATCTGCTCTCATCATGACAAACGACTGGATGTTTATTGAGGTACTGATCAGCAGTGTATCTGTCTGCTGTGTACAATAGATAAACATAAAGGCCATGACAGTCTCGGCTGCAGCAAAAAAGGACTGAGAAACAGAATCGGGGGAAATTGAGACAGGACCCATTCCAACAGATAATAAAAGAAAAGCAGGGGAAGAGTTTAGAAAAGCTATGGTGTCACTGAAACATTCTACTAAGGCCACAGTGGAGGACAGTCAGAGCATCTTAACTGAGCTGATCCGTTCCATTGAGAGAAGGCTGTATGAGGTTAAGGACCAGATCAGAGCCCAGGAGAAGGTTGAAGTGAGTCAGGCTGAAGGACTCCTGGAGCGACTGGAGCAGTAGGTGGCTGAGCTGAAGAGGAGAAACATTGAGCTGGTGCAGCTCTCACGCACAGAGGACAACATCCATTTCCTCCGGAGGTACAAGGATCACTGTGACCCTCCTGTGTTTGAAGAATCACCTCGCACCACCATTTACAGTTGTTGTAGTTTTGGGAAAGCAAAGAATTCTGTCTGTCGGAACTGAAGCAGCAGGCAGAGAGCTATTGTAAGAAGGGAGTGGTGGTCATAATCGCGGCAGTACAAGCTGTGAAATCTGTCCAAAAGGAAATGGCAATAGTAAAATATTGTGAGTAAAATTATTCTTGTTGTCAATGCTATCACGTCTATGACTTAGTACTAATCAACAGTTTGTGTTGCATTTTACTTTCACAGTTGTCTGAACTTGCATTTGATTTGTCTACAGCTTGCTTCTTTGTAATATTATATCTGTACCACCAGTTATCTATTAAGAGGTATGTGTGTAACTCCTCCCTTAATTAACACATTTCTATGTAGGCCTACTCTGTTGCTTTAACTGGTTTCTGAATGTTTATTTGATTCAGCATCCTTTTGGGATTTGTAAAGATTGTATTCAAATTAAACATACACTGAGTGAACAAAACATTAAGAACACCTTTCTACTATTGAGTTGCACCCCCTCCCTTTTTGCCCTCAGAACAGCCTAAATTAATCGGGGCATGGACTCTACAAGGTGTCGAAAGCGTTCCACAGGGATGCTGGCCCATGTTGACTCCAATGCTTCCCACTATTGTGTCAAGCTGGCTGGATGTCCTTTGGGTGGTGGACCATTCTTGATACACACTATCTGTGAAAAACTCTGCAGTGTTGCAGTTCTTGACACAAACCAGTGCGCCTGGTACCTACAATCATACCCCGTTCAAAGGCACTTAAATATTTTGTCTTGCCCATTCACCCTTTGAATGGTGCACATACACAATCCATGTCTAGGTTGTCTCTAGGCTTAAAAATCCTTTAACCTGTCTTCTCCACTTCAACTAGACTGTTTGAAGTGGATTTAACAAGTGACATCAATAAGGGATCACCTGGATTCACCTGGTTAGTCTGTCATGGAAAGAGCATGTTCATAATGTTAAACTGAGTAACTTTAGAAGTCCATAACGGTTCCTAAGTGTGACATGTTCCTCTTCTTGTCTCATTTTCTTCAACTAAATTTCCTTGGGTGGAAACAAAACAGTGCCCCCCACAAAGAGTCCCGCATGAATCAATATTTTACTCTCAGGACAAGATAGTTTCCTCTGTACTCTGGATTACAACTATCTAGCGCCCATGCAGTCTTTTAATTGTATTTTTAAATCATCACTGTATGTCTAATACATCACTGTGTGTTTATTTCATGAAAATAACTCCAAATATATTTATTTGCATTTATTTCCCTGAGCCTCCTTTTTACATTTAACATTTTAGTCATTTAGCAGACACTCTTATCCAGAGCGACTTACAGTTAGTGAGTGCATACATTTTCATACTGGTCCCCCGTGGGAATCGAACCCACAACCCTGGCGTTGCAAGCGCCATGCTCTACCAACTGAGCTATACGTGTGGGCATGTTGATACAAATGTAAATATATTTACATACACATCCCTGATTGGTAGATGTATCCCCCTCAAAGTGGATACATATGCAAATAAAAGTTTACTGGTCATTTGTCAGAATAATCATATCAGATTGTGATGTCATGCTGTGGGCTAAAAACTCCATCTCACCTGAATAAACTTTTTGAAAGCTCTTACACTAAAAGGGCATTATCATAATTTTCTCAATTTCAGAGTGTTATTTCGACCTCATAGTGTGGAAATACCAGTAAGAAAAACAGGAAAATCTGGTTTTTGACTGCACTTCCCCTTTAAAAATGACAAAAACTAAATTGAAACTGTGTAGAAATTATAATGGACCTACACTACTGGTCAAAGGTTTTAGAACACCTACTCATTCAAGGGTTTTTCTTTATTTTTACTATTTTCTACATTGTAGAATAATAGTAAAGACATTAAAACTATGAAATAACACATATGGAATCATGTAGTAACCAAAAAAGTGTTAAACAAATCAAAATATATTTGAGATTTGAGATTCTTCAAATAGCCACTCTTTGCCTTGATGACAGCTTTGCACACTCTTGGCATTCTCTCAACCAGCTTCATGAGGTAGTCACCTGGAATGCATTTAAATTGACTGTAAGTCGCATTGGATAAAAAGCGTCTGCCAAATGGCATATTATTATTATATAAATTAACAGGTGTGCCTTCTTAAACGTTCATTTGTGGAATTTCTTTCCTTCTTAATGCGTTTGAGCCAAGCAGTTGTGTTGTGACAAGGTAGGGGGGTATACAGAAGATAGCCCTATTTGGTAAATACCAAGTCCATATTATGGCAAGAACAGCTCAAATAAGCAAAGAGAAACGACAGTCCATCATTACTTTAAGACATGAAGGTCAGTCAATACAGAATATTTCAAGAACTTTGAAAGTTTCTTCAAGTGCAGTTGCAAAAACCATCAAGCGCTATGATGAAACTGGCTCTCGAGGACCACCACAGGAATGGAAGACTCAGAGTTACCTCTGCTGCAGAGGATAAGTTCATTAGAGTTACCAGCCTCAGAAATTGCAGCCTAAATAAATGCTTCAGAGACTTCAAGTAACAGACACATCTCAACATCAACTGTTCAGAGGAGACTGTGTGAATCAGTCCTTCATGTTCGAATTGCTGCAAAGAAACCACTACTAAAGGACACCAATAATAAGAAGAGACTTTCTTGGGCCAGAAACACAAGCAATGGACATTAGACTGGTGGAAATGTGTCATTTGGTCTGGAGTCCAAATTTGAGATTTTTGGTTCCAACCGCCGTGTGTTTGTGAGACGCGGTGTGGGTGAACGGATGATCTCTGCATGTGTATTTCCCATAGTAAAGCATGGAGGAGGAGGTGTTATGGTGTGGGGGTGCTTTGCTGGTGACACTGTCTGTGATTTATTTAGAACTCAAGGCACACTTAATCAGCTTGGCTACCACAGCATTCTGCAGCTATACGCCATCCCATCTGGTTTGGGCTTCGCGGGACTATCATTTGTTTTCAACAGGACAATGACCCAAGACACCTCCAGGCTGTGTAAGGGCTATTTTATCAATAAGGAGAGTGATGGAGTGCTGCATCAGATGACCTAGCCTCCACAATCCCCCGACCTCTACCCAATTGAGATGGTTTGGGATGAGTTGGACCGTAGAGTGAAGGAAAAGGAGCCAACAAGTGCTCAGCATATGTGGGAACTCCTTCAAGACTATTGGAAAAGCATTCCAGGTGAAGCTGGTTGAGAGAATGCCAAGAGTGTGCAAAGCTGTCATTAAGGCAAAGGGTGGCTATTTGAAGAATCTCAAGTGTAAAATATATTTTTTGGTTACTACATGATTCCATATGTGTTATTTCATAGTTTTGATGTCTTCACTATTATTCTACAATGTAGAAAATAGTAAAAATAAAGAAAAACCCTTGAATGAGTAGGTGTTCTAAAACTTTTGACTGGTAGTGTACATTTATACCGTTTCCTGACTGACCAGCTCACAAATAATCACCTAAATTAAAGCTAGACAGTCAGGGAGTATCAAATTCCAAAAACGATGGATAGAGGACTATCTTTGCAAATTTTGACAGCGAGGAAATATATCCCTTTTTTGGGGGGGCCCTCCGGACCTCGTTGAAGACCGGATGCGGCCCCCGGTGCAACATTTGTTTGACACCCCTGATCTAGGGTGTGTGTGTGTGTGTTTGTATGTGCAGAGTTTTGTGATTAGAACTGTGAAGGTGAACAAGAATAGTAATGTGTCATTTATCTCTTGCAGATCATGAAGCTGTACGACACTATGGAGGATCAAGAGGGACAAACTACCAAGGTATTTCACTACATCACATTCATTAGCAGGACACCCTTATCCAGAGTGAATATGATTATACTGTATTCTGAATGTATACCTGAGAATCCTTCTGTATTGACACCTAGACTAAATGACCCATTGATGACCAATACTGATGCCAATGGTAACTCTTCTCTGTTCTTGTCTCTGTCCGGATGGGAAACAGAAGAAGGCTACTAACGCTAAGAGTGACGGACAGCACAAGTCTAAAAAGCTCAAAGACAATTCATCAAACAGTGGGACCAGACAGCTGTCACTCAGTTCCTTCTTCAAGAGCCCAAAACAAGAATATTGACCAACTTATACTTACTCACAATGAATAACAAGGTCGTTTTCTTTTTACAAAGCTGATCAAGTACCGTACAGTGACTACTACTGTGCCTTGCTGTCTGGATAACTACCACAAGTTTCAAAGTGGTCTGGGAAATTATTCCATGAGTGGAATACTTTTTAAGAGCAAAAAGTGTGTGTCATTTTTTAGTTGAATGCTGAACACAATTTTAAACAAATAAATAAAAATGTAAATAACAAATTGCAACAGTGGCCTCCTATATGTTGCATAAAATATGATTTGGTGCATTTTATAATAATAATAATATGCCATTTAGCAGACGCTTTTATCCAAAGCGACTTACAGTCATGTGTGCATACATTATTTTTTTGTGTATGGGTGGTCCCGGGGATCGAACCCACTACCTTAGCGTTACAAGCGCCGCGCTCTACCAGCTGAGCTACTATCATATGATAGCTATTTAAGTGATAATGCCCGATAAGCCGTTATTTGGAGGATATATTTGCGCAGGTGTTGTTAGGCCCAAGACAAAGTCGAGGGCTGGCAAACCGTGGCAATATATCCTCCAAACACCGGCTTCGGGGGCATTATCCATTTTATACAACGCGTTAGGCGTTACCAACATATTCAAATAATGATTTACATATTTTCATTAACTTTATTTTGATGAATTTATTCATACTATTTCATCCTTCCACAATAAATAATAATACATTGCAACAGTGGCCTCCTATATGTTGCATAAAATATGCTTTGGTGCGTTTTACCTCTATCATATGATATAATCAGAGATACACATGCATTGAGGAGACTAAAGACATGTAGACTGACTAAAGCTGGAAGATACAGTATATTTTTATTTTTATTTTTTGTGATATCTAGCAGTTCTGTGGCTGCCGTGCCAAAATTGGGGCGGCAGGTAGCTTAGTGGTTAAGAGCGTAGGGGCATTCCTTACTGGTTAAGAGCGTAGTGCCAGTAACCGAAAGGTCGCTGGTTCTAATCCCCGAGCCGACTAAGTGAAAAATCTGTCGATGTGCCCTTGAGCAAGGCACTTAACCCTAATTGCTCCTGTAAGCCGATCTGGATAAGAGCGTCTGCTAAAATGACAAAAAAGAAATATATATATATATCCTCCATCCACCGGCATTATCACTTTTATACAACAGGTTACCAACATGTTCAAAAATTGATTTACATATTTTCATTGAAAACGTTATTTAAGCCTTCCACAGGATATAGTCCCGACACAAATCTAGGGTTGCTAGAGACGCGACCCAGTCGTTCAGTCTTTTGTTCTGTATCTATGGACGCGACCCAGTCGTTCGTTCTAAACGTTCCATTGCCATACTGGCTGGCAACGTTCTTATCCCTCGCTTGCTAGCTAGCCAACTACGGCTAATTTACAGTCACGTCAAAGTAGCTGCATTTGCATTTGTTTAAACTGTTTTCTAATTACGTTTATTTGGATACATCAATAACAATGAGCTAATGTGGCGCGATTTCGTCTGGCATAGAAAATGTGCTCACTCGTCAGGACACTGTTGTTCAGAGGAGCTTGCCAACAACACAGCTACAGTACCACAATCACTTCAAACTGAAGCTGGAAAGACTGCAAATTAGCTGCATTTCGTTTACCTTTTTTCAATTGACCTTTTTTTGTATCCATAAAAATGATGCCAGCTGATTCATGATTTCGACTGGTTGAGAAACGCTGCCTGCCTGTATGTCTCGGCCCGACACGTTAATTACTATGGGAGAGCAGGAGATCGAATTTGAATATTGAAACAACGTTGCAAATGTCGGAGTGACAGACAGCAAGGTTTAGTTAGTCTAAAAGAAATGTGAGAAAATGTCTAGATGCTTTTTATAGTGGAGATCACGTTTATAAATTGCTTGGCTGGGCTGATGAGACAGTGGATTGTGCAGTTAGATGGAGCAGAGTAAATATGCCTTTTAACGTGATAGATTTAGCCGGTGGCAATTTGTGGAATAGACGCCGGCTGGAATACGGTTTTAACCTATCAGCATTCAGGATTATACCCACCCGTTGTATAACAGTCGATAAGGACTGCGAATTCCATATTCTTGAAGAACTTTGAGATACTGGCGTATATGAGCTGTTGTCCCAATGTCCAATCGAAATGCTGTGTGGAGCGCGCGCTGTCACCAGTCCAACGCTTTTGTCGGGTAAGTGCAGTTCATTCATGTAGCACAGCTCTGTATTTTATTTATTCATGCGAAAAGCGTAACATAAATATATGAACAAATATGGATGTTTATTTTGAACTTTTCTTGTAACTATATGAATTTATGGCACGCGTGAAACGCAAAGTAGCCTAATAAAATGTATGCTAACAATGTCATTAATTGCACAATAAAACAAAGTTTAAAGTCCACTGAATGTCTGTCAGATGCATTGAGATTATACTGTGCCTCTCTAATGTGCAAGAAATTGACAAATTATTTGGTGATTCGATGAATTGTCTCAGACTGACCAAGATATATAGAATGGGAAAGTTTAAGTCCTACACTTTGGTCATTGTGTTGTCTGTTTCACAACTTGGTTATGCAAAGAGTGACCTTTGTTGTTAATTATCAATGACCAACTTTCTGTCCCAACAGTGTCAAATGGCTTCAACATGGCAACGCGTTCAGTCCATGCACCAGTGGATTTTAGAGAATGGAGGTATTTGCAGAATGTGTGTACAGTCTTTATGATAGGCTACTGTTATACACTGTATTTGAATTAAAAGGGCACTCATTTCTTTCAGCTTGTCTTATCAGGAGAAAATAAAGCCTACAGTGTTGTCACATTGTGCTGTTATAATGTGAAGGGATAGTGAATTAAATGGTGTATGTGTGTTACAGCTTGGAATTCAGCCCATTCTTACATAATTGCTGCTTTGTGGCTGAGAACACAGTACATCACAGGACTGACATGAACATTTGATTATCTAGTTGCAATTGATACACATAGGACATGCGTCACTAGCCTCCCTCATCACACAGTCAACAGATATCAGAATATAGGCTACTACAAATACAGTCCATCTCCAGGGTTGTATTCATTAGTGCACTCCGTTTCAAACCGTAGCCACACGTCTTGCAACGGAAAGTGAAAATGAGTGGTTCTTTATTGGACAAGTTCAGGTAGCCCCTTCTTGTTTCAGTCCGCTTTCTTCTGTTTGGTGCCTAGTGAATATGACTCAGTTGTATGTACAGTTGAAGTCGGATGTTTACATACACCTTAGCCAAATACATTTAAACTCTGTTTTTCACAATTCCTGACATTTAATCTTAGTAAAAATTCCCTGTCTTAGGTCAGTTAGGATCACCACTTTATTTTAAGAATGTGAAATGTCAGAATAATATTAGAGAGAATGATTTATTTCAGCTTTTATTTATTTCATCACATTCCCAGTGGGTCAGAAGTTTACATACACTCAATTAGTATTTGGTAGCATTGCTTTTCAATTGTTTAACTTGGGTCAAACGTTTCGGGTAGCCTTCCACAAGCTTCCCACAATAAGTTGGGTGAATTTTGGCCCATTCCTCCTGACAGAGCTGGTGTAGCTGAGTCAGGTTTGTAGGCCTCCTTGCTCGCACACGCTTTTTCAGTTCTGCCCTCAAATGTTCTATAGGATTGAGGTCAGGGCTTTGTGATGGCCACTCCAATACCTTGACTTTGTTGTCCTTAAGCCATTTTGCCACAACTTTGGAAGTATGCTTGGGGTCATTGTCCATTTGGAAGACCCATTTGCGACCAAGCTTTAACTTCCTGACTGATGTCTTCAGATATTGCTTCAATATATCCACATACTTTTCCTTCCTCATGATGCCATCTATTGTGTGACGTGCACCAGTCCCTCAGCAAAGCACCCCCACAGCATGATGCTGCCACCCCTGTGCTTCACGGTTGGGATGGTGTTCTTCGGCTTGCAAGCACCCCCTTTTTCCTCCAAACATAATGATGGTCATTATGGCCAAACAGTTATATTTTTGTTTCATCAGACCAGAGGACATTTCTCCAAAAAGTACGATCTTTGTCCCCATGTGCAGTTGCAAACCATAGTCTGGCTTTTTTATGGCGGTTTTGGAGCAGTGGCTTCTTCCTTGCTGAGCGGCCTTTCAGGTTATGTCAATATAGGACTCGTTTTACTGTGGATATAGATACTTTTGTACCTGTTTCCTCCAGCATCTTCACAAGGTTCTTTGCTGTTGTTCTGGAATTGATTTGCACTTTTCGCACCAAAGTACGTTCATCTCTAGGAGACAGAACGCGTCTCCTTCCTGAGCGGTATGACGGCTGCATGGTCCCACGGTGTTTATACTTGTGTACTATTGTTTGTACAGATGAACGTGGTACCTTCAGGCGTTTGGAAATTGCTCCCAAGGATTACCCAGACTTGTGGAGGTCTACCATTTTTTTTCTGAGGTCTTGGCTGATTTCTTTTGATTTTCCCATGATGTCAAGCAAAGAGGCACTGAGTTTGAAGGTCGGCCTTGAAATACATCCACAGGTACACCTCCAATTGACTCAAATGATGTCAATTAGCCTATCAGAAGCTTCTAAAGCCATGACATCATTTTCTGGAATTTTCCAAGCTGTTTAAAGGCACAGTCAACTTAGTGTATGTAAACTTCTGACCCACTGGAATTGTGATACAGTGAATTATAAGTGAAATAATCTGTCTGTAAACAATTGTTGGAAAAATTACTTAGGACATCTACTTTATGCATGACACAACTGACTTGCCAAAACTATAGTTTGTTAACAAGAAATTTGTGGAGTGGTTGAAAAAACGAGTTTTAATGACTCCAACCTAAGTGTATGTAAACTTCCGAGTTCAACTGTATTACTACTACAGTGGGCTACTTTGATATTTTTCAGATAAGAGGACAGACCCATGGCTACTGGTCTACTCCCCCATGCCAGTGGCCTTTATATTTCCTCCTCTATCTCGGTGTGGTCTGGGCTGGGCCCAAGCTGATGAAACGCAGGGAACCAGTTGATCTCAAGGCTGTACTCATTGTCTACAACTTCGCCATGGTCTGCCTGTCTGTCTACATGTTCCATGAGGTGTGCTTTTCCTACTCCCATCAAAATGTGTGTTTGTGCCACAGAACTGGGACTCATTATGTGTTATAATGATATGTTTCACCTGACTTATAAGTGTTTTGATGTTGCAGTTCTTGGTCACATCCTTGCTGTCTAACTACAGTTACCTGTGTCAACCTGTGGATTACAGTACTAGTCCACTGGCAATGAGGGTAAGAGTGCTTCTGAAAAGTCCCTATTGTACACCCACTGTTGGACCCCTGATATAGTTGACCTAACTGGCAAATATTATATACCCCAAAATAGTAGGGGAGAACTGTGACAAGAGTAACACTTTTTGTTTTTTTCCTAATTACTCAGCGATCAATAGAGCTAGAGACACCATATTTTATGATTAGCAACTTATATATGTCCTCTACCATTAGCTACTGTAATTTCATTTCTTGGGTGGTCCTGTGTGGCTCAGTTGGTAGAGTACTTGCACTTGCAACGCCAGGGTTGTGAGTACGATTCCCACGGGGGACCAGTATGAATGAAAATGAATGCACTCATTACTGTAAGTCGCTCTGCGTAAGAGCTTCTGCAAAAAATGTAAATTAGTATAAATTAAATAGAACAGAACTACTGTAACGTTACTTTTGTACCTGCCGGCGCGCCGGGAGCTGGCGAGAAGTGCACAATATCTGTCTTATCTCCATGTTTCTGGTTTGTAATGCTCATTACTTTCAACAAACGTACTATCAGACATAATTTCATGTTTGTGTCGATTTGAATAATTCATGCTATAGGTTCGTAATTTATGAAAATGAACCATGGCGTCAACATCGCAATGTTGCGCAACCACACTATTTTGCCTTATAATATTAAACGGACCAAAATGGAATACATAATATGAAACATAAGTTTCTCATCTCACTTTAATGGGAATGTAGTACGAGATGTTTTTCACCATTGCTTAGCCCGACCAATCAGGTACGCTCCTCATGTCTTGATAGAATAAACATCTTTATTCTCTTCACAAACGGCAAACTCATCATGCTCATCACATTTCCATTGTTTGACATGAGGTAATTGACCACCAGAATCATAAAGATATATATTTTTAATCACTAACCTGTCGATAAAAGCTTATGTGAGAAGCTGATCCATCAAGTCAATTGATTAAGGCATAATTCTAATGATTTCATATAATTTTCAAACATTCAGTCACTTGTTGCTATTTTGCTAACATTATAAAAGCAATATGAACTAGAGGAGACAATGGCCTGTGCTTTAAATTGTATTTTATTCCAGGTAATCAGTTTACATTGTGTTACTTTCGTCCCACCCGTCTCTCCTGTAACTTCTCCCAGGCTAACACCCAATACTTTCTAGCATGATGCTTGAAACCTATGCTGTCATTTAGTCACTAGATGGGTTAAGAAAATGACACACTACCGGTCAAAAGTTTTAGAACACCTATTCATTCCTGGGTTTTTCTTTATTTTTTAAACTATTTTCTACATTGTAGAATAATAGTGAAGACATCAAAACGATGAAATAACACATATGGAATCATGTAGTAACCAAAAAAGTGTTAAACAAATCCAAATATATTTTATTCAAATAGCCACCCTTTGCCTTGATGACAGCTTTGCACACTCTTGACATTCTCTCAACCAGCTTCACCTGGAATGCTTATCCAACAGGCTTGAAGTTCCCACATAAGCTGAGCACTTGTTGGCTGCTTTTCCTTCAATTGGGTTGAGGTCGGGGGATTGTGGGCTCCCGAGTGGCGCAGCGGTCTAAGGCACTGCATCTCAGTGCTTGAGGCATCACTACAGACCCCCTGGTTCGATTCCAGGCTGTTTCACAACAGGCCGTGATTGGGAGTCCCATAGGGCGGCGCACAATTGGCCCAGCGTCGTCCGGGTTTGGCCGGTGTAGGCCGTCATTGTAAATAAGAATTTGTTCTTAATTGACTTGCCTAGTTAAATAAAATAAAATATTTAAAAAATTGTTGAGGCCAGGTAATCTGATGCAGCAATCCCTCACTCTCCTTCTTGGTAAAATATCCCTTACACAGCCAGGAGGTGTGTTAGGTCATTGTCCTGTTGAAAAACAAATTATAAGCCCAAACCAGATGGGATGGCGTATCGCTGTGGTAGCCATGCTGATTAAGTGTGCCTTGAATTCTAAATAAATCACAGACAGTGTCACCAACAAAGCACCATAACACCACCTCCTCCATGCTTTACGGTGGGAAATACACATGCAGAGATTATCCGTTCACCCACACCGCGTCTCACAAAGACACAGCGGTTGGAACAAAAAATCTAAAATTTGGACTCCAGACCAAAGGACACATTTCCACCGGTCTAATGTCCATTGCTCGTGTTTCTTGGCCCAAGCAAGTCTCTTCTTCTTATTGGTGTCCTTTTATTAGTGGTTTCTTTTCAGCAATTCGAACATAAATTCTAGGTTAGACTACTGCAATGCTCTATTTTCCGGCTACCCGGATAAAGCACTAAATAAACTTCAGTTAGTGCTAAATACGGCTGCTAGAATCCTGACTAGAACCAAGAAATTTGATCATATTACTCCAGTGCTAGCTTCCCTACACTGGCTTCCTGTTATGGCAAGGGCTGATTTCAAGGTTTTACTGTTAACCTATAAAGCGTTACATGGGCTTGCTCCTACCTATCTTTCCGAGTTGGTCCTGCCGTACATACCAATACGTACGCTACGGTCACAAGACGCAGGCCTCCTAATTGTCCCTAGAATTTCTAAGCAAACAGCGGGAGGCAGGGCTTTCTCCTATAGATCTCCATTTTTATGGAACAGTCTGCCTACCCATGTGAGAGACGCAGACTCGGTCTCAACCTTTAAGTCTTTACTGAAGACTTATCTCTTCAGTAGGTCATATGATTGAGTGTAGTCTGGCCCAGGAGTGTGAAGGTGAACGGAAAGGCTGGAGCAACGAACAGCCCTTGCTGTCTCTGCCAGGCCGGTTCCCCTCTCCACTGGGGTTCTCTGCCTCTAACCCTGTTGCAGGGGCTGAGTCACTGGCTTGCTGGTGCTCTTTCATGCCGTCCCTGGGAGGGGTGCGTCACTTGAGTGGGTTGAGTTACTGACGTGATCTTCCTGTCTGGGTTGGCGCCCCCCCCTTGGTTTGTGCTGTGGTGGAGACCTCTGTGGGCTATACTCGGCCTTGTCTCAGGATTGTAAGTTGGTGGTTGGGGATATCCCTCTAGTGGTGCGGGGGCTGTGCTTTGGCGGAGTGGGTGGGGTTATATCCTTCCTGTTTGGCCCTGTCCGGGGGTTTCTTCGGATGGGGCCACAGTGTCTCCGGACCGCTCCTGTCTCAGCCTCCAGTATTTATGCTGCAGTAGTTTATGTGTCGGGGGGCTGGGGTTAGTTGGTTATACCTGGAGTACTTCTCCTGTCTTATCCAGTGTCCTGTGTGAATTTAAGTATGCTCTCTCTAATTCTCTCGTTCTCTCTTTCTCTCTGAGAACCTGAGCCCTAGGACCATACGTCAGGACTACCGGGCATGATGACACCTTGCTGTCCCCAGTCCGCCTGGCCTTGCTGCTATTCCAGTTTCAACTGTTCTGCCTGCGGCTACGAAACCCCTACCTGTCCCAGACCTGCTGTTTTCAACTCTTAATGATCGGCTATGAAAAGCCAACTGAGAGACCTGAGCCCTAGGACCATACGTCGGGACTACCGGCCGTGGTGACTCCTTGCTGTCCCCAGTCCGCCTGGCCTTGCTGCTATTCCAGTTTCAACTGTTCTGCCTGCGGTTATGGAACCCCTACCTGTCCCAGACCTGCTGTTTTCAACTCTTAATGATCGGCTATGAAAAGCCAACTGAGATTTATTCCTGATTATTATTTGACCATGCTTGTCACTTATGAACATTTTTGAACATCTTGGCATGGTTCTGTTATAATCTCCACCCGGCACAGCCAGAAGAGGACTGGCCACCCCTCATAGCCTGGTTCCTCTCTAGGTTTCTTCCTAGGTTTTGCCTTTCTAGGGAGTTTTTCCTAGCACCGTGCTTACATAAACCAATGCATTACTAGGTTTGGGGTTTACGCGGTTCTGTACAGCCTTCGGTATTAGCTGATGCAAGAAGGGCTATATAAAATAAAATTGATTGATTGATAAAGGCCATCAACAAGTCTTCCCTCCTGAACAGTTGATGTTGATGTGTTTTTACTTGAACTCTGTGAAGCATTTATTTGGCTGCAATTTCTGAGGCTGGTAACTCTAATTAACTTATCCTCTGCAGCAGAGGTAACTCTGGGTCATCCATTCCTGTGGCGGTCCTCATGAGAGCCAGTTTCATCATAGCGCTTGATGGTTTTTGCGACTGCACTTGAAGAAACTTTCAAAGTTCTTAAGATTTTCCGTATTGACTGACCTTCATGTCTTAAAGTAATGATGGATTGTTGTTTCTCTTTGCTTATTTGAGCTGTTCTTGCCATAATATGGACTTGGTCTTTTACCAAATAGGGCTATCTTCTGTACACCCCCCTACCTTGTCACAACACAACTGATTGGCTCAAACGCATTAAGAAGGAAAGAAATTCCACAAATTAACTTTTAAGAAGGCACACCTTTTAATTGAAATGCATTCCAGGTGACTACCTCATGAAGCTGGTTGAGAGAATGCCAAGAGTGTGCAAAGCTGTCATCAAGGCAAAGGGTGGCTATTTGAAGAATCTCAAATATAAAATATATTTTGATTTGTTTAACACTTTTTGGTTACTACATGATTCCATATGTGTTATTTCATCGTTTTGATATCTTCACTATTATTCTACAATGTAGAAAATAGTAAAAAATAAAGAAAAACCCTTGAATGAGTAGGTGTTCTAAAACTTTTGACCGGTAGTGTATGTTTGGAACCTTAAACAACTAAACACAACTCAACAACTGAAAGACACGTCCGGGTCTGTTTTTTTACTTACATTGCTCAAAACCACTTTATGTTGATAACTTGGCGAAACATGGTCAGACTGGGCAGTTTTTTTTGTTGTTGCAGGGAGGTCATCCTCCACATTAGGAATGTGTTGACTTCACTACGTCATTCTAGCTTCTGTGTTATCTGAGAAAATGGATGTGTTTACTTTCATCCCTGCTCTCCCATACAAGACATATTGCATCTATAAAGACTGTCCCAAATCCCTGACCATAAGGGATGATGACTCTCTCTTTCTTCACCAGATGGCCAGAGTATGCTGGTGGTTTTTCTTCTCCAAGGTCATAGAACTAGCTGACACGGTAAAGCACAGTAAAGTACATTGAAAATCAAGGTCATATTCACAGTATTCACTAGGCACCAAACTGAGGAAAAAGTACTGAAATGGGGAGGGACTGCTTAATAAACATTTTGTTTTCGGTTCCAAAACTTGTTCCTACAGTGTGCACTAATGAATATGGCACAGGCCAGGATTAGCATCAGAGTCATGTGAAACACTGGAAGCCCATTCTAAACCCATTCCAAACTCTTAATTGTCAGGTGTTCTTCATCCTGAGGAAGAAGAACAGTCAGCTGACCTTCCTGCATGTCTATCACCATGGCACCATGATCTTCAATTGGTGGGCAGGGGTCAAGTATCTGGCTGGAGGCCAATGTAAGTCTAGCATGACAAAGACCAGGAGTTTTTCCTGAGCACATGTCCTGACCAGGAAAACTCTGGACCCTACTTGTTAATGCCATAGATTTGTTCAATACCTGCAAATCTTTAACATCTTATAACATTTTGTTATCAACTCCCTGTTGGCACTTCTCATCACCTGGCAGACTATTCAGAATAGTATCTCAATGGTATCCTATAGCAAATTGTCCTTTCCATTCATGACGTAGCGGCCGTGCAGCAGATGGTTGAGATGTTTTGTGTTCCTCTGTCTCCTCATAGCGTTCTTCATCGGCCTGCTCAACACATTTGTGCACATCGTGATGTACTCTTACTACGGACTGGCTGCCCTGGGGCCTCACATGCAGAAGTACTTATGGTGGAAGCGCTATCTGACCTCACTACAGCTGGTTAGTGGCTCTAGCTTCGGCTCTGCATACATCTAGTAGGGTTTAAACATAAAGTGGGTAGGCTTGCACTTGGGGCGCGTATCCTGAACCTAGATTAAGCCTAGTCGTAGATGAAAAAGCTATTTCAATGGAGAAACTTATTTGAGCATGCTTTTTAATCCAGGACTAGGCTTAATCTGTGTCCAGGAAACTGGCCCTTTGGGTTTGTGAATAAGATTATTTGGTAGCTTAGGGTATTGAGACTTGCAATTGGTAAAAAACAGATAATGTTACGTCTATGAATGGATATAGTGTATAATGTATCTGAAAACTTTCTGAACCTGAACCAATGTTCTCCTGACTGTGGTTTCAGCTCCAGTTTGTTCTGTTGACCACTCACACGGGCTACAACCTCTTCACTGAGTGTGACTTCCCAGACTCCATGAACGCTGTGGTGTTTGCCTACTGTGTCAGTCTCATTGCTCTTTTCAGCAACTTCTACTATCAGAGCTACAGGAAGAGCAAGAAGACATAAAGGATATGGACAATCATGCACTCACTGTGTCTTACTGTACCTGAATTCAATTCACTGTCAAATTTAAACATTTTGTAATACATTATCTGGAGATGCATTATTTTTGTGAAGCATTCTACAATATTCCCTATGGTCTCTACTTCCCGCTGGGCAAATCAAATTTTATTGGTCACATACACATATTTAGCAGATGTTATTGCGGGTGTAGCGAAATGCTTGTGTTCCTAGCTCCAACAGTGCAGTAGTATCTAACGTCAATTCAACGTCTATTCCACGTTAATTGAAAGGAAAGAGACTGGCATGGGTATTTGTGTTTGGCACATATGTGCTATACAACTTAAATAATGAGGTAGAGGAGATATTTTACAGGTTGTCTCAATACAACAGCATTCATTACTTTTCAGATTGTTAAAGTGAAACATTGTGGTTTGTAAGCCTGCTTGCAGCATTTGAGAATGCCCAGAAGAGGGCAGAGTCTGTCTATGGTTGGTGATTCACTTACCAGTGTGTCAAGCTGTAGTAGAACTGTTGCCACTGTCTAATTTGTCTGCAACTTGAAAATTCACATATGTATACACTACTTTATGTAGTGCTGCTGGTTATATCTTGGGCACATACATTTCACATTATAGCAGATATATTGTGCTTTAGTTATTTGAAACGTGTAATTAGGCAAGGATCATGTACTTTGTGCTATAACAATATAATAACACCAAGCAAGGGTCGTAGGAAAATGAGAAGAATACTTTTTTGTTTGAACGCTCCCATAATTAAAATTGTATTTTTCTTTTACTATGACATGGCATTACCCTGCACCTGCGATAGTTCCTTAGGTGTGCATACCACCATTAGAAGAAAAAGTCACCATTTGTTTTATTGTAATAGTATTTATTTCTTAAACTTGGAAATAACAAACATTCAAAAGACTGCTTTAAACAAACTGTACATTTATACACATGATAAAGTAGATTTGACTGTGTTCCAGAATATTTAATGTATGACCATCCACCACCCCTCCTTTTACCTTTCCAGAAATATCTTAAGACAATCCAAACAAATAAACAAACACAAAAACAAATAAAGGAATGCAAACAAGTCATTTTTTCCACTGTAAAAACAACACAGCAAAAGTATATATATATTTGTCTACATTTCAGTCTTTAGTAGATTGAATGATGTAGAGACAGAGCGGGAGAGAGAAAGGGGAGGGAGTTCTGGAGTAGGTCATGTCTCAGTTTGAAATGTGTCCATTTGGATGCATCTGAGTCCATGTGGTATCTGTTCGGCAGGGCTGTAGGGAGCTCTGTCGTGCTACAGAGTTATGACTGACAGTTCTTTCAGAGCAGTAGAAAAAGCTACAAAGGTTGGCCATTGACCAGTGGAACCATGGAATAACTTATTATTCTAGGGTCTATCTCAATACTCTAAAATTCCCTTTCCTAGTCCCCTTCCTTTCATCCACCCTGATCTAACAAAAAAGCAACGCAGAGGTTTGGAAGCTTCCGATTGGCTTGCTTTCCCTTAGCTTGTTTCCTCTAGATCAGTACAAACTCGAAAGGAGACCAAGGAAAGGATGCCACTTCAGACTATTGAAATGCATCTTCCATGAGAGGCCAGTATAGCGGTACATAGGGCAGCATCAGGTCCTCTATGTCTCTGTGTAGACAGAAGACATCTGGCTCAGGCTGCGGTCGAAGCTGTTCACCTGGAAGAAGATGCTCTCCTCTGGGCTGGAGGAGAACTGGCACCCCCCTGGCCCCTGGAGATCCTGGGCCAAGCTGAAGCCTGGGGGAGAAGAAGCCATGACTCCTTAGATACAAGCTTTGATGCTACGCTTAAGTGTGTGTGTGGAATGGTTGATCTAACCTACATCAAGATATCTTAAAATTCTGTCTTTAAAAAGTAATGAATTGCTTTATCACACAGGCACACACAATATACTTCTTGTTTAGGAAGTGAAGAAGTAGGTGAAAAGACAGAATAAACAATAAATTACATGAAAAGGGGTGAGATGGAGAATAATGACAGGGAAGCACATCAATTGTTAGAAGAGGAGGATGAAAAGGAGGAAGTGGAGGTGATATATCCCAGGGTCTCACCTGCAGGAGAGCCACTGCTGGTGCTGGACATGTGGAAGCCGTTGTGTTGGTGGGAAGTGTAGCCATGTGAGTCCGCTGGTAAGTGAACACCACTCACAGACTGCTCCATTCTGTAGGAGTCTCCAAAATGGAAGCAACTCTGAAAGCTGCCTTGGTAATCTACAGAGAGAAGGAAGGAGAGCGTCAAGCATTGAAATAAAATTACTGGAATGGGAAAAGCCCCTCACACTAATTTAACTGGAACACTCATGGATACACTAAATACGGCTGCTAGACCCTAAGACTTGAATGGGAATACCTGTTTTAGTAATTATATTTCTATGGGCTAAAGAGGGGAGAAGAAAAAGGTAATAAAAGTGTCTGAAGGGGGCATTCATTGTGACCAAACAATATGGTATGTTAAGGAGTGATTATTATGTTTGTAAAGTGATTCCATACAATGTGTGGCTTCGAGCTATTATAACGCTACATTTGTGTTAGCGCGCTAACTCTTCCAGTTCCTCAGTGGTAGCATTTGTCAATTGTCCCCTTCTCTTTTTGTACTCAAGTAATGATAACGTGAAAGCAGCCCTTTCTGGAGTGCTTTACGCAACTCCCCGACCACAGCGTGGTTTGAGAGACGTCCATGCGTAGATCTTTAACAGGGAAAGCTGTGTTTAAGGCATTAGGGAGCAGGTCTGGAGTGACAGCTAACTAGAGCAGCCTTGGTGGAGCTCTGAGAGAGAGACAGCTGACTACAGAAGGCAGCGTTTTGTTGGCTAATTCAGAGCAGAGGAGGCTTCCGCCTGTGGTTTTGCCTGCTCTGTCTCTCTGACAGCAATGCTAAATGCTCTGACAGACCTACGGGCCGCATCCCAATTCTCCGACACTGCTTCCTCTACTTGTGTCCTTTCATGTTCATATGGTGGTAAAGTATGAGGCCTATTCAATGGAATGGAATGTTTTAAAAGGTGCAGTTAGAAATGTATTTGATGCTCTTCTCTATTCCACACGAAATAAAGTTGTGTCAGTTCCATAAAAGTTCAAGTGGGGTGTTCAGAGAGTTGCAGATAGAAATGTATTGCATAGAACTGCTTGCATTATCTATCCTACATGACAGAAAGTGGAGTCGGTAGTGTAAAACACATTTATATCTTTAACCAACTCTCTGAGGCTTCCAGCCCACTAAATAGCCCAGTTGGTTAGCTTGGGTTGTATTGAGTCTGGTCAGGGCTGGTCTTACCGTCACTGGCAGCCTGGTGGTGGTAATGAGAGTAGGGCTTGTGGTGGGGGTGGATGTGCTGTTGCTGCTGCTTCTCCAGGGGAGGAGGAGTGCCTGTACCCTTCATCCCTGGGGAGAGGAGAGGACCCGACACCCTGCAGGAGAGAGAGAGCGAGAGCTAGAGCAAGATAATTAATTGTCTAATTTCCGAATATTTTTACATAATCAGATGCTCAAGTGCATCAAAACAATGATTTACTGTATACACTGTATATACTGTGGTTACATATGATTATTTGAATCAAACGTCTCTTTATCAAAGTGCTATGTACTCAGCAACACATTATCTAACCAACACACTTAAAGAGTCTTGAACGCCCCTCAGAAGAACATATGTTGTACTGTATGTACTGTAGTCAGTAAATGGAAACTTCAGCTTCCATACATAATCCTCCATCTATCCCATATTACGATCTAAAGTCAATAAACACGAGAGTGTGCATTCGACTGAAACCAAGCCCCCCGTTTCTTTAACTCCTTGCCTTGTGGCCTCGGAGGAGAAAGCCTATTCGTGTTTACTATCTCCAATATTTTAGAGATGGCATATGAGCATGACATATTTGTGACAGAACGGCTCGGGGCGAGCAACGACCAAAGCTTCCTCATAGACTTTCTGGATTGTGATTAAATAAATAAAGCTTTGTCCGTGGTGGTATTAGACACAGATGTGTGCAAACAAATCTTTAGAAATGGTAAGCAGAATAGCTCCAACTAGACGGTACTGTGCCAATACCCAAAAGATCTGTGGAGTGTATTCCCCTTGTTCTTCAGTTCACACTTCAAAGACTCACACTTTGCGTTGAGCGCACCACATTTCAGAGAGGAAGGAAAACAACAACAAGCGTGATGAATTGTTTTTTAAAACAGAGTTATAACTAACAGATGGGAACTTGTTCCAACCATTTGAATTAGAAACATGGTTACGCCGTTAGGACTTTGGAAAAACCTGCAATCAACGTGAAAAAAGTCATGGAATGCAGTGGGTTTTGGTGAACTTCTATTGTATTCAAGCGTTATGACAGCAGATTTTCAAAAGGATACCACATGCTCTTACAAAATACTGTCACAGGAACCTTCCATAAATACTGTCACAGAAAGCATCATTTGTATGTAATCCATTCAGTTCTTCTATCTATTCAGAAAGCTGCACTCTCCCCTTCTTAATCTAACCTCTTCTTGTTGTGTCCAGTCAATTACATGTGGAAAACACAGTAGGCCTATGTCAGTATTAAAGGACATCTGGGTGACATCATCCCAAACATTGCAGATGTCTTCTGAGTGCATTTCAACCATTTGAAACATCTATGAAAAACATCATGCCTATTTTCTGAAGGGCATTTATTAGAAAAATAATTGTACTTAGTCCATTTGCAGAAACAAATATCACATTTCTGCTCTGCTCCCAACACACTTTCTTTCCTAACTAAATAAAACAGATATCCAGACCAGTAAGATACAAATCTCTATAAAGAGGCCCAATCTCCTCACAAATATTCAATAGCCACTTAGTACTCTTTTCCAGTTGTGTTTCACGAATGCCAACACATAAACTGTTGCTGTGTTACTATGTGCCGTGGATGGATGCATATGGTTTACAGTACGGGCTCTGTGAATGTGATGACAGAGAGTTGCTGGAGGCAGCAGAGAACCTCAGATGACTGTTCACCTCTAAGGCCAGGATGACATAGCTCTAACTGTGTGAGAGAGCTAGCTCAACTACAAGGTCAGTACCACCCAGTGCTAAGACGCTACCTGGCACAGCCTTTCTACACCCCACAGGAACAGATTAAGTTTCAGGCACAGCCAGGGCTCCCTTGAAAAATAGATTCTTATATCAATGGGACTCACCTGGTTAAATAAAGGATACATAGATAAATAAACAAGGTTATGTCTAATAAAATAAAGATATGCGTTAGAGATAGGTATTTTGAATGTGTCCATATAGGCCTTTCTATTTGAAACCTCTCCATGTACTAACCATGGACTCATCCACCTCTTTTTAAGCTACCATGTATCCTAAAGCAAACCCTCTGTGTCTCTCTCCTGCCTCTTGAGCTTAGAGAGCCACACGCCTCTCCACTAAACACACACAGAAACATTTGAACCAGCGCAGTGTCGAACCAACGTCTTCTCCCTGCCTAGCGTTAGCATTAGAACTAGCACTTAGTGGGCCTCCACGCTAGCGGTGAGCGTGGCTAATCCGTCCATTGGCACGGGCCCAGTGCCGCGGCCATGTGTTTCTGCGGAGAGCGGCGCTCCCCCGGGAGCTGCTGTCAGCACAAACTCAGGAAACAGTTATACTGTTCATATTTTTACAAGCAGCCTCTATGCGCAGCTAAAGTGAATCATAAGCTAATCACTGCCAGCTGCCGCGTGCTCAGGCTCAAGGAATGAGGGGAATCTTTCATATGCTGTACCGAGTATAAATCTCTCCCCTGGTATTCACCTTCCCTGATAATCCTCCATCCTCCTTCTCCTCCTCCTCCTGTCATTACTGCCTTTTTCCAACCAGCCATCCCTGACCCCTTCTTCTGCTGTGAAAGAGTGGTTTAACCCCTGACCCCTGAAAGATTGACATAGAGGCTATTAATAGATAGGCTATTGGCTATTGGTCGAGATCAGGGGTGGGATGATGAGGGCTAGGGGTGAGATGTTGGGGTGAGGGCTTCAGATTGACGGGGGGAGAGGGTGAGTGTAAAAGAACTGAGGGCCAAGTGTTTGAGGGACCTCACTGCTTGGAGCATTCAGCCAGATAGTCTTTGACTCAGCTTACTGGCAATAGTACCGTGGATAGACTATGGCTCAGCGACTCTGACTCAATTTACCTGACTTAGTGACTATGACTCAGTTAACCTAACTTATAATACTGAGTGAATATGACTCAGTTAACCTAACTTATAATACCGAGTGAATATGACTCAGTTAACCTAACTTATAATACTGAGTGAATATGACTAAGGTAATACGTCAAAGTGAATATGATTCCGGGAATATGATTTGATTCAGTAGACATAGATTGAGCCCTAAAATAAACTTGGCTTCAAGTACTCCTACAACAGACCAAACGGATCAGGACTATGCATTCCAACCTGGACACTGTAACATCACCCTCGGGCTAAAACAATCCAGTCAAAATGATTCACATTCCTACAACACAAGCAGGTATGTATGGAGGACGTGGACGTTATCAGCACTGGATTATCTGTCAGGTTATATACAGTCTATAAGAAGCAAAAAATAAAATTGGCAGTGATGCAATCCTTTGCCGTTCTAGGATCTGTCCTCTAAGGCTTGGTTCTGTCTACAGGGATGAGGGGATGGAAAGATGGGAAGAAAGATGGAAAGAGAGCTTGATGTTCAGGATGAAGATTCATGAGGAGAGCTGCTCTGCTCCTCGTTCGTCTTCCTTCACCTGCCCTTCCTGTCCCACTGGGGACCATGGATCAGACCCCCTTCCGTCCCCCCTCGGCGGCCCAACATTAAGCCCCTCTGATGGATGGGCATGGGCGGCTTGGCGCGGGACGGTGGGAATGCGCCTGGTTCTGGTTAGCGCGCTAAAGCCACGCGTGAGAGACGGGCCGTGCTGAGCTAAGCTAACCCTACAGCCCAAGACTAAGCAGTCAAGGAGCTTTTCCTGGGCCCATAAAAGCTCTCTGTTTGTTTTAGTGAGATAACCGCCGAAAAAACTGGAGGAAACACTGAAACACTACATACATTTTGACTTTGAATTGTCTGAATTATTCTTTGAATAAGCCATTTAGCAAAGGCAGTAAAAAACCATGACTAATCCTACTACTACCACGTCCAGAAACGTATATATGACTCTGACCACGGCCTGTCTGTTGAAGTAATGACTATGATGGAATGTTTTTGTTTGACTTGGGAGATTGATACTCTGTGCAGATGATTTAGGGGTGATAATGAATGGAGGGATGGATGGAGGATCGATGGCATTGAGTTACTCGCTGACTGTGAATGACTGTCTCCCTTCAGAACCGTATCTCTTAACGCTGTCTCTGCAGCCACTCTAATTCAATTAGATTGTGTCAATCACAGTTCCTTGTACTCCACAAGGTATCAAACCATGTCAAACTAATATTTGCAGAGGGGCTCTAATATCAATACACAGGAAACATTCTGTCTGCCCGGCCCCTGTAATTATAGAACGGCATATGGTAAAGAGGCACTGAATGACAACCTTTACCACCCATCGTCGCTTATAAGCCCCTCACCAACTGTAGAATGGCCGTGTCTGTGAGAGAGGCCCCGAGTGTCTCTCGCTCCTGCTCCAAGCTCCATACGCATGCCACAGATCACAGAAAGCATATTTTAACTGGCATATTTTAATATCAGCTTCAGAAAAATGACACTGCTATTTACAAAGTAAAATTAGTCTAAATGGCCCATTTGAGCCAGAGTAAACACATTTAACTATGAGGTCAGAGGCTGCTGCTGCACTAGAGTCAGGTTAGTTAGATAATTTTGTCAAAATGTTTAATGTCCTGCTAAACCGTTTGGGAAAAACAAGTGCGGCGCTGCTATTGACTTTGGCAGCGGCCTGTATACTCAAGGCTTTAAACATGTAAATCAAATGCTCCATCTTCAGGCAAATGTGAGTAGACGTTTCATACCCAGTTTGTTGTAGGTCCTGGCACAGGTCTCTCTCTCTTAGATGGGCAGATAAAGCTGTACTGTTACTGTATGTATGTGTATAGTACATGCATTTTTGGTCAGGTATCGCAATTTGATAAATTTGATGAAATCCACAAAGTGCTGCAATTCTCGTAATGAAACGCTGTCATCGCGTCACAGACGTACAAGTAGGCGCTTTGGGTGGGCAAAGAGACAGACGTGAACAAGAGCGATCACTTAAGCCCCATGTCTTGCCAGCTGGCACTTTATCTTCATTTGTAAGGAAACGTAGGAAAATTATCCACTTACATCATCCACTCACAGTGGTATATTTCAGATGGTCCTCATCAATCGTACTGAAAAACAGACCCCTGTCTCACTTCCAATATGTCATCATGTTGGTGTGTATGTGTGTGTTGTGTAACTGGTGTTACAAAAGCCTAATCACACTGTCTTTTCACTTTGCATCTCTCTCCCAGTAGCAGTAATTGTGTGTGTATGTAGTACTACTTACCAAGGAATCCTGAAACCACATTGTAATTCTACAGAGTTCTATTCCTGCTGTTTTAATGCTTGACAAAACACAGCACCTTCCAGAAAGGGCCTAACATGACATCTCACTGCACGCAAGCTCGCACATACACACACACAAACACACACACACACACACACACCATGCTTATGTAAAACTATTCTTTTGTTACCATTTTTGCAATGCTTGATTGTATCCCCATTGCCTCCAAATGTTTTTTAATGGTGAAACGTTTTTTCATTTTCTCTCCCTCTGGTTTTCACCCCGTTGTTTTGTACAGTACACACAGTGCCTCCTGACGACACATTGGCTTTGTTACTGTGCTCTGCTGGATCTCTGGGGAAATCATAGACACTAATAGGAAACATGCTGAGAGAGAAAAAGCAAACCGAGAGAGAAGATAGAAGAGAGAGAGACGAGATATAGAGAGCGAGAGAGAGAGAGAGAGAGAGAGAGCTAGATAGAGAGATAGTACAAGATAGATATAGAAACAATGAGAGAGAGGAGAGAAAGAGAGAGAGAGAGAGAGTCTTCTTCTCGTAGTAGAGAGAGCTAGAGAGAGAGAGAGAGAGAGAGATCAGAGATTTATACAGACATAAGATATATAGAGAGAGAGAGAGAGATATATGATATAGATAGATATAGAGAGGAGAGTATATCGATAGAAGAAAAGTTGGACCAGATCTCTCTCCTCTCTCTGAGGCACTGAAGTAAACCTACAGAGAGAGAGAGAGCAGCCAGAGTGGGAAATGTGTTTGTTAATCTGCAGCAGGATTTAGTGCCTCTTCAATGGAACAGACGGTAGCTAGCGCTCTGTTAGCATCTCTAAGCCTAGTTAGTACTGCACTTATCATACACCAATGCTACGTAATAAAATACTATAGGTATTGTATTAGTATTAAACCACTATATTGTAATTCTAGCCAACATGTATTTCGAAAAAGGGAATCTTGTTAGAATTGTGCCTCTACTAAATACAATCAACACTTGTTCAGAATGAATTAGCTGACACACATCGGTGTGTATATGCCAAATAAAAGTGACAACAGATTACACGGACAGGGCTAAATCAACATGGAGTATGTTTAAAGAACTGAAGGTTAAGTGCTGTTAATGCACTACACAATCACACAAATGGAGTCATCACCACACTGCTTTGACAGTTTCATCTTTAAAACCTTTGTTTAATCCTGGGCCAAACAGTTAGGTCATTGGGAGTACTCTGTAACCCCCAGTTGGGACTCGAATGGACCTGTGGATCATTGGACACAATGCCAGAAATAGAGTGGATCTTATTGGCTGCATCATTCTGACCTCACCATGGCCTCCAGAATTGTCTCCTGTGAGTGCTGTATCTGAAGGGTCATGGTTATGGCTACGCACCCTATTGCAGTACTTTTGACTAGAGCCCTATGGGGCTCCCTATAGGCCCTGGTCAAAAGTAGTGCACTACATAGGGAATAGGGTGCCATTTGGGACAGAGCATGGGTTTTGATTTTGATTAAGACAGCTAAAGTGATTTGACAGTGGGCCCGAATATGTTTTTTGCACTAAAATGGGAATTGTTTTTGGATGACACACAACAGAGTAATAATTTATATTTCGCAAGTGTCCTCACACTGTGTTGGGATCAGCGTGATAATATTGATGAAATGTATGCTATAATAATGTGTATGTGCATGTGTATGTGTGTGTGTGTGTTTGAGTGTGTGTGCATTAAACAAATCAATATTACCATAGATATGTGACACAGGAGGCTGCTGAGGGGAGAATGGCTCATAATAATGGCCAGAACGAAGCAAATAGAATGGCATCAAACACCTGAAACCATGTGTTTGACGTATTTCATACCATTCCACAAATTCCACTCCAGTCATTACCACGAGCCCGTTCTCCCCAATTAAGGTGCCACCAATCTCCTGTGGTATGTGACCTGTGACCACAATAGAGTGTGTGTATAATGTACATACAGGATTTCACAGTAGTATGTTATAGGGGACTCACCCGTCACGTGTGCTCTCCATGGTGGACAGAGGGGACAGATGATGCGGGCTGCTCATGTCCCGGTCCAGGCGGGGCTGTCTGAGAGGCAGGTCAGGGGCGGAGGCTGAGCCAGGGGTGGGGGCTGGTCCTGGGGAGAGGAGCTCCACCGAGACACCGTGATGGGGAGTGCTGGAGCCAGTGTACAGGCCTGAAAGACAAACAAGGATAATTCACTAAATGTGCCAACTTGAGGCCCTCACTCGGCCAAGTTCCCTTTGACCAAATTAAAAGCCTTTTCATGGCAACAAGCTTTTGTTTTCACAACTGATCATCCAGTCAGAGAGAGCTTTGAAAAATAAAACGTTCTATTGTTTTGTGCTGTTTGTGATTTACAGTACATTGTTTGTGCTGCCACAGGGGTTGGCCTCGGTTGTCCTTTAAATGTTTTGTTCTGGCTACAATACTATTTATTTCGTACAATAGAATTAAGATTTCTGATGAGAAGAGTTTATAGGAATTTTGAACATGAGTGGAGTTGAGAGAACAGGCACTGTGGCTCGGGATCTCTCTGTGTGTGTGTGTGTGTGTGTGTGTGTGTGTCTGTGCGTATACGTGTGTGTGTACATATGTGTGCCCCTGTGCCAGTCCCTAAATACTTGTAGCAGTTTAAATGCATCTGACCTTCCTGTCTGAGCATCAGAAAAGAGTCAGTCTACAGATGTAGGATCTTAATTTGAGCTAGTCTCCTACAGCAGAAAAATTATCCTGCAGCAACAGGAATTGTGAATTACTATGTGGATTATAATTCATGCACATTTTGTAGCCATTTATACAGTATATTTTCATAAGGGAAAATCAAGTCTGAAATTTCAAAGTGGAAATTACAAACTTTAGAAGCCTTTTTAAACCTCAAAACACTACAAGTTTTCAATTTAAAGTTCTCCTGCAACAGGGTGTTCAAATTAAGATCCTACATCTGTACTTCTGTTGGATGGTGATTCACATCAGCAATGTAACAGTGAGAGGCTCATGACAAATCACAATGACAGCTGAATGCTCTGCTGAGAGCTCCACTTGAAAGAGCTCAGCTCTGTCCAGGGGCTCTCAGATTGCCTAAGAGGGTCAAGGCACTAAAGTCAGCAGCCCCCTCTGCTTCTCACTGCTCCTCCTGTACTGTAAATATGTTCTCTCGTCTCTCCTTTCCTCACTCTGTCCTGTCTGTGATGTCTTTCCCAGTGTCCTGAGGGACAGCGTAGCGTCGTTGACTGTCCAGGGCAGTGAGGTGGTGAGGAGAAGAGAGGAGACGAGAGGAGCGCTCCTGGTTTCTGCAGTACTGTTCCCCCAGCTGTGCTCAAGTGGAAGCAGGGCCTATCTGACAGCTCTCTGAAATGGTTACAAGCTTGATTCATTACCCCCAAATCATCAATCACAGACCTTAAATGGTTTCCCCTTTAGCCCCGACATCTGCTACCAGACCAGCAAACATTCTACAAATAATCGCTGTGATTGCTTCAATTTCATCGCTTGCCTCAGCGGTGCAGGGTTTCCCTGCGTGTTTCGGGATGGTTATAGGAGTGTTCTGTGACGATTCTAAATGTTTTCTTTTTATATGGGTTCTGAGAGGGTTCTGTGACAGGCCTGAGAACGTTCGGTTGTGACAGTTCTGACAAGGATCTGTGACGGTTCTGAGAGTTTTCTCTGTGAGTTTTGTGATTCTTTGTGAGTTAGGAGGGGGTTCTGTAGGGTTATGAAGGGTTAGGGTGATGTTTGTGGTGACATTAGTAGGCAGCATAGCCTGACTTGTAGACTGTCATACTGAGATGGACTTATGGTCATCTACAGTAATGTGCTCTAGCAGTTGAAGTTAATCCCGAAACACACTAATTCAGGTCCTAAAAGGAACAAAGATCTTTCAGAGTAAGATTGAGCCTACTGAACATCTATTTAGCCTTAGAACTAAAACCTACAGATACCAAAAACCAAGCCATTTTAAAAACCAACCAACAGAAACACAAGATTCACAGCAACTAGAAGTGCTACTCATTGTCGGCTATAGAAGTGTTAATGTTGAAGAGCCTCCATGCTCTGCCCATCCTGCTGACTATCCTCCCTCTGTTGGCTAGAGAACAAAGCTCAACACATGCAATGATGAATCCCATTTCATTTCGCCTGGCGTAAACCCTAACAAACCCGCCGTCCTCGAACGCCTCCTAATCAACCAATACGGCCACAGCAACACAACAGCTCCTGCGGGCTAGAAACCATTTGCACATTTGTCACAATTGGAGCTAGCAACACACCCACTCAAAACAGAGGGAGAGGAGAAGGAAAGATGCCAGTATTTCAAGCATCGATTCAATAATCAAAGACAACTTAAGATTTCATAGTCCCCCCAGTAAATGTGCATTGTGTTCCCATAACAATAACAGAGAGAGATGGGGAGTCTGGATTGGACAAACTGAGCAAACAATGGCAGATGTGTCCATAAACTGTGGACACTGCAGGGCATCTCTCCTTTCCTCCATAGTAACACTATATTTGATCCTGCTCATCAACCTCTGTTTCGCAAGCCATTTGACTGTACTATAGTCTATGGGATCTCCATAGAGAGATTTCCAAGTTTATTCAAAAAGTAAGCACTTTTCAAATGTGAATCGGAGAAGGTCACATTAAGTGTTAATTGCAAAACACAAATGTTAGCCATTTGCAGATGTTCTTTATTATGACATCTCAGTTTGATTTCCACCAAGTCCTAATTAACTCTCAACCAGCGGGAAGTGAGGCGAAAGTTTCTTGTAAAACATGAAGGACTTGTTTCCAAACCGAATCAGTTCTAATTAATCCATCAGGTATCACATTCAGCATGAGATTGAGCTGAAGGCACTCAGGCCAATTGTCCTCATGGCTGGAAATCAGCATGTCATTTCAACATTTACTGTAATATTAAAGATAGATCAGTGTGTCGGGTGGTGAATTGGGGGTTAAGGGTTGGAGTAGGATGAAGTTGTCCTGACCTAGAAGCTGAGCTAAGGTCAGTTTTGCGTTAGGATTTTTAAGAAAGCTGATCCTAGATCTGAAAGCTGAGCTGATCCTAGATCCTACAGGCACCTTTTACCTGGAGCGTTAGGGTCTGGGGTTATGGGTTAGTGGTTAAGCGTGAGGGGTTAGGGGGGTAGAGTGACCTCCGTGCACCTGTGAAGATGTCCTGGCCCAGTCCCGGGGAGCGGCCGTCCTTCCCGTTGAACAGGTGCTGCTGCGAGGGGGCGTTGCATTGCAGGTGCTGGTGTTGGGAGGGGGCAGAGCCCTGCAGGTGCTGCACAGACAGACACTCACTCAAGACGTCCTGCTCCAGGTGGGGGCAGGGCCTCAGCTGTCAATCAAGTAGAGAAGGGGAGGGGTTGTTGGACAATACATACAGGTTAGAAAGCATTAATTTCAGTGTTTGGTTGGACATCTTTCATACCAGCACAAAGCCATGACATGAAAAGTTGTCTTTCTGACAATGGTATCTGGGTGAGAAAACACACATTAAACTGCAGTCTATCACGTATTCATGCAGGGGTGGAATTGGGGCAGCGTGTTTGGGAACACTACTCCCAAAGTGAAAACATTACTATGACATGACAAACCTGTTTTTGAGCTGAATTCCTGCATTCCCAGTGGTTTTAGTTCTAATTCCAACCCTGGATATATTAAGCTAGCAGTGGTTTCAAGGTAATATACATCAGTTGGAATGATAGCTACAGTTGAAGTCAGAAGTTTACATACACCTTAGCCAAATACATTTAAACTCAGTTTTTCACAATTCCTGATATTTAATCCTAGTAAAAATCTTAGGTCAGTTAGGATCACCACTTTTATTTAAGAATGTGAAATGTCAGAACAATAGTAGAGAGAATGATTTATTTCTGCTTTTATTTCTTTCATCACGTTCCCAGTGGGTCAGAAGTTTACATACACTCAATTAGTATTTGGTAGCATTGCCTTTAAATTGTTTAACTTGGGTAAAACGTTTCAGGTAGCCTTCCACAAGCTTCCCACAATAAGTTGGGTGAATTTTGGCCCATTCCTCCTGACAGAGCTGGTGTAACTGAGTCAGGTTTGTAGGCCTCCTTGCTTGCACACGCTTTTTCAGTTCTGCCCACAAATGTTCTATAGGATTGAGGTCAGGGCTTTGTGATGGCCACTCTAATACCTTGACTTTGTTGTCCTTAAGCCATTTTGCCACAACTTTGGAAGTATGCTTGGGGTCATTGTCCATTTGGAAGACCCATTTGCGACCAAGCTTTAACTTCCTGACTGATGTCTTGAGATGTTGCTTCAATATATCCACTTAATTTTCCTTCCTCATGATGCCATCTATTTTGTGAAGTGCACCAGTCCCTCCTGCAGCAAAACACCCCCACAGCATGATGCTGCCACCCCCATGCTTCACAGCTGGGATGGTGTTCTTCGGCTTGCAAGATACCCCCTTTTTCCTCCAAACATAACGATGGTCATTATGGCCAAATAGTTATATTTTTGTTTCATCAGACCAGAGGACATTTCTCCAAAAAGTACGATCTTTGTCCACATATGCAGTTGCAAAACGTAGTCTGGCTTTTTTATGGCGGTTTTGGAGCAGTGGCTTCTTCCTTGCTGATTGGCCTTTAAGGTTATGTCGATATAGGACTTGTTTTACTGTGGATATATATACTTTTGTTCCTGTTTCCTCCAGCATCTTCACAAGGTCCTTTGCTGTTGTTCTGGGATTGAGTTGCACTTTTCACACCAAAGTACGTTCATTTCTAGGAGACAGAATGCGTCTCCTTCCTGAGCGGTATGGCAGCTGCGTGGTCCCATTGTGTTTACTTGCGTACTATTGTTTGTACAGATGAACGTGGTACCTTCAGCCGTTTGGAAATTGCTCCCAAGGATGAACCAGACTTGTGGAGGTCTAAATTTTTTTTCTGAGGTCTTGGCTGATTTCTTTTGATTTTCCCATGATGTCAAGCAAAGAGGCACTGAGTTTGAAGGTAGGCCTTGAAATACATTCACCTCCAATTGACGCAAATTATGTCAATTAGCCTATCAGAAGCTTCTAAAGCCATGACATCATTTTCTGGAATTTTCCAAGCTGTTTAAAGGCACAGTCAACTTAGTGTATGAAAACGTCTCACCCACTGGAATTGTGATACAGTGAATTATAAGTGAAATAATCTGTCTGTAAACAATTGTTGGAAAAATGACTTGTGTCATGCACAAAGTAGATGTCCTAACCGACTTGCCAAAACTATAGTTTGTTAAAAAGAAATGTGTGGAGTGGTTGAAAAATGAGTTTTAATGACTCCAACCTAAGTGTATGTAAACTTCTGACTTCAACTGTAGGTAGTCTGTCTTATAGATCAGTGAAATGGTTTACTCTCTTCTATACATCATTGCAGTGGCTTACACTGTAGTAAAATGTTATAGTAGGGCATGGTACACGCCAAGGCAGTGCATTGCAGGAATCCTTACAACCATGTCTTCCTTCCCTTTCCAGAAGTACCTTCAGAGCTGTCCCACTGGGCACAGACGTCAATTCAACATCTATTGCACATTGGAAACAATGTTGATTCAACCCGTGTGTTCCCAGTGGGGGTGGTTACGTCAGGACATGGTTGATCATACTGAATACCTGGTTTAAAGCTGAAGGTAAAGGCAGGCATTTTTATCCAACATGATTCTATGGTGTGGCTGGACTGAAAGGATAGGTGAGATCCTTCTATGGCTCTAATGAGAATCTCATCATTCTCTAGTCTAGTGGGCTGGTTAGCTCAGTTGATTAGACCACAGTGCTAACTATATGAGGTTGTGGGTTTGATCCCAAAATAGGCTATATTTAACTATAGATTGCTACACATATAAGCTACACTAAACTACACTGAATGTCAGTCTCTCACTGTATTCAAGCATCTGTTAAAAGACTGCATTGTAGTGTAATGTCAACCACTCTATGAGGACAGTGACACTGAGGCTCTGCCAGTAAGAGCTGACATAAGTAACATCAGGGCTATGGTAAGAATTAAAGGACATTTGTGTAAACTGGCCCACAAGCAAAAAAGTATTTAATAAAGCAGTGAATCAGTTAGTTAGTGGTGACATCTCAACCACAGAGACTGAGAGGAAATTACAGGCTTAGAGGCCTGCTTCCCGACCACAGGCAGCCCTCTTATTAGACCAGGAGAAACAGAGGGACCAGGACAACTAGTCCATCTATCTATCATTCTGTTCATCCATCCTCTCATTTACAGGTTGGACAAGCCCACGGAGCAAGCCAAGGGGATAGATATGCGGTTCGAAGTATGCACTACCTCACTCACAGATATCCTAACAGATTAGTATGCCAGGGCTGCCATCTGAACTATTTCAATGGAATTCATTCAGGATGGATTTAATAGCCAGTCTGGATTGATATTTGAGTTGGCGTGAGGCATTTTCTTTTATATATGAGTGCTTGAATCAAGATTCCAGATGGAATGCTGTCTTTACATATCACTGATCGATTCGACAATCATTACATTATCTTTTGACACTCAGACAACGTCAGTAAGTGACCGAACACATGTCGTGATTGGAAACAGTTCCTTACGAGCACCTTGCAATAATTCATCAAGTCTAATTGGGCCTCTGCCTTTCATAACAGATTTGATTCTCTTTTTTTTCTACTCCGAGATAGAGTGAGGGGGTTTGTTTGACATTTGTCCACAACATCTGGCCACTGGGGTATTCAGCTCGAGCTACAGCTTATTAACAATGGTACAAGCCTCACATGTGTTTCTGTTTTACAGCAATGGTAAGCAAAGAACACATTATCCAGGCCCGGCCGCCACCATTCAAGCCCTTTAAACACAATGAGACCATTCAGCCTCTCCATTCACCCATATTTACCCGATCAGCAGACGAGTGTGCTGTTGATCATGAACATGACAAAATGTGGTCAAATCTGATCTATTGTCAGGGAAATGGTTTTCAAAGGCTCTGCTAAATTAAACCAACTGTATAGAACTGTGAGGAAGAATACGCATTAGAGCGGAGATGATTACACCTACTGGGGACATTTGCGATGCATGTGGCCTGACAAGATCGACAAGAGTCCTAACCTGCTCTCAGTTAACTGGTCAAAAGTACAGTGTGAGAAAGTGGAGGCTGGAGAAGGGAGGATGGCTCCTCCATTGCATTCTAGCCATTACAATGAGCCCATCCTCTGATTTAAAGTGACAGCTTTTTTGATTGTCGGTAAGTTCTCTCACTCTCGCTGAGTGTCTTACCTTTCTACGCACCTGTTGCTCTTTGGCCGAGTGGATCTTGACGTGTTTGCGTAGGGAGCTAGGGTCTGTGTAGCGCTTGGTGCATCCAGGGATCTGACATGCATACGGTTTCTATAGAACATGACAAATATATGAATAGTATATGATAAGTATATGATTCAAAGCAACTATTTATTCCATAATGACAGTGCAGTGAAGCCTACAACCACAACTCAAAGCAACCTAACATTTCTAAATGGATTAATATAAAACCACATGTATGCATTGGCCATAGGCATTAAGTTACATTGCCAAAGAATAACAAAAATCAAGAACAAAAAATGCACAATAAAAAGACACAGAATAGTAATGAAATGTGACGAAATAAGAAAGGAAAGATAGCCTCCTACCTTTCAGCTGAGAATACAGAGAATAATTGAAGAAATTGAAGACAAGAGAGAAGGAATGAGAAAGAGAGTTACATTTTACTTAATTTTTAAGCACTACAAGAAATCACATTTAAAGTAGCATTTTGGTGCTCCATAGAAGATTGATGACATAACGATTACATTTGTTATAAGGTTTATAAAGATATATTCTAGTGAAGTTATAGTGTAAACTACACCAAAAGATGTGAGGGGGCACTAAACGTGATCACAAAAGCAACAAGCATTTCGGAACACCCGCAATAGCATCTGCTAAATATGTGTATGTGACCAATACCATTTGATTTGATCAATACACCAGTGGTGTAAAAACGAATGCACTCCCTGCCAATTAGCGAAGAAAACACAGCATGCAGCCTGGTGATGGAGATATCTTCCCCTTGTGATCACATGACCAAAACTATGTAGACATGTGATCGTCGAACATCGCATTCCAAAATCATGGGCATTAATATGGAGTTGGTCCCCCCTTTGCTGCTATAACAGCCTCCACTCTTCTGAGAAGGCTTTCCACTAGATGTCGGAACATTGCTGCGGGGACTTACTTCCATTCAGCCACAAGAGCATTAGTGAGGTGGGGCATTTATGTTGGGCGATTAGGCCTGGCTCGCAGTCGGAGTTCCAATTCATCCCAAAGGTGTTCAATGGGGTTGAGGTCAGGGCTCTGTGCCGGCCAGTCAAGTTCTTCCACACCGATCTCGACAAACCATTTCTGTATGGACCTCGCTTTGTGCACGAGGGCATTGTCATGCTGAAACAGGAAAGGGCCTTCCCCAAACTCTTGTCACAAAGTTGGAAGCACAGAATCATCTAGAATGTCATTGTATGCCCTAGCGTTAAGATTTCCCTTCACTGGAACTAAGGGGCCTAGCCCGAACCATGAAAAACAGCCCCAGACCATTCATCCTCCACCATACTTTATAGTTGGCACTATACATTTGGGCAGGTAGCGTTCTCCGGGCATCCGCCAAACCCAGATTAGTCCGTCAGACTGCCAGATGGTGAAGCGTGATTCATCACTCCAGAGAACGAGTTTCCACTGCTCCAGAGTCCAATGGCGGCGAGCTTTACACCACTACAGCCGACGCATGCCATTCTGCATGGTGATCTTAGGCTTGTGTGTGGCTGCTCGGCCATGGAAACCCATTTCATGAAGCTCCCGATGAACAGTTCTTGTGCTGACGTTGCTTCCAGAGGAAGTTTGGAACTCAATTGTGAGTGTTACAGACGGTTTTTACTCACTCCGTGCTTCAGCACTCAGCGGTCCCGTTCTGTGAGCTTGTGTGGCCTACCTCTTCGCGGCTGAGCCATTGTTGCTCCTAGACGTTTCCACTTCACAATAACAGCACTTACAGATAACTGTGGCAGCTCTAGCAGGGCAGAAATGTGATGAACTGACTTGTTGGAAAGGTGGCATCCTATGACGGTGCCACGTTGAAAGTAACTGAGCTCTTCAGTAAGGCCATTCTACTGCCAATGTTTGTCTATGGAGATTGCATGGCTGTGTGCTCGATTTTATACACCTGTCAGCAACGGGTGTGGCTGAAATAGCCGAATCCACTCATTTGAATGGGTGTCCACATACTTTTGTATATATAGTGCATGTTTTTTCTCTTTCTGTACAGTGGAATATAAGGTGGCCATTAAAGTGAAAGGCGATACGCCTTTTTATTAGTTCTCCATTTGTACCTCGCTCTATTCTGTAAATAACACATTGTTATTCCAAGCCGCTCTCAGCACCACTCATCTCTGCCCTGTTTGTTATTCCTACGCAACGCCACCCCGACACAGACCCGATGAGTGTAGAAAAGAGCCAGTGAGGGAGAAAAAAACACACACAACTTCTTTCTAGTATAAATATCATAGTTGAAAATGATTTTTCCCCAAAGTGCATTTGGCAGGGTGGCGGGCGGCGGAATTAGGCTCTCGGCGGGGCGCTAATGCGCGGCCATCAGCGTCTTGGGCTGGTGGTGGAATTGGCGGTGTCAGTATGGTAGTGAGGCTGGGGGGCTGAGACTGGTTGAGGCCTGTGGACTGTGATAAAGTAGGACGGTGGAAGAGTAACTGAGAAAGGAGGAATGAGTAGTGGCTGACTCAGGCTTTCCTTTCCTCTATATACAGTCACTGCTTCCTCCTCTGTAGCAGAGAGAGACAAGGCAAAGCCCTGTCTGAGCCAAACGCTCCACGCTAACCTAACGGCTGCTTATTTCACATACTGTGACTCGAGTCGGACTAATGGAAGTGATATTTTAATGATCTGTAGCGTGTCGTGGCACCGGCACGGCCTCTGGCTGATGGAGGGAGTGTGGGGCGAGTGAGAACGGCGTGTTACTCACCGACTGATGTTTTGCTAATTGAACTGTGACACTGTCAAGGGATGGAAATGGGCATTGACTCTTTCATGTGTACAGTTCCATTCTCCTTTAAATTTAGTGAATGGCAGCCTTGGAAAGGAAGGGAAATCTAAACAAAAAACTTGTTGACGCTACTTTACATACAAATCCCCCATACAAATACAGGGTCAGAAGTTTGGGGATGCCCATGCACTCCTATAACAAATCAGGTCACCTCTATCAGAGTTCAAATGTCAACAATGGCCCCTCCCACTACTTTTAGGGCCCTCACACCCACAACGAGTGTCAGTGTCTAAAATGAACCTTGACTCAAACCCCTTATAACAGCCCTGATCCATGATCTACAGCAGAAAGGAAGCAGGAGGTAGGAATTGTGGGTAGTAGAACCAGAGTGGAGGCTGTCTCCATGTGTTCTGACCGTGTCCAGGTGAGTGCGCTGGTGCTTGGCCCGGTCGCTGGAGTTGCTGAAAGCTTTCTGGCAGCCGGGGTGCTGGCACAAGTAGGGCTTCTCCCCTGTGTGGCTCCGTAGGTGGATCTTTAGGTTCTCCAGGCGGGAAAAGGCCTTGCTGCAGCCCTCAAACTGCAGGAGAGGATAGGTAAGAGAATAGAAACACACAAACACACACACGCACAAAAACAGGACACACACACACACACAGAGAGGAAGAGAGAGAGAGAGAGAGAGAGAGGAAGAGGGAGAGAGAGAGAGAGGAGAGAGAGAGAGAGAGAGAGAGAGAGAGAGAGAGAGAGAGAGAGAGAGAGAGCGGGGGAGAGATAGATCAATAGGAGAGGAAGGCTGTACAGTAAACAGTGGTACAATGAAGCCACTGTATCCATGTACCTCTGTGACTCAGAGCAGCGCGTGCTCCCACTCTTTCCCCCACTCCCTCTATCAGTCCCTTCCTTACAATGACACCAGGCCATGGAAACTAACAGCTACTGTACCAGCCATGGTCAACATCTTCCATTTTCACATGGGCTGAGCACTTGTGTTTCCACAGACCACTGTAAAAAGCCATTAGTAACCGTATGACATTGATTTAATCCCAAATGGCACCTTTTTCCCTGTTTAGTGCACTACTTTTGACCAGGGCCCATAAAGGAGTACACTATGCAGGGAATAGGGTGCCATTTGGAACTCAGACATTGTCATATGAGCCAGGAACACCTCACATCTGTATTTTACAGATCTAGGATCTTAATTTGAGTGAGTTTGCTACAGCAGGAAAATAATCCTGCAGCAAGACAAAATGTGAATTATTATGTGGATTATAATTAATAGCGTTTGGTAAATTTTTCTTAAGGGAAAATCAAGTCTGAAATTTCAAAGTGGAAATTACAAACTTCTGAATCCTTTTTAAACCTGAAATACACTACAAGTTTTAAATTTCCTGCATTGCAGGAAAGTTCTTCTGCAACAGGGTGACCAAATTAAGATCCTACATCTGTATATACATACAGTGCCTTCGGAAAGTATTCAGACCCCTTGACTTTTTCCACATTTTGTTAGGTTACAGCCTTATTCTAAAATTGATTAAATTGCTTTTCTCCCTCACCAATCTACATACAATACCCCATAATGACAAAGCAAAAACAGGTTTACAAAAATGTTTGCAAAAAAAAAGAAAGAAAAATAAACTTTAATAAATAAATAAAATCAAACTTTATTTGTCACATGCGCCGAATACAACAGGTGTAGACCTTATCGTGAAATGCTTTCTTACAAGCCCTTAACCAACAATGCAGTTCAAGGAAGAGTTAAGAAACTATTTACCAAATAAACAAAAGTAAAAAATAACAAAAAGTAACACAATAAAATAACAATAACGAGGCTATATACAGGGGGTACCGGTACTGAGTCAATGTGTGGGAGTACAGGTTAGTCTAGGTAATTTGTACATGTAGGTAGGGCTAAAGTGACTACACATAGATAATAGACAGCGGGTAGCAGCAGTGTATAAACAAATGGGGGGGTGTCAATGTAAATAGTCCGGGTGGCCATTTGATTAATTGTTCAGCAGTCTTATGGCTTGGGGGTAGAAGCTGTTAAGGAGCCTTTCGGTCCTAGACTTGGCGCTTCGGTACCGCTTGCCGTGCTGTAGCAGAGAGAACAGTCTATGACTTGGGTGACTGGAGTCTTTGACAATTTTTTGGGCTTTCCTCTGAAATATCACATTTACATAAGTATTCAGACCCTTTACTCAGTACTTTGTTGAAGCACATTTGGCAGCGATTACAGCCTTGAGTCTTCTTGGGTATAACGCTACAAGCTTGGCACACCTGTATTTGGGGAGTTTCTCCCATTCTTCTCTGCAGATCCTGTCAAGCTCTGTCAGGTTGGATGGGGATCGTAGCTGCACAGCTATTTTCAGGTCTCTCCAGAGATGTTCAATCGGGTTCAAGTCTGGGCTCTGGCTGGGCCACTCAAGGACATTCAGAGACTTGTCCCGAAGCCACTCCTGCATTGTCTTGGCTGTGTGCTTATGGTCTAGTCTCCCAGTCCCTGCCACTGAAAAACATCTCCACAGCATGATGCTGCCACCACCATGCTTCACCGTTAGGAATCGTGCAAGATTTTCTCCAGACGTTACGCTTGGCATTCAGGCCTAACAGTTGATGCTTGGTTTCATCGGAATCTGGTTTCTCATGGTCTGAGAGTCTTTAGGTGCTTTTTGGCTAACTCCAAGCGAGCTGTCATGTGCCTTTTACTGAGGAGTGGCTTCTGTCTGGCCACTCTACCATAAAGGCCTGATTGGTGGAGTGCTGCGGAGATGGTTGTCCTTCTGGAAGGTTCTCCCATCTCCACAGAGGAACTCTAGAGCTCTGTCAGAGTGACCATCGGGTTCTTGGTCACCTCCCTGACCAAGGCCCTTCTCCCCAAATTGCTCAGTTTGGCCGGGAAGCCAGCTCTAAGAAGAGTCTTGGTGGTTCCAAACTTCCATTTAAGAATGGTGGAGGCCACAGCTTGGGTACCTTCGATGCTAAAGAATGTTTTGGGTAACCTTCCCCAGATCTGTGCCTCGACACAATCTTGTCTCAGAGCTCTACGGACAATTCCTTCGACCTCATGGCTTGGTCTGACAAGCACTGTCAACTGTGGGACCTTATATAGACAGGTGTGTGGCTTTCCAAATCATGTCCAATCAATTGAATTTACCACAGGTGGACTCCAGTCAAGTTGTAGAAACATCTCAAGGATGATCAATGGAAACAGGATGCACCTTAGCTCAATTTCGAGTCTCATAGCAAAGGGTCTGAATACTTATGTAAATAAGGTATTTCTGTTATTTATTTTTAATAAATTTGCTAAAATCTCTAAAAACCTGTTTTCGTTTTGTCATTATGGGGTATTGTGTGTAGAATGCTGAGGATTTTTTTTATTTCATCAATTTTAGAATAAGGCTGTAACGTAACAAAATGTGGAAAAAGTCAAGGGGTATGAATAATTTCCGAAGGCACTGTACCTACTAGTGTTACTACAACTTGCTATGTAGCTACTGATGAGGCTACAGTGCAGGGACACTATAGTAAGCCCATACTACCTAGAGACAGGTAGTGGGGTGCATACTACCTAGAGACAGGTACTGGGTTGCAGGAGAAAGGACGTAGTATATGAGGGTAGATGAACTAGATAAGTGGCATTGAGTGTAAACAAGCCCATTACATCTGATCTTGACTGGCCACTCAGCCCATTTTATCCTATCCACTCAGCCAATGAACACCACAGATTTGCTAGCACACCCATTATTCATGAGTCTGCTCGCATATCCTCCCCCGTTCATCAACACAAACACAGCTGATTGGCCGAGACAGTGGCCATCCTCCTCCTCCTCTATGCATGTTACTGTATACAGCCATTAAGTGTATGGCGCATCACTGTAAATGTAGAGTACAGTACACCTCAATGTAACCTATATCCCGCTCCATTAATCTGCCTTAACTATTCACGGAGACTCGCGGCTATGATTAGCCTGACATCAATACCAGTCATGGCTGCCATGATGGTCCACAACAATGAGAGCCTTTGGGGCTACTGAGGAGCATCGCATCAAGGCCCTTTCCGGTACAATTACTTTCCTGTTACCCTATCTGAGGGCTCTGCCGGCTCCGCCTCCCTGGCCATTATGCATCGATCAGGGGCGTGGACACATACACATGCGTGCGAGCGAACGCACACACACACGCACACACACACATGTAGGGAGAGGACTAGCGGGTCGTCTCACTCTGCGGCCTGGGCAGCAGTGAAACCTGACATGAAGGAGCTGCTCTCTATTGTCCCCTGACCTTTAGTGAAGCCTCTGCGTGTGTGTGTTGTGTGTGTGTGTGTGTGCATGAATGTGTGTGTGTGTGTGTGTGTGTGTGCGAGCTGGGTTGGGGAGTGTCGGGTTACGCCCAAGGAGAGAGACACACCATTCTTTTAATGGCCCTTCAGTTCTGATCTGAGCTCAATGCTCATACATTACCTCCTTCATTCACTCACAGCACAGGCAGGAAGGGCCCTCTATTCACAGCCCCCTCCATTTAATATGTACGAAACCTAAGCCTGTCATGGTAGAGCTGGGTCGGATGACCTAGGTTGTGTGTGTGTGTGTGTGTGTGTGTGTGTGTGTGTGTGTGTGTGTGTGTGTGTGTGTGTGTCCATGCCTGTCTAAATGTTCTATTCAAACATAAAAAAAATTGACCAGAAGATTCCTTTGTCTCATCACCCTCACATAGCTTACTATTCAGCACAACAGCTCCGTACTTAGCAACCCCATAAAGACTCATGTTTATGTTGTAATAAGTGGACACCTTAAAGCTGTTAACACACACACACACACACACACACACACACACACAGCCATAGTGGCAGTCGTTTGGATTGTAGAAAGGGCAAGGAGAAATATCACACAGAAGACCAATGTCACATGATCCGGCATGTAGTGTACAATAGATTTCAGCACACCGATGTCATGAGATCGCCCCACCATGCTGCATCAACACAGGGCAGAGAAATGTGCCTACTCAGGCCTCCTCGATCGGAGGGCTTGGAAAACATCTAAAAGTGTCAGACCACACAATACACACTGGAGCCATATTATTCTAGAGGCAGGGTAATCAAATGTATAGAGGAGAAGGCCACTATACTAGCATGCCAGTCCTGACAGACACATACTACTCTTGAAATACGGGGCCGAACATTTGAGTTTGGAAAACAAATATAAACCTTATTGACGGGCCAATATGTGTATTTATGTATAAGGGAAATAATCCGTCTTTCATTCTTTCTTTAACGTAATACAAATTTGAGGCTAAATGAGAGTTATAGGTCCGTGGAGAAAAGCGTGCTAATCGCGTAGAGCCGGATATTAGTGCTCGAGGTCGGCTGGCAGTGAGACAGTGTCTGTGTCCCAAATGGCACCCTTTCCCTACATAGAGCCCTATTGGCCCTGGTCAAAAGTAGTGCACTATAGAGAATAGGGCGCCATTTGGGATGCTGCCAGTGAGCGAGAAGTTTCCCTGCCTGTTGTGAGCCTACTACCACCGCTGGGCATGGGCACATTATTCACAGGACATTGGTTTACTGACTGGCTCATAGAGCATTTACTATGCATGGTCAGGTGTTGCTAACCTGACAGTCAAAATGGCACCTTTTAGTGTAGTGGGTTACTAGGAAGGTGTCGGCAAAGTCTAAAGCAGGACTGGGGCATAGGTTGAAATTCTACAGCATGCGTATAACTTTTCTGCTGTGTGAGAGCTAACAATTTGGTTGTTTATTTTTCTGAAAAATGGATGAGCATAGAAGTAAAACAGGATGACAAGGTAGAGGGTATGGGTGGGAAGGCCTGGAGCCAGCCAAGGTGTCGAACCCACACAGGACAGCTTCAGCTTCTCCTAAACACACCTTTGATATTATTTGTGAAAACAGTTTAGACGCTAATCACATGAATTGCTTTAAACATGTTTGGCTTTCCCCTCTGAATGATTGGTTCTAAGGTAAACGGGCACGATAACCACACGAAGGGAGCGGGCGAGCAGGGCCTGAGCCGCGTTTGACACTGTCTCACTCTGAGAGGGCGGCTCGGGCAGCTCGGTAAACATTGGGGTGACGGTGGGTTCTGACATGGCTGAGGGGCCGGCAACCGATCACAACAGACAGCTTATGGGCCCAGAGAGCTGGGCTGTGAAGGTGCAGCGAGCTTGAGGCCTTCATGGGAAATGACTTCTGACTGGCAAAGAGAAGCCCAAACAGTTGGCCGCCTAAATGGCCGCAGTGTATCGCTAACCTCCAAAAAGGAGCTCATTAGAAAGAGCCTGACTGAGATGCCTGAGATGATCGAAACAAACCGCCCGTTTATTGCGTGGCGTTGGGGGGAAAAAGCTGCTGCTGACATCTCAGACATAATTCTGATGGAAAGTCTTGAGAAAGAGAGAGAGAGAGAGAGAGAGGGAGAGAGAGAGAGAGCGAGAGAGAGAGAGAGAGAGAGAGAGAGAGAGAGAGAGAGAGAGAGAGAGAGAGAGAGAGAGAGAGAGAGGGGGAGAGAGAGAGAGAGAGAGAGATAGAGAGAGAGAGAGAGAGAGAGAGAGAGAGAGAGAGAGAGAGAGAGAGATTAAACAAAACAAGAGTTTTCTCAAGAGGTTCAGTTCTTTAGAAATGTACTGTATCTGACTGTATCGGTCTGAGGTCATGTAAGCGAAGGCCTCACCTCCTCAATGTGTTTTTTGTGCGGAATAACTTTTTTAAGTTCTTTCTCTCGACAGCTATAGTCTCCAGTGTTGCTGATGACAGGAGGGAATCCTTTGATATCTGTGAAACCCCAGGACCTTGTCATGTTTCTGGCCTGCTCTCACCACCACCACCCTTTTGACTGGAGGCTTCTGACTAATGATGAGAGAAATGGGATTAAAATGTTTGGCTGCTAACTAGCATGAAATCCCTATTACTCATATTGAGAGGCCCTTCAGTAAAAGCAATAGGTATTCTGGGGCTTAACGAGGCCCACCAGTTTTCCGCTTTGATTAATTTTTGCTAATGCATCGAGGCTCCGTAATTGCCTAAGCTTCTAGCAAGGTGAAGTGTTCTCTTGTGGCCAAATCTGGGAATCCAACACACCGCCACAGAATAAAACCCTAGATAAGAAGTTATACTGGTTGCTTTTCAGTATTATTCTAATCGGATTTTTTTTTTTAAAGGTACTGGAAGTGTATTCGTTTATCACAAGGTACCTTTTTATACGCTGACCGACGAGGAAAACCACCAACACTTCAGGATCTGTTCAGCTGAGGAATGCTGGAGCGGAGCGCTCAGGCTGCGGCTCGAGGAAACATGTGCGTTTAATCTGCCTGCTTCCAAATGCCCCGTGGCAACCACAGCAAAGAGCAGAAAAACGTAAATGGATGAAATTATATCCATATGATTCAACGAGACAGCTAAGGAGAGGCAGGTTTCTCATGTGCTTCGTCAAGGTACCAAATTAAAGCCAGCTTCGCTAAAACATTTGCATTACATAGTTTACACATATCATTTCCACAGCCAAGTGGGACCCCTTTTAGCAGCCAGGATCATCTGTTGCGAATAGGGGACCTAATTTGAATCAAAGACAGGGGATGATTTTATTTCTCCTTTCCATTTGTCAATGTTGGATTGAGATGAATTCACACACACTTTACTTTGTTTTTCTTCTGCGTCATTCCCCCTTATCCTCAGCCCAAACTCTCACAGCACTTGATTTATGAATGGTGAGATATCAGTACATACACACACAGAGTGACTAAGGCAGGACTGTTGTCCAGATGGAACCGAGTGAGCGAGCGCTGCCGAAGCGACAGCTCGCTCAGCCGATAAATTGGTGGAAGGAAGTAGTCATGTAAATGACTAAAGAAATTGCTCCGATCAGCCATTTTGTACTCACACCGGCCCGCATAGTTTAGGGCAGATGAAAAAGTTTGTGAATGGTATCGTCTACAACAGGAAGCATTCCTATGATCACTAAATTAGGCATCCAGCATAATGGCCCACCAGCTGCTCTCTGCCACAACAAGGGGTTGCGTCCCAAATGGCACCCTATTCCAGATATAGTGCACTACTTTTGACCAGAGCCCTATGGACCTTGGTCAAAAGTAGTGCACTATAAAGGGAATAGGGTACCATTTGGAATGAATGCTAGCACTTTTGATGGAGATTGAGGGGGAACTATATGATGGATTTGAACCCTTGTTGCTATGGGAGACTGGTATAGAACGACTTATAGAACTACTTTGGGTAAGTCTGGCTCCAGAATTCATGGTGAGTCAAGTCGTCATGGAAGCACTTAACCTGTTGAGACTCAGGGGCTTGCGTTCACATATGTACCAGCTTCCAGGCCCTGTATTACATTAGAGAGCTAAGATGTGATTTCATCGTGATCGGGGCATCGCTGGGTTTATGGCCCAGTTTGAGAGGGAGAGGAAAGTGGGGTCACACGCGTACCATAATATAGTACAGCCCTTCTCTCTTTGATAAAATAAAACGGGAAAATGATATATCTTTATTTGCTGATCTGATGACCTTCATTGTTAGCGTTCAACCGCAACTATTCATTCCCAAGCCGAACATCCTGTTTCCACATAAAAGCGAAAATGCGCTCAATGTGCCATTGGTTCAGTGGCACACCTTGTCTGTGTGTTACCTTGAAACTGGCCCGTGTTCATTCGTACCCCCCTGTATGAAAACAGACTAACTGTGCAGGAGTTCCCATTGAAATGCACTCAACTTCCAACACAAATGGGGTCACGTTTCAGTGACCAACCGCATCCATATTAATGCGTTTAAATGAGATTGGACAATGTTTAGACTGCACCAGTCCCAAAGCCTTAACAGTAGTAGGGTTTTTTGGCAGACTTCGATGTTACAGGGCAGAACTTGACTTTTATCTCATGGTTGCGCCAACAAACAAAAAACATCTGAAGGGTTTTCTGAAATGTCATTCCATTTGAGATTGAGAGAAGTTCAGTTGGAGGGCTTGTGTATTGGTTACAGCCAGAGTCTTATATTTAGGAGCTCTTATATTTTTCTCAATGTAAGGCTCTGGTTACAGCAATGAAGATAGGTAAAAGAAAGACTTTGGTTTTGGTGGACGAAAATCATTCAGGATCTTTACTCCCGTGAATAATCTTTCATTGAGAGGTGATTGAAACCTCATTATTCAGAGTTGTTGCGCCATGACTGTGTTTCATTGAGCTGTATCGCTCCCTCTCTGATAACTGGCCCTGTGTTTACCCTAGCTGCCCTAACCATTTCTAATAGCTAATTAGAGTGTATTACACAGCCCTGGTGCCATGACCATTAGTAGACCATCAAGGCATTAATTATAAACCTTTTCGCCGTAACTCGAACCCCCAGAGTGAGGGGACGTTAGTGAAAATCCTTAACACGATATGTGCTTTGAGCCGGCTGCTGGACTGATGTTACTCCCAGTCAATACAGTATCATCTGTGACAGGTCTGAGAGCAGCATCCTCTCTCCTCTCTCTGCCAACCTGGGCTCAATCTGTCCAGGACCTCTCACTCACACCTGCTTCCATTCCCCTTGCACCTCTTCTCTCCTCTCCACACCCCTTTCTGGGCAAAGCTCCTCTTCCTCCAGGCTTTAGTCGGTTCCACAATGGGGACTGTTATACAAGTGGATGGATTCAGACGCCTATTAGATGGCTGTTATGACCAGTAAAGGATGTGCAATTATTACAGGCAATCCACCATTTATTGTTTCATTTATTAGTTGATTGCTTTGATTCTTTTTCTACCATATTGTTTTATGTTAAAGCAGCTTGACTCATGCTGGACCTCTCTTAATTCAATCAACCCTTTCTTCATCTCTTGAATCCCTCTCTCCTTCCTCCCATGTACCTCTGACGGTAGTCTCTCCTGCGTCATCCATCTATCCCTAACTCCGAAAAAGTATGAAAACGTATGCACTCACTAATGTACACTGTAGCCCTCTCTCCTTCTCCCTCTCTCAATCCCTCTCTCTCTCTGTACCCTTCTCCCTTTTTGGCAAACTGCTCCTTGTCCACACAACAAAATAAACATTTCAGAGGCGCTGCGTGCTGCCAAGCCAAACGCCTTGACGCCACAGGCACCATAATATTCAGAGAGAAAACATTCGCTGCGAAATTGAACAATAGATCAAGATGGCATTGTGATCACCACCCACCACTATCCCAGCACTATCCCAGCACTATCCCAGCACTATCCCAGCACTAGCCCACCACTAGCCCACCACTAGCCCACCACTAGCCCAGCACTAGCCCACCACTACCCCAGCAAGGCGAAGAGGCAAAGAAAGAGAAAAGGCATTTTGCGCAACTAACAGTCCCTCGGAAAGAGATCGAACAGCGAACAGCGGGCGGCCATCATTCACTCTGCTGGAGAATGTCCAGACCACTAGAGTCTTCTGGGTAATGGAGAATGGAGCGGCGGCTGCCCAAGACGTGGTGAAACTGAACTGCTAACGGTGCCCTCTCGGTTTGTTCAGTTCTTAGTGTGCCAAAGTCTCTTGTCTTCTCTCTCTGGGCATTGGGAGTCCAGTTTCACGGCTGGCTGTGATATATTAACGTGCAACCGGCGTTCAATGTGTCAGTCCTTATCAAGGCTCAAGTATATCACCCCGCATTCACACTTCAGCAGATATCCAAGCATTCACTTCTGAATAAATCAATTCATATCATAATTTCAGTAAGTGGTCAATCCCTATTCACCAGCAATCTGCATTACTGATGCCTGGCTGCAAACACATTCATTTAAGTGCAAAAACAGTTTGTGTTCCTGAGCAATTACTTTGGACAAACGCAACCTGCCAACTGCAGGAATTGTGAGGTTCCAGTGTTCCGATTGGTATTCCACAGTAAACGTTTTTATATTTATGGAATATTTTCCATGACATTTCTCATCAGACACTTGTTTATGTTAGCCGTAATATGAGTCTGGGCCTGGCACTTGCTGGCCGCACACCGTGGCCACACAATGTTTTTTCACATGCAATATCCATTAACAGTACCATCGGTGGACCAAATTGTGCATGACCTAATGTAAATCTTGGCTTTATCCCTTTAAAATATGAAACTTGGCACATCAGCAACACTGATTTTGGTTTCATTTTGCTCTGTGAAAAGGACAGAATGCAATCTGAAAGGAATCGAACTTAATTGTTGTTATTACAGAAACCAAAGCTAGCATAAGACAGGAGAAACAATAAAAAGTTCCCAGACTTATCCTTAATTCTGTACAGAAACAAAACCAGTGGTTATAAATCCAGCATAAACCTTTTACATCTATGTTAAACTAATTCCGAGGCTGAACTGATCAAATGTGAAACACATGTTTGAAGTTGTACAGGATCCTTTTCTGAAGACTGTTTAGCGTCACTGGAGGGGTGTAAAACTCTATTGGAGGAATGTAAATCAGATGTCTACCTATAGAACTCTCTGGTTCTGACTAAACAAAGCCAGTAGCACCAAACAATGGGGTCTTAACAACGCCACAACACAGCAGGTGAAACATTCTAGGCGCCGGTGTCATGACAAAATTCTCCACTATGACAAAGTGTACCCCATCTCCAGGGAGGTTACTGTGATGTCATTTCTCTCTCTCTCTCTCTGTCTCTCTCTCTCTCTCTCTCTCTCTCTGTCTCTCTCTCTCTCTCTCTCTCTCTCTGGTCAAAGGTTTGTAAAATTCCGAGAACTTTCAATAAATTCCCTGGTTTTCCAGAAATCCTGGTTGGAGTTTCGGGATTTCCTGCTTATTCCCTCCTGATTCCGGAATCCTCCAACCAGGATTTCGGGAAAACCAGTTCCCAGAATTTTGCAACCCTACTTTGGTCTCTCTCTCTCTCTCTCTCTCTCTCTCTCTCTCTCTCTCTCTCTCTCTCTTCTTTCTCTCGCTCTCTCTCTCTCTCTCTCCTCTCTCATCTCTCTCTCTCTCGCTCTGTCTTCTTCTCTCTCTTCTCTTCTCTCTCTCTCTCGATGTGTCAAAGGTTTGTAAAATTCCGAGAACTTTCAATAAATTCCCTGTGTTTTCCAGAAATCCTGGTTGGAAGTTTCGGGTGATTTTCCTGCTTATTCACCTCCTGATTCGGAATCCATCCAAACCAGGAATTTCGGGACAAACCAGTTCCCAGATTTTGCCAACCTTACTTTTTGGTAATCTCTCTCTCTCTCTGCTCTACTTTCTCGGCTCTCTTCTCTCTCTCTCTCTCTCTCTCTCTACTCTCTCTCTCTCTCTCTCTTTCTCTCTCTCTATCTCTCTCTCTCTCTCTCTCTATCTCTGTCTCTCTGGTCTCTCTCCCTCTCTCTCTCTTTCTGGCGAGAGCTCTGATACAGCTCTGTGGTGCATCTCCATTATAACAGGCAGAGTGAAGGCATGACAGCGTAAACAGACAGAGCCTGTAGGGAGTGTGGACAGCCTCATTGGCCTGGAGGACTGAACACTTTCCTGGGGAACGCTCCCAGCTCTAATTGCCCCGCTGGATTCCAGCTGTGAGTCAGCGTTACAGAGCGCAATGTTCTGCCAATGCTACGAACGCTATAAAAAAGCTCCCAAATATGGATCACATTCACATTCACAATGTACCAAATCACTTTCAGATACATCACACAGCGTATTGAGTTGATTCTGGGCTGAGGTCTTTGGGGATGACATAAGTTTTATACAATGATACAACTAACTCTCTTCTATTTTCCTTCTGGCCTCAAAACCACTGAACACTACAGTGCATATGTCAACATAACCCCACCACATAACACATTTTATTTCAATCCATTAAAAAATGCTAACATCCATCCTTCTCTCTCGACAGTACCAGTGTCTGTACTGTAGCTACTTTACATTAGTTGCTGGCCCGGAGCGACACTGGATCCTGGTCTGACTCTGGAGTCTGGTCTGAGTAGAGGCGTAGTCCAGGGGCTGTGGTCTGGCGGCCCTGGCTATGAGGCAGACATGGTCTGGGTCTGGAGGGGGGCATATAAAGGTGTCTCTTGTTGCTCTGTTTATTGGGAGATGTGACGGCGGTCAGGCTAGGCGAGGTAGATGATGTTTCTCTGGGCTCAGAGGTTTGTGTGATGCGTGTCCCACTGACACCCAGACCCCCAGCTACATCAATACCTCAACAACACCCACTCCATCTGGGGGTACTGAGAGATTTACCTCTGTCCACATACTGTTCACACACTGTCCCACACACTCCCAACAGGCCCGACTCACACACTGCGGTTCACAGGGAATGTTTGCGGAATGGCTGCTGCTCGGTCACAAATTGTGTCTCATCAGTCAGTACAAAACGAGGCTAGTGTTGCATAGGGAGTACTACGCTCGAGAAAGCAGAGGTATATTTTTATTTTCCTGGTAAACTGCCTCCAAATGTTTCCATAATTAGCTTGTCTGTCCTGAGGATTTAAATGGTTTACAAGCAAGGCCCCATGTTTCATATGGCCCTTGACACTACAGCATTAGAGAACCCAAAGTGCTGTGTTTGGAAGCGTTAGAAACTGTGGCTGCATCCCAAACGGCAACCTATTCCCTATATAGTATACTACTTATGACGAGAGCCCTATGGGAACCCTATGGGACCTAGTCAAAATTAGACTGCCATTTGGGACTAGGGTGCCATTTAGGACGGTGCCGTATCAGAGTGGATCTGGTCTAATGAGGCCCATTAC